CCCCCCCCACCCTCCACGCTTCTGCGCTCTGTGGAGCGCACGTCGTCGTTGCCCTCGGCGTGTCTCGAGTAGTGGTGTCTCTTATATATATATAAAAAAAAAGAAGTGCATCTTCACAACGAGCCGCCTTTATTCCTCTCTCTCACGAGGAGTCTTGAAATTCGCGCGAGTTCTCGCTACGACGAGGAACGTCACCGTGGTGAAACGCTCGTTCGTCCTTCGCGAAGGAGAAGTCACACGATCGAGACTGCGCCCTCGCCGGCGGAATGTAGATTCGACGACGACGACGACGCGGTGGACGGCGCCGGGAGTTGACGCGTCGCGCCTGCACTTTCTGTACTTTGGTGCGCGCGATAGAGGAGGCCACAAGGTGCAGGAGAGTGTACAGGAGAGTGCACGCGACGCGAGCGATCTGACGATACCCTCGAGAGAGGGCCTCGACCTCCACGACCGACTCCAGGCTCGAGCGGGTGTTGTGCTGAGTGATACCGTGAGCGGGGACGCCGTCGGCGGGAGTAGTGACACGAGAAGCGGGACTCCGCGAGACACGCGTATGTGAGTACCATGTTGACGAGAGACCCGATCTTGATTGTCCCTCGACCGGACAGGTCGTCGACGACGAGGACACCCATCCTCCGGCACGTTCGCCAAGTCCACTTCGACGCGCGAAGAGAGACTCTCCGGCTCTCGACGGGGACCCTCCCGACTCGTCTTTCCTCTCCGCTACCCTGGACGCATCGCGCGTATTATAACCTCTATCTAAGTCGCGCGCACGTCGATGTCATGTCGGTCGCGCGCTGCTGAATCCTCTGCCTTCCCCGTCCCTTCGCTCCGCGTCTCCTCGAGCGGGAGATGACAAGCGAGCGAATAGCCGCGCGCACGTTACTCCTCTCTTCGCTTTCTTCTTCCTTCACGACGCCGGGCTGCTTCGCTAGAAGCTCTCGACGACGACGACGCGGTGATCCGCCTCGCGAGCTCGTTAAATTCTGTGGACCTGTCCTTGTCATTTACAGATACGTCTCCGGAAATTTGCATTCGACTATACACCCGAGTACGTAATTGACATATCGTATTGACATCGTGTTATCTTCATAGACGTGTTTCGTCTTCATCGTACTCGGCATGTACGGCATTTCGCTGGGAAGCTCTGCGCGCGCGCACGCTCGCGAGCGCACCCGCTGCGTACACACGTACGTGCATGCATACGCGCGACGGAGTCTCTCCGAGTGTAGGTGTAGGAGGTTGGAAGGTTGAGAGAGGAGAGGTGCACACGGAGGGTCGAGGCAGACCGACCAACTGGCTGGCTGGCAAGCTAGCTGGTTGTCCGTCTGACCGACGCTCGTGGATACTAGCGGTGGCTAAGCAAGCGCAGGTGACTGACTGAGAGACGACGCTAACTGTTTTCTCGTGCGAATGAAGTAATCTTCAAGCTAGGATTCTCGAATAATCCATCGGTGCGTTCATTCGTGCGTTCATCTGTCCGTCCGTCCGTCCGTCCGTCTGTCTGTTCGTCCGTCCGTCCATCTGTCTGTCCATTCGTCGGTCGGTTCGCGTGTGCGCGCGTGTAGCACAACGTACCGTGTACTCATTCGCACATCGAGGAAAGAGAGCGAAAGCGGAGCCTCAGACGACGCCGTCGTATTCGTTCGACACGGCCCGGGCACATTCGGAGACCCCCGTCGCGCCGAGGACCCTCGTCGGAAGTTTGTTGGTTATGGGAGCGGAAGCAAGTGCGGAATTCGCAGCGCCATTTTGAAAAATTCGGCCCCGCTAAAAATTCCTTCCCTCCCGTCCGTCTGTGCCCCCGCTTAGGATAGAGAGCGTGCTACAGAACGCTTCACCATTCATCCTCGCTTGAACGCTGCCGATTGTTATCAGTGCTGTTCGTTAAATGTTTAGATCGACTGCGCGGCGAATCGTGGTGGACCCATGGAAGGCACATTGGAAGAACCACCTATTAAGGACTCTTCTCGAAGCAGTCCTGACAGACATCTGAAAGGTAAGCATTCTATTTTGGTAGTTAGATATTGGTGTTAGCTTCTGAATAAATGATTGCTGAATGATCTCTGCTACTTGGAACTCTTTTGACTACTTTGTCATTGGTGTTCTACACTATTGTGTTAATGATCCATCGATAGTAACATTGTAGACTAATTCATTTATCATTCTCTCTAAGTGATAATTATGCGCGACATTGTATTTCATTTGCATAGCACTAATTATTACCAACTTGAAAGTTTCTTGTAGAAAATTGCTCTGAGGAATTACCACATTTTCACTTCTGCGTTATTTGTGTGTGCACATGCTTAATGATTATAGTGATCTGTCTAGAATAGGTGTATATATATATTTAGAGTAGAAGTTGTGGAATATGTTAACATTTGCAGATGCAGCTTCATAAAAGTTATTTCATGAGCTTTTTCAACTTGACGTATAAACATGAAGAAAAATCTCACTAGCCTCACAATTTCACGTTAAAATTGTATAGAATAATGTTGGTTATATTTTGAAGATTATAACTTTAGAGATATTCTCAATGTAAAATTTATAACATTTTGGATTTTATCTTTTTAATTAAGGTAGAAATACTTTTTATTGTTTATCTTGATTTAAGATTATTTATGTATTAAATCATAATCATTTCTATTAAGAATATTTTGTAATTGCTTGCAGATATAGTTATACCAAACGGGGTCAATGGGAGCTATAGTGCTGACAACGAAGAATATATGGATACCAGTGATAATATGGACAAGACTGTGTCAAAAGAGATGGTCACAGAAGAAGAAGGTGATGATGAGGAAGATGGAGATGAAGAGGATGACGAGGATGACGATGATGGTGAGAGCCAGGAAGGAAAAAATGAAGGTAGTGAGAAAAAGGATACAGTAGATAGTAGTAAAAAAGAGGGTGAAACGGTTGAATCCAAAAATGACTTTAACGTAGGGAAATCGTCCGACGGTGTGAGTGAGACGAACAATTCTAGTGAAGTGTCTAAAACTGAAGCCGAGTGTAAAAACACCGCATCTTGTGATGAGGCTATAGAGGTAGACGAACAGAGTAACAACTCTGACGTGGAGTGTCTCGACGAGAGCATTACGGAAATACGATTGGATAATGACGATGTGTTCATTTCGAAGAAATCTGCTGAGAAGCAGGACAACAATGACATGTCGAGTAATAGCGATGTGCAACAATTAAACGATAGCAGCGAAATGGCCGACAGCAGCTTCGAGATGTCGGATGTCAAGCTCTGCGAGGAGAATGGTAGCTGCGACAGTCCCGATATCGAAGAGATAACCGACAATGCAAAGAACAATGGACATAATGCATCGGTAGAACGTGCCGTTAAAGATCCCACGAAGCAGCGGAAACCTCGAAAACAAATAGATCTTAGTAGTATCACGCCGAGAAGGAGTTCGCGTAACATCAAACGAACGAGTTACATAGAGAAAGAAATTGAAGAGGAAGTGGACGACGATGGGTCCGACATAGAGGAGATTAAGCCGGAGGACCCGTTAGCCGGTATCGACAGTAAGGACAAGGAGAATTCGAAACTGAAGTCACCGATCAAGAATAGCAAAACCACCATCGTCGTGAACGACACGAAGCGTTTGGTGGAAATAGCCGCTGGTAGCAAATCCGTGAAAGGCGGGAAGAAGGAGCCCACGTTAGTTATAATAGACACCAACTCCATTCTTTCGGGACGCGGTGGAGTGCCTGTGAGTAACAGCAAACCTCACCACTCAGTCTCCAACTCCAATCCATTCTCGGTAGTATCGATGGGCATGGGACAAACGCAAACGATGTATCCCAACATGAGGACAACCATCACGCCAGTTCCCATGACCTCGAAAACGGCGCAGTTGAGCCCCAAGACCAGCAGTATGACCACAGTTACGCCAACGGTGCCGCAGATTTTGCCGTCGTTGACTGACGATATGTACGTGGTCGAGGCGCCATCCTTCATAGTACCTTACGTATACGAGAAACCGCCTCTGAAACCGCTGAAAGAATTCGTCTCGAAGTTGGAAAGGAGCATCGAGGAGAGGGAGAGGGAAGAGAAACTTAAGAGAAATACGGACGGAAACGAGGAGCATGGGGATGATCATTCGGACTCTGCTAAGAAGGGCAGCGAGAAATCGGAGGAAAGCGAAAGTGAGGGGAGAAGTAAGAAGGACATCGACGACAAAGCGATCGACAACTCAATAGACTTGACCGAGCACGGATTCAGTAGTATAGCTGATAAAAACGATCATCTGCGGCAGGAAGATAGAAACAAGATACCGAATACTTTGACATACTTCGACTTGCCGCTGGGCAAATTCTTCATACAAATCGGAACGAGCCTAGTTCAAGAGTATGTGCAAACCGATCTCTTACGGACTCAAAAGCGCAAACAGGGCAAGGGCAGTACCTCGGCCGAGACTCAATTAGCTATAAACTCGCTTATCAAGAATCTAGAATTTAGCAAAGAGAACAATGAACCATTCCATTTAGAGATGAAGAAATGCGAATTCTGTAGTTTTAAAACGGAATCGACCTTAGTCATGCAGCATCATCTAGAGACCCCGCATATGCGTAATTACGTTTACAAGTGTAACTTCTGCCCGATCGAAGTGCGTAGCCCTCACGATATCCTATTTCACATGGAAGCGGAGCATAATACTCGCGGTAGATTGGAGCGCGGTCCGGCCTTCCATCAGTGCCCAAACTGTCCGTTTGAGGACAATCAGAAAGGCAAGTTGACGCGGCATATTCTCGCCTGCACCAAAAAGTTCCGGCCGGAACGGAACCTGGAGCCAGCCGTGGATTGGGAGCCACCAGCGAAAATACCGAGACTGAATCGCGCGCGACCGATCGGGCCGACCAATCCAAACGCGCTCGCGGCGATGGCAATGAGCGGCAAGGGCCCGCAGCCGCTGCTACCGAAGCTGCTGCCCGCGCCGATCACCGGTCGTGGGAGAGGTCGGCCGCCCATGCAGCCGAGATACTCCGATCTGAAAACACTGCGGCCAGGTGCTACTGCGATACGGCAAGGTGAGGCGAATTAAGAGCAGGCAAAATAATGCTCTCTTCACTTGTCAACGCGTACTGATAGGAATTCTATTTCAGATAATGTTGCAGGAATGATGTATCGTCCTACATCTTCTGGCTTACTGGTGCCCACGTCATACCAGTTTGGTAGTAACCAAATATTCCAGGTAAACATAGCATTCATTTTTTTACGTGCACGCACATGCAGACACTGATAATCGGGTGTATAGCGGGTGGCGAGCGTGATAACGCAAAGTGTCACGATAATTCCCGCTTTGAAGAACCGCTCGGGAGGATGTACGTTTTTTTTTTTTTTTATTTAAAATTCGATTCGACCCAGTAAATCCCCTTTATTCATCGTTATGCTATGTTCTCCCAGGATGACGTAATATACATCCTACACGCACGCACAGACACTCACATGTACACAGTTAAACATTATGATTTTAACCATCATACATTTACATTTCTTTATCGCAAAATCAAAATATGTGCTTATACTAACATACAAGGGCGATGATAATCGTGAAAAGTCATGCCCTTCAAATTTGAAAAAAAAAACACTGCAACACGCTGCGTAAAAATAGAATAAACTATATACATGTATTAAGTATTCAGTATATTCTTATTAAACTGTATATGCATATTATTAAGCTCTACACTACACATAATACCACCATTGGTCGCATTTTCTTGACGGATGTGTATATCGTTACTTTATTTTGTGAATTGGTATATCTGTGCAACAATCATCGACAAAATGCGGGCAGGGTAATATAAACTACGTTCAAAATGACCAAGTAACCAAGTTGTAAATGCACAAAATTGGGGCACATAAAGGAAAACTAAGATGGGAGAGTAAATTTTTACTCGTTTCCCCCCCCCCCCCCGGTATTGGTACCATAGATTTTTTGCACGAGAAAACGTGTAAATATTACTTTAAATCAAAACTCCTCTGGATATCGGGAATTGGTGAATCAATATATCTCACGTACTATGTTATGTCCGTGTTGCAACAATACAGAAGGGAGTGTGAATCACACAGAGTCTTTAGACTGTATGGATTATCTCGTTTCTAGTAACGATGTTTACGAATGTGTATACACACACTCGAAATATCACACTTTAAATAGTCCGAAAGCTCCAAGAACTAGTAAAAAAGATATATGGGTGGTGGCAGGTGGTGGGTGGCTCTGGGACTGTCATGTCGGCTGTCTCGGGAGTGAGTAGCAGTAGCGGCGGCAGTTCCGGTCAACCCACACCAATTGCACTTGTACCCAACGTAATCGACTCTCTGTCTAGGTTGTCCTCATCACAGGTAAATAAATATAGGAAAATACCAGTGGGAGAATACTCTGATCTCATGATACTTGTGACCGCATGCGACGATGTGTTTTTTCGCAGGTGCAAACAGGCTTTTAACATTCTTCAATTAAGTCTCCAGTTAAATGCGTTTATAGCCGCTTGTGAATCTTAACATCACGCACAACAATATCAATTCCCCATCTAATTTACTTTCGCAGGCCAGTTATTCCCCCATAATTGTACACGCATACACACACGTTATCTGAAAAAGAAACATGCGTTTAGACTCCTTAGTCCTTTATCGCGCACACCCTTTTGTTCATTTATATAACAGTATACGACTACACATCTACAAAACAGAACAAGAGCTAAATTTCTATCAGCTCTCTCTCTAATATACGTGTAATTTTTTTATTTATTAATACTGGGAACATAAATATTTATCTTAATTTTTGAGTAAGAAAATAAAGGAACACATACACACATACAAATGTACACATGCACACGTTTACATATATGTGAGAACGAAACAATCTAACAAATGTGTACGATTTTGACTGAAGATGCAATTTTCAGGTGGATATTACTAATAAAAAATATATATATATTTATCAGTATATGTATATAATTTATAAAAATAATATGACCCGATGTGTATTTTGTATCCTGAATAACATAGGTACTTTATATTTTTCAGAACACATCTGCCAGTCCCAAAAACCCTACAGCAAAGTTATTAAGTCAGCCGAGTATATCTATTACTCCACTACCACGTACGACATCTCAAACCTCCATTCCAGGATCAGGCACTTCTTCAAAATCTGGGGGCAAGAGTTCGTTTGTTATATGTGAAATTTGTGACGGATATATTAAGGTAGGTGTGCCGATAAGTTCGTAAATTTCACATTCTTTATGTTTAACGTTAACTATACCTGAAATACGTTAAAAAAAGTAAATATATGAAAAGAATTGATTTTGTAAGAAATAAGCTTTCACAAGTCGCAAGTTATAAATATATCACTTGGCTTGCGAATCGTATTGGCAATTGCAAGATTTTATCAATATTATATCGCGCGTAATAATACGTGAATTTCTTCAAAGAACTTGCATTGAATTCCCCCGTCATATTTATTTTAGGATCTAGAGCAACTACGAAATCACATGCAATGGATCCATAAAGTAAAAATACATCCAAAGATGATTTACAACAGACCTCCACTAAACTGCCAGAAATGCCAATTCCGATTTTTCACAGATCAGGTAAAAAGAAAATTAATAAGGTAAAATAATGACCCCGCGTTGTAGTTTTTAATATTGTAATAATTGGACGGAATACGTTAGATCGTTACTGCTTATTATAAAATCTGTACATACGTTTAACAATTGTTCTCGGAGATTAATACCGCACCCTTTTTATGACAGGGCTTGGAAAGACACTTACTGGGATCTCATGGACTTGTCACGTCCAGCATGCAAGATGCAGCAAATAAAGGAAAAGATGCGGGTCGTTGTCCATCCTGTGGCAGGGTAAGTTCACTTTTTTCCAACATAGAGTAATTAAGAGTTCTCTTCGAAAAGGAAAGAACGAATGATCGAGAGAAATGAACACGATGGGACCGAGAGTTAACGAGCGTTGCTTTCCAGGTATATCAATGGAAACTACTGAATCACGTTGCTCGAGACCACGGAATGACATTAAAGCCAGCACACCTGTCGTATAAATGTACAGTCTGCACTGCCACTTTCGGTATGTACAAGCAGTTCGAGAATCACGTGTATTCGGCACACAGTGTCGTGGCGAAGAGAGTGATGGACAAGAAAAACGCGCCAGCATCGCCGTCGTCCAGATCCAACGATTCCCTTCTGAAGCCGTTGAAGATCAATGACGAGATTACGATTATCCCGCAACCGGCGAAACCCACAACCAGATCCGGCGCGACTCAAGGCCGAGGAAAATAGCAATGATGAGCTTGAGTGATACTTGTGTCTCGTCTGATCGAATTTCGCATAACTCTTTGTGGTACTCTCCATGCCGATCGTCGTGAACGTATGGCGATCAACGTGCCGTGTACATGTGTATGTATACTATTGCTTAAGGCGCAAATTACGACACCTAACAGAGAAAAGAAAGGAAAAGAAATCAATTACAACTATTTGCAACAAGAACTAGTTGACTTCGTAATAATATTCCATCAATGATTATACCGATATATTTATTTAAGAATTTTTATTGTTGTTATCGGACCTACATAAAAATAGACTGTAAAAACATTAAAGGGTGGCCTTCAGTCTAACTCCTTGGTTAATCCTTATATAGCAGCGTATTCTCCCGACCTGTGTAACGCCTATGTGTGTGTAACGGACTCTCGTGAAATACCAAGTGTATCTACACATTCGATATGTGACGACGCATAAACATGTCACACGTGCAGTGCGGATTACTCTCTCTTTCTCTCTACCCCTCTTGCATAGTGAATTCTCTATATAATGTGTATAAATTCTTTTTCTAAGATAAATATATTCGAATTTATTCTATTTTGTTATTATGAACGCTAACTATCCGGGACAATGGATTGAAAGCTGTCCTCTTACTTAATCTCCGATTTGATAAGTCGATAAACATCATGTTTGCGAAACAGTTTCCGAGCGATTATACGAAGTGACAAATTCTACTAATTGACCAGAGTGCCCTCGACTGTCTCGCGAAACTATAGTACACAGGTACTAACGACAAATGTATACTATCTATCTTTGCCGTGTGGATCTTCCGATCGTATACATACCTTCATTTCGCCATCATATTTATCTTGATCAATAGTTGTCGAAATTATTCTCATGCTCTTATTTATGACACTTCCTTACATGAGAAAAAAAAACGTTAATTTATAATGTACAACATGAGCAGTTTTCCTTTTTTTTTTTAATCGAACTTGTAAATTGTATCTATTACTAAGTTTGACTTTTTTAGTCTCGCGTAATATACTAAGACAGAAAATACCCAATTTTATTTTCTGCGCTCTTAATAAGAACAACAAAAATGTACATTAATATAGGATATAATATAAAGAAATATATCAATAAAATAGGATGGCACACACTCGTGTATACATTTTTTTCTGATAAACGATAAACGTGAATATAAAACGGAGTATTGGACTTAGCACACAACGTGACGTATGAATACATATTTATATATGTATATATATAATATAGTATTCACACATGATATTACATATATAAATATGTAAAATTACAATAGAGCATAGCAATAGTGTATTACAAGAAGAAATTAACCGTTTTATTTTCTTCTTGTATACACTCCGGAACGATAATAGGGTTACATCAATATGTAGATAGTCGTTAAAAGTAACGGGTTTAATTTAGTAATTTCAATTTGTCCTGATCATTTTTGTACGTTATTGTAGGATATATAATTTTAGAAGGAACTATAATCACACAATGAAAAATATGAGATAGTGCGTTTTTGCACTGTATGGCTGTATTATTTAATTCTGCTACTTGCCAAACGCTTACGGCAAGCCATGTTGGTAAAACTAAGAAACATCGCTAGACATAATTACAGAAATATATAGTTTATTGTAATAATTTGTACAATATTATATGATTACAAGAATAAAGTGTACCAACATTGAACTAAGGTTTCTATAGTATGCGTCACACACTTTGAAACCTATCGCCGTTTGGTAGCAACAGAATTCGGCCTGAGTAAAAAAGCACGATCCTAAGTAAAAAAAAGAATCAAGCATGAACAGAAAACTGCCACGACTAAGAGAAATGATAGTTTTGTAAATATATATATATTATTTTCAGTGTTGTCAAAAAAAATTCTAAAGCTTCGACAAACGTGTAAGATAGATATTTTACGAATAATAATATAATATTCTGCAGTTATAAATTCACATTGTCACAAGGATATTTGTCACCATTTTCATCACGCTTCAATGACAAGTGGGACTTTTATCTGAAATACTATATTTAAAGAAGTTCAAAAAATTCGATCGAAATGTAATAATTAATTTACGTCTTGATCACACAAAACGTTGTCAATTGAATTCTAGGAAGGAGTGAATAATTACAGTTATCTCGCACAAAGTATATATTTCATAAATTTAATACTCAAAATGAAAATCGAAATAGGACTGATCAAAATTATTAATGCGTATATATCCGTCTTCTCCGCCCGTTGAATAACTGCGTCCATTGGGGTGAAAAGCGAGGGAATTGATGGGACCAAAGTGGCCCTTCAAACGTGCGAACTCTTCCTCGAATACCATGTGGAAGAATCGCGAATCAAATTTGCCCTGTCGCGCGGACGTCGTAGTTACGTCCATAGCGTCTTGACCACCACCAAGAACCACCTGTAGAGAAATATATCAATTTAATGAATGTAACATTACAGTAAGGTAATGGATGATGCTCCGAAGTAAAAAGTTACATGATCAAAAATCGGTGATATTGTGGCCGAATTCACGGGCCTTTCCGTTTTATACGTCTTCAGCAACATTAAAGATTCACTATCGAAAAGCTTTGCTGTGTGATCCTTGGACGCGGTCACAAACATGGTGCCATCTTTGTTAAATTGCATATCATTTATTTGCGATTTGTGACCTTTGACACTTGACAATTTCTTTCCGGTCTGTATTGTAAGCAATATTCATTATTACTAATTCGTAATACTCCAATAATTATTGTTGCAATGATGAAAATTTTGTCTGATACTTACCCTCACATCCCAGAGAGTGATCTCTCCATCTTCGTGGCCTGTAACGATCGTCTCGTCCAGGGCACCCCATAATATGGCTGAGATCCTAGGGCCATTAACTGAAATCCTAGAAATTGCATCATCTTGCGACAACGTAGGGTCGACATTTCGTATATCCATAATAAACATCTCGCACTGATGACCCAAGGCTTTATCAGTGGAGAATACAGCAAGATTCGCCGAGTAACTGAAGCCACAGGTTCGTACTGAACTATTTGTATGCAGCTGACCTATCTCCTTGCCTGAACAATATCATGTAAAAGATACAAGTATACAACAAAACTATATCAATGTTTTCTTGTATAACCCTGTTATGTACAAACCAGTCTGGCAATCCCAAACTCTTAAAGAATTATCACCACTTCCGGATAACAACCGTGTAGTATCCCAATTGACGTCGATGCACCATACAGAACCATTATGGCCATTGAAGGTTCCAAGACGCTCTCCATTCAGAGAATACCAAACATTAGGTTGCTTATCCTTACTGGCAGAGAATACCAAATCACCTTCTCTGTTATACTTGATCTTGGTGATGGCACGCTCGTGCCCATGTAACATCAAGGGTTTCTGAAAACAGGTGATTGCTTTTAGTATCTCAAAAAAGATGACAAATGAGTCATAAAAGACATGTATACATATATACACACATAGATAATGTAAATAGAAGGATTGAACTTTGTTTAAAGTTCCACAGTATTGCGGAAAAGTACAATTAATTACACAATATTCCGATGATCAGGGTTAAAATATCGCATATTTTATCAGCACAATGTACGGACATTGCCGAGGGGAATGTTGGTTTCGATACAAGATTGAAAAGAACTTACCATTTTGCAGCGTTTAACCCTATAAAGTCCTTAGTTGACGAATATATTTCTTTTGAATTAAAATATAATGACACGAGGTTTCGGTCGGTTGGAAAATGGAAGCAGGCACGGTGAGACAACCATAGATTAGATGGATAACGAAATTTGGTTACTCACAGACGACTTTCGTCTGTTCCAAAATCTATCAAATCCGCACCCACATGGCGCGGCAAGTAGAGTTACCGATCTTACGAGGTCACACGGTCACAGTTCCGTTCCGAGTTCCGTTCGTATAAATAGCCGTCGCGAAAAATTGGAAAGGAAACGAATTTGAAACGGCATGACAGATATCTCCGGGCAACATGAGGTCAACCAGAGCTATTGTTTCAAATGGAGCAATTACCAGAGCTACCTGTCCGATGTCGTGCAACAGCTCTTGGAGGAGGATTGCATGGTGGACGTCACTCTATGCGCAGCCGGCCACCGTATTCACGCGCATCGCATCGTATTGTGCGCCTGCAGCACCTTGTTCCAAGTAAACATTCTCTCCTGACGGGACTCGATTGCACGGAATATCGATGAAATTGATCAGCGTTACACAATTTGCAGGAAGTCCTTAGCCAAGTGACAGAGGATAACCCGACTATTATTCTGAGCGATATATCTCCTCAGGATATCAAGTCGATTATCGAATTTGCATATCATGGGGAGGTCCGAGTCCCCGTAGAAAATATCAGTAACTTACTTGAGACTGCACGCTCGTTGAAGATAAGCGGCCTTATTGACGTTAGTATCAGATGAAAGCTATAACGGCGTAAGAAAGTTGGCGGTTGATTTGCTTCAAGGTTTCAACTTACCTTTTCCATTCACATTATGCTTAGTGATTGTAATTTATGAATTGTGCAATGTCTCCTCGGCAGATCAATGGACTCGAGGAAAGTGAAAGTGCTGTAAACACAGAGGACAGCGATGAGCATGTGACTGAAATGGAGGAAAGTTCGGTTGTTCCTCCGGAGAAAGACCTGCAACAAGGACAAACCACTGCTGATAATAGCGTCTTGAGTAAGAAAAGAAAACGCCGCCGTGATCCGTCAAAGAGAGAATACAGTGAAGTCATGTTGGCATCTGCAATTGATGATTTAAGATTGGGACAAACGTTAGTAGAAGCTGCCACTAAACATAACATACCACGTTCTACATTGTACATGCGGGCAAAAACATTGGGTATTCATTTAAGTGCATCGAGGAACGAGTATCCCGCGGAATGTATGAATGCGGCAATAACTGCTGTGATGGGTTAGTGTATTTTTTTTTATTTTCTTTTAGTATTTTGTAGACTCCTCTCTTCTTCTTTACGTTAAATTATCCTGGTAAATTTGTATTTGTTCAACAATCAAGCGAACTGTAAGGCTTATGCTCTTCTCTTGTTGCTACAGGTGGTTCAAGCTTGCAGCATGCATCAGATTTATACAAAATACCCAAAACTGTATTGTGGAGGCGTATACAGAAAGAGGGTCATCAAATCTTGCGTTCTGAAATGAAGAGGTCCTACGGTTTAGATACGAGAGAGGCTGCTGTGAAAGCCTTGGAAAGAGGGGAGAATCTGACGAAAGTTGCATTAGAATTTAAAGTGAATTTTACTTCTGATTGCTTTTTTAACTATTCAAAGTGACATCAATCTAATGACAATCTCTTGTGCTTAGATACCAAAGACTACATTATTCAGAGACAAAGCACGATTAGTAGACCAAGGTAAATTGCCGTTGTCGTTTTGGAAGAAACGCAAGACTGAGGACGAGGAATTGAAGAAATCGCGATTGGAAGAAGCAGTGGCCGCTTGCAAGGGCGGCAAGATGTCGCAAGCCGCTGCGTCCATGACGTATCATATTCCAAAAACTACGATATGGCGAAGGCTTCAGCAGGACGGAAAGAAAACTGAGAGATCGTCGAACGTGAAGAAGCAACAACGACTAATCGAGACGTCGCAGCAGGATTCTGAAGCGAAAGCGCAAGAAGGCTCCGATTTTACCTATTGTGAGGTAATGCATAAATATATCTGCAAATTTGAAAGACTTAGCATAAGACATCGTTTTTTTTATATCAGGAGCAAAGTTTGACGTTACATCGGTCAATAAAAAATACGTTTTATGATGTAGGTTTCGTCGGATATTCCTATCGCTTACATAGACGAGAACAGCTTACCCGAAGATTCCGTGATAATCTTGACGACGGAGGAAATGGAAGGACTGAATCTGGAGGAGGGCAGACAAATTATTGTAAATACAGTACGTAAAACATACATTCGTATCGATGATTGAATTGCTTTTCATCTTTGTCGCTATAAACCATCCGTGTTCTCCTCAGGGATCTGGAGAGGAGTACATTCCATGTTCAATAAGTATCGAGGATAATAACGCAAATTACTCGCAGACTGAGAGTTAACATTACAGATACAGATCATAAGATTTAAGGCTAATCAATGTTATGTACATATAGTTGTTACGATATTTTGGAGAAAAGTTTATTTACACTCCGCATCATTTCCTCCTGAATCGAGATGAATCAAGTCTGAGAAAAAATTGCTTATCATACGCAGCATGTACACATGTAGATGTCTCAATGAGTGTGCATGTGAGGGTAATACAACAATCTAATAACTCGAGAAGTTTTGTGCGCATCCTACACTGCCAAATCAATTTGATTTTACAAGGTACCCGTAGTACAGTCGTGGACAGAAAGGTTGTCCCTTTCCTTGAGCATAATAAGCATCGCATTTGGAGTATCATTTCTGAACACTCGTGCGTCATAACTACTGATTATTTTGTGAGCCGGCGAGGATGCTCCAAAGCGGCAATTTTAATGCACAAATATTTAGAAGTGATATGCCTAATTCGAAATTTCCGATGTCACTACGCCTAGGGAATGGAAGAACCTTTCTGTCCGCGACTCTAGTGCTGAGTGTTCCAAAAGTCCCCTTTCGTGATAACTTCCCATTCTACGACCAATCAACGCTATCGAAGTACCACTTGTTAGCCTTGAACCTCAAGGTGCTGCGCAAATTCGAACAAGATGGCCGTGTGTCGTTTGACAGTTGACGACGTGCACATCATCTTGTCGTAGTCGTGCGTCACGTGTGGGATACGCGAGTGCGGGAACGTCGCAAGAAAAAAAAAAGAAGAAAGGAACTGTGCGAAAGAGGAGTACGCCTTGGAAGGTCTGTGACGAGCGGTTCTTCTCCCGACGACGTACAGTGCGCTACGTAGCGATACTTAGAGCGCGAGTGATCCGGATCCTCCGCAGGGCCGAGCGAGGCCGTATCATCGGAAAAATTGCGTACATCTCGCGGGAAGACATGCCGGACAGCGGAGCCGTTTACCAACCGACCACGGTCGGTTACACGTACGACAGCGGCGGCGACGGCACCGGAGGCGGCGGCGGTGGGTTGAGGCACGGTTTCTGGAGGATCATGTCCAGACACAAACTCAGCTCTCGAAAATGGCTCGAATGGGTGTTATTGTCGGTCGGATTATGCTTCTTTGTCGGTGGCCTTGCGACGATTCTTGTCAGCTTCGTCTGCACGCCATCGCGAACGAACATGCCGGAGGTAAACTTGTCTATTACTTATTTCTACGTACGACTCTAATGTATACAGAGAATACTTTCATCCTAATAGTCTGTATTAAGTGTTTGGTAAAAAACATATATAAAGCCATATCTGTTTCAAATGAGCAACAGTGGAAAATGCCGATAATCTTCTGTTTTCATTTAGTGATCTCAAGATCAATTTTTCTTTCGAGCAAGAGTACTCTGTACGTAATGTATTATACATGTTTATATGTTGACTATGGTCAGATGCTCATATGCTGTACGCATCTTCCTTTAACGAACAATAAAGATAGAGTGATATTTACAAGCAGATTAGCTCTGTAATCTTCTTCACGTTTGTTCATATCGACTCATAATAATAAATGATTACAGATCAATACAGATGAATATACTACGGTGGCTCCAGATATAACACAGCATGCAGATGATGCGGAAAACAATTCTGTGGCATTAGGCGCCGGCATGATGATAGTTGGTGTATTGCTCGGCTTAGCCTGGGCGTGGTTGTACTTCTTCCACCGTAACAAATCACCGAGGAACGGCATGACCGGCAGCAGTGGCCAGGTAGGCAGACAATGTCCAGCCATACAACATTTTGCGTCTGGTTTTTACAGGGGTGTGCGGGTGTTCGAAATCACACATTTTTCTCACGACATTGGTACGCCTTCGAGTGAGCCGATCCCTTCGAAGACTCGCACACTCCCTTCTCTGATTTTATTTCACCGGAAGCCATCCGCTCTCTGGTCTGTACACACTCGTTTCTTTATCTTATGTACGCGTTGCTATGAGGAAAGATGTTGGGCGGTTTGAATCCATCGACTGACTTGCTGGTGGGTTCCACTTCGCAGTACGGGCCAGTACTCACGGAGGTACCGAGTCAGCTGAAGATGAAGCAAGCGGGCTCGCACGACACGCCGGCTCTGCCGCTTTCCGATCAAGAGGAGGAAACGCACACGCTAATGCAGGATTCCGCGAGCCCGCCGGCCGTTTCCGTCGGATCCGGCGTCATCGCCAATCAGATCCCAGGTTGAGTACGGCAAATCGCTCGGTCCGCGCACACACGCACGCTCGTTCGTAACGGACGAGAGATCGCTTTGACTTTTATCAATCTTCTCGTATACGCGCGTTCCCTGCGAGAAGAGCGACTTTCGGCGATCTCGCGGATCTTGTCTCGTTTTACTTTTAGGGACTCGGGACGTCGTCTCTTTTGACTTGTTTGTTTTTCGGAGTCAATCGGTTCCCGTCGGCCGCCGTGACGACGATTTTGTGATTAATCAACTTTATGCCATTCAACGGAACTGCTTTTTGTTATTCTCCCCCGTGTCTCTTCGGGTTCGTCTGACTTTTCTGACGTAGATATTTTTACTTTAATATGCACAAACGCGACTTAAGAGATCTCATTTACATATATATGTAATATTATTTAGGCGCGTCAGTACTTATCCCTTCATTTTTTGCCTATGCATTCCTTCGCTCCGTCCATTGTCATCGTTAATACGTTAAGCGAGCATTGGATCCAGATAGAAACACACACTTTACAGATTGTATTCTTGAAACGTTACGACCGTGCCAGCCTGCGTGTGATGAGTTTTATAATAATCTTTTATATCGACACTGAACTCGATTATCGCGAGGCATTCTTTGACTTACATTTATATCATTGAAGAATCACAGTTGCTGCTACATACACTTCAGACGAATCTACGAGCGTTTTTGAGCGCACATTTAGATCGTCTTGTCCTAATTTTCGACGTGCTCTCATCATATTTATATATTCTTGCGTATCTACGTTTAAGTATCAGATCTAAATTATTAGCAATGGTGACAGTCATCGTTGACTATACATGTATATTGTAAATTAACAACCGCACATCGGAGCATGTACATCAATTCAGTCAATAATTGTCACTGTATTAGTACATGAACGATTATGTATATATTAGAATAATGTGTGTATATGGCATGTAAGACGAAATAACTGCAAATTGAAAGATGAGTTTTAAAATGTTTCTCGGTCATACCACTGCAGTGCACAATTTTTATTATGTTCCGATTTCTTTTTTAAATGTCCACTTAATCACTGAGACCACTATATAATAATACTAATAATCGTCATTTTATATTATTGCACATGATTTTCGTACAAACCGATCTTCTACAATGAATACATTCTCGCTTTAATGGGACACTTATCGAGCTGAAGTATTTTCTATGATTTTACATAATTAATTTAGCCCTTTGGACCCGCATGTAAACATAATGTAAATGTAGAATCTATCCTAGTAGGATTTAACGGTATATTAAATACGTTGCTTTCAGGGCAGAATACATGATATTTGTATAAAACACCAATTGGAGCTAATTTTTATACATTTATTATCTTTACTAAAGCTATGTGTTCAGTTTTACGATATGTGATAACGATTTTTGAGGAATCATCGAAGGACGGCCTGAAAATTCGTCTGAATTCAATGCTGATGTAGATTCAACCACATGTATAACATCACCAATTTTCACCATTTGCGTGAGATCCCTATTTTACGTTCGTTATTGAACTGTATACTAATTTATGTAAATGTTCTGGGATATATAAAACAAATAAAAATACAATACAACCTGCGATTCTTTTTTTTTCAATAATTGTAAAAATATTCGTTTATGTGACGAGATATATAGTTTATTTTCTATATATTTCCCTTAATTATAAAATTATATATATTTTTCATAAATATATATATATACTTACATAGTCAGCAGATTAAAAATTGCAACATTTTTTTGCATAAGTTTTTTGGGTGAAACATAAAAATAAATAAAATATTTTTAAATATAAATTGACAACGGCACCTTGTTCTTGTTCAAGTAAAGCGACTTCAATTCCGCCAGTTCCGCGGAAGGATCCTTTCGTCAAGACGGATATGTTGTTCGTATGTAGGTTCAAGTATTGCGTCGTCACGTTTTTGAACGCATTCTCTTGAATTTCTACAAGTCTTAAGTCATTGATGAACAATTCAGCGTCGGAGAGATCAGTCTGGGTCACGTTCAGCACGCCCTTGTAGTGACAGATGTTGCAATCGCCAATGTCCAGACATATCGGCACATCGACGGTCAACTGCTCCAAATGGACAACATTCGCCGAATATGCCGGAAGGACCCCTTGCAAGAATAGCGGAAAAAATCGCAACATCATATAAGCACTTGATTCGCGGTTGTTGAAGCAATAAGAAGACGAATCGCAGTTTTTATAGCCTTACATCGTTACACGAAGTACATAACGGATTATGTCAGCAAATCTATGCACTATTGATATTGCTATTGAGAAGTTATCGTGTTTACGCTCACGAAAAAATGTTCGCTTCGCAACGACGCGAAGTGTCAAAGTTGAAAGCGAAAAATAATAACATTTCTGAAAAATGTTCTGCTATCGCAGAAGTTCACGATGAGCGGAGAAATCGTAAGAAAATGAGAATATCACGTTTGAAACAACAATGACCAGTATATTAAATTTGAAATCTTTTAATTTTGCTATGTATGGGATATAAATATTTTTATTATTATTAAAGTATCATTTATTTAGTGCGCGAGGACAAATCAATCCAGCGCCCGAATTATTACAAGATGTATATAAAAATTCACAATTTAAAACTGTAATATTATATAAGTAATATATAGGTCACGATATATAGCATATGATAATATAGTAGCAATGGACATATCCTGATATATGCATCATTTGTTCGGACGTCGAGCGAATGTAGCCTGGAATTGACCGGGTGAAGGCCACACGATACGGGGTGTCGTGCCTCCAGCGACCCACCTGGCGGGCGACGTGCGGTGCCTGAGGCGAGGGCGTGGGGGTCCCCGCCCGACCTACCTCGTCGTCACCGTATGACGTTCTTGCCGCGCAATCCGGTCGTCAGCGACCCACTTTGCTGACGGATATCAGCTGGCTACTGATACGGCTCCTCAAAGATCCACTTGGCCGACGATGGACGTCGGGCTCGCCGAACTTCTCCTCGCTTGACTCCGGTGCCCCGTAAAGAAGGCTTCCGACCGGACGCTCCGAGAATCTCCTCAATCCGAAGGTAGAGATTACCTCTGCCTAGAGTCGAGTTGCCAAGCTCCGCGATAACACCGAGTCGCAACAAACGGTGATCCGCACCGGAAACTGCCTGAGAATCTCCACTCGCTTGGTGACCTCACCAGGATCGGGTCACATTACCAATCCGCCGCGCTCCACACAGCTTTCTCGCAATCTTCGAACTATCGAGCCACACCGCGGATCATTCGCTCTTCCGTCCGAAAGTTCCTTGTTCCTTCACTCTCGGCCGCTAACATTATTCCGACCAAGGCACTGAAGGCCAATCACCAAAGATGACCTTACGATACCCAATATATACAACTGATATGGCACGCTAGGTGTACTATTCACCACTCCGTCGACTCGAGTGCGATAGAAGACAAAAGCGGTCTCAGCCGATTTGGTGAATTTGGTAATTTATTTTTTAGGAATTTATATTCCGATAGGACGTTACAACACCAATCGCATCATCGTAGGTCTGTTCGTTTTCGCTGCACCGCTGAACTAGTGCAATAAGTTAAAGCGAGATAAGTATATGTTTTCTCACTTTAACTTATTGCACTAGTCCAGCGGTGCAGCGAAAATGAACAGACCTCGTGTCTGTAGCACAAACTTGTCGTACCGTAGCGCCAGACAACCGAGTTCATATAACGTCCTATAAGAGGAGAAATATATATATATATATATATATAGAAATAGATAGGTGGTGAGAAAAAGATAAAAACGAGGAAGAAAGAGAGAAAGCGTGTAGTCGCCAGTGAAATCAACGGCAGTGTGGACGAACGTGAGGTAGCGTGGGCGCGACGGTAGTAACTCGACGTTGTCTTCGGCAGTCTTCTGGTTGTCAGTGAAGAAAGGAAAGGGAAAGAGGAGCGTATCGCGAGAAAAGAAATTCTTCAGATAAAATACGGTTGAGCACACCGGTCGGTCATTCTCGACCGGTTGTCTCAATCGCGTCGTCGCATCGCGTTGTTGACGTCCGTCGTTTCACGCGTCTAGCCGCGGCGGCTGAATCACACGAACCACCGAACAGAAGACCACTACTGATCGGAGATACTCGACGAAGTAAAGGCGATTAACTAAGCCAGCTAGACTACGCGACGACGGATTTATCACGATGAGCTTCCTATTGTGAGTTCTCTCTTTCTCTTGGTGACTTTCCCCAGCCGATGTCGTTATCGCTATAAACCACCGTTTGCTCGCTCGATCGATATACTTTCTCCAAAGAGACACATGACAAGATCGTTGCGACGATGATCTCCGCGTCGACGTCGCATCGCTGTGACAATTCACGGTGGAGGAAGACAAGGATAACGACTGTTCTTCCTGGCCGAGAGCCTGATCGTCGATTCTTTGCGAGGATAAATTTTTTTTCTCCCCTCCCCCCCCCCTCCCTCTCTCTTTCCTCTCTTTCTCTTAGTATCTAATCTAGTAGTCACATTTATGTATCGTCCATCGAGAACAAAAAATTCAACTTGGTTGTTGATTGGACCGAAAAAAAAAAAATAGCGCGATATCTCGCTGGTATCATTTTTTTTCTGCGTCTCCTTGCAGAAGAAACCACCATGTTCCTGCGAACACAATTACCGTTCGACGACGACGCGCAATCTATGAATCATCGGCAACGACCGCGCCTCATTTCTCACTCCTCGTCATCGTCATAGCGAGGAAATTTTCGCAAATGCGATCGTGATTGACGCGACCACATCGTCGTGTCACTCGCTCGCGTTCGTTTTAACATTCGCGACGTTTTAACGTTACTCTCTCCCTCTTGTATGTTGATGTGTGTACGTGTGTAGTGTAACAACGCAATCGTGATCAGCTGAGCGTCGCGTCTCGCAGTTCAGCACGCGGATTTCAATCTTTTTTCTCAAACGTGCTTTAAATCGAAGCGAATTACCTTCCTGTATTTTCAGTCAAATTTGATAATATATATTATCTTTTTGTGACTTTCTTCTTTTATATTTTCTCAAGCGGAAGCAGGTCTTCCAAGACCTTCAAACCGAAGAAAAATATTCCAGAAGGCACTCATCAGTATGATTTGATGAAACATGCAGCTGCGACTCTGGGCTCTGGAAATTTACGACTTGCGGTAATGTTGCCCGAAGGAGAGGATCTCAATGAATGGGTGGCGGTTAATAGTGAGTTTCAAGTCACTAATATAATTCTAAAAAAAAAAAATTACGAAAAAGTAATAAAACGATGAAAAAATGGCTGCATTTGTTAATTTGTGTCACTTTTTCACAGCCGTTGATTTCTTCAATCAAATTAATATGCTCTATGGCACCATCACGGAATTTTGTACAGAAGAGAGCTGTCCTATTATGTCAGCGGGTCCAAAATACGAGTATCATTGGGCTGACGGTCACACAGTGAAAAAGCCAATCAAATGCTCGGCACCGAAATATATAGACTATTTAATGACTTGGGTGCAGGATCAATTGGACGATGAGACACTGTTTCCATCGAAAATTGGTAATTATGTTTTGTCCCATGACCTTTTGATCTCGCGCTATCATTAATTGATCAATCTCTGTGTAAACAATTGTGAGTGCTGATTTTTTTCTCTCTCTCTCTCTTTCTCTCTCTCTCATAGGAGTTCCTTTTCCTAAAAATTTCCTGTCGATCGCAAAGACCATCCTGAAACGGCTATTTAGAGTGTACGCCCACATCTATCATCAGCATTTCACCGAGGTTGTACAACTTGGAGAGGAGGCACATCTGAATACGTCGTTCAAGCATTTCATATTCTTTGTTCAGGTATCAAGAACCGTCTTATTCACCAAAGAAAAAAATGAAAAGTGACGAATAAAATAATAAAATTCACTAAATGTATTGCGGTAATATAGATATACTATAGTTTTGTTTGATTTGTTGATGTGGAATTTCGTTCGACTGTGCCACTTGTAAAGTTCCTGATGAACGATGGAGTACATCAGTACGTCTTCACTTCCGATTAATATCGTCACTTGTCGTCGATACTAACGAGAAAATCATTGTCACTCGGAAAAACTTATAGAGTGGAAATAACAATTTTGCAAAATTCGCTATATCCGACCGTGAAGCACTTCCTTGATACATCTTGCATATAACAAGATACACCGAAACACTATCGTAATTTCATCATTTAACCCTTTGCACTCGAGGGCTCCGCTATGGAGACAATGCAAATAGCAAGAGCGGGATATCCTATATACAATAGTTTTTACGATTTGTCTTTGTCCTTATGTTATGAACTTAAAGTTATTTGCATTGTCTCCATAGCGGAGCCCTCGAGTTTGAAGACAAATTTTAAATGGCTCCGCCCGGAGCCCACGAATGCAAAGGGTTAAATATTACGATTAGACCTTTTTATTAATCGTTTCTTTTTTTTTTTTGCCCTTGTTTCCTAAAGAGATATATTTCGCACGGATGAATAAACTGATTGATATAAAAAGAACCGTGCGATGCTTTGACACCTTCGCTGATAATTTTAACTGATATCGCGTGTTTCGTTGCAGGAATTTAATCTCATCGAAAGAAGGGAATTGGCTCCGCTACAGGAATTAATAGAGAAATTGACGGCGAAAGACGCGCGATGAGGCTCACTTCCGCGCGATAAAGCCACTCGCCGTCCCGAAACTTCTCCAAAGAATCTCAACCATGTTGTCTTCGCTAATTTCGCACCGTATAATCGCATTATTTAATCGATTCATTAATCGCAACAATCTATCTCGAAGTAGAAAACGGCAGTGAAACGCCCTGGCTGCTCGAATGACTAATAATGGACGTCTACGGCGTTCACTTTCGAAACTTTATTTTGTCGACGTATTTAATGTATTTTGTATTATGGCTTACACAGTCATCGAAAGTTGACCGCTGAATTATGGTGAACGAAATATGTGTGATGCTCTCTTCGTGAGACAACGTGTCCATACCAACTGTTTATTTTCATCGCGCTCCCGGGATCTCAGAACGGTCTAAAGACGTTTCATAATTTATTGCGTCTTACTAACAACACCGCAGTTGGATGCAAAAGAGATAGAGAACGAGAGAAATTGAATCAAGTCGCTCGCGTCTCGCAGTACAAAGCATCGGCGCACATAGATGCATTTCGTAGAGAGCGTTTCTTGTTCTTCTGTGCGAACGAAACCTTTTGTGAGATGCTCGGTTTCATAGTTTTGTTATTATTATTGTCGCTATTATTAGATGTAAAAAAAATTATGTCGCTATTATATATGTAAAGAGAGAGAGAGAGAGTACACTATCGTTTCATACGGCTATGTAACGGCATATCGTATGGACGACGTATAATTTTACGTCCAATGATAGAACGATGTTATCGTTTCAAATTAGCGAATCTTTTTTTTTTTGTGAAATAAGTGCAGTGATTGTTGATTATATAGAGCCGTTTGAAGTGTGAGGTTAACGTAACGTATTATCTTAAGGTATTCTTCTATAGCCGCTTATAGATTTATTTATACGACTAGTATTTTTTATATTTTGTCTCTTCGTAAAAAGAGAGAGAGAGAGAAAGAAGTAATCTTCGAATCCCTCTTCACCATATCAATAGCAAACTGTCTGCGTCGTCTTACTGCAATTTTCTTCCATGTTTCTCGTACAATTTGTACATTACAAAAAAAAACTACATTTTATTGTATCCAATCACACCGATCGACCGTACACAAAGTTTGCATCGTTTGACTATTTCAAAATATTTTATAATTCATTGAAAAACTATGTGCGACTTTTCGTCGCGTTTTACCGTGTGTTGTAAAACTACATAAATTATTGATATGGATCAATCAACCGACCAGCATGAATCGTTCGTTACTCATCGTGTGTGCGTACGGATTACTAGAACCTCTAGATCTCGGAGGTATTGGAGAATCGTCGGTCAAAAAACTTGTAATCTAACTGATCAACCAATTTGAATCAATAAACACCGAGCATCGCTTATATTATATCCATGTTATGGGTGTGTAAATTATAACATGGATATAATATAATTGATGTCTGATGTTTATCAGGCTTTGGTTTCCATACCATGTCGATCGCTTCACGCGATTTACTTACGCGATTTACGACTTCTTCGAGTAGAGTAATAAATTCCAATAAACAAACATCTGTGTTATAATTTTCCACCCAACAATATTGATGCAATATATTAGCATGTATCATGTTGATAGTTATATTGTTGAGTGGGAAATGATAACATTGTCGTTACTGATGGTTAGTGAATTGTTAGTAATCTTCTATCCGCAATCTTCAATACCTCAGTCCGAAATTGAGGTTCGCACTGAGTTCGACCGAACGTCTCTTTCAGCAAATTGGCGCGTAAATGTGTACGATAACGTAAGTCTTTAGAGAAATACTGTGAATCTTCAAAAAGGAAAACATATTTTTTTCATTGCAGTAGACGTTAAGAATTAATCGTGTAACGCGCGCGCATATGTGTGCGCGCCGACATATTTTATTATAGCAATTAAGATAGTTATTAAGTGTAATGCGGCATAAAAAGGTGATTAATCGGTTGCTATCGTCGCCCCGAACAGATGACGTATTTACAACGCTGGATAGAGACATTGATCGTAGATCGTAAAAGAACAACTATAATAATAATGATAATTATAATATTGTATTCGGTACTTAAAAAAAAAAGAGGGTAACACTCGAAGCGAAAAGAGTTAGAAACTCCTGCGCATTCTCTCCGCAGCCCTTTGTCGCAACGTGGAATGACAGTCGCGCGCGCTCGCTGTTACAGATTATATTTTTTTTTGGTCCCAATCGTCGTGACGCTGATCCATGTATTATTACCGTACTCACTCGTGATGTTTAGACGCTTCCCCTTAGCTATTCTCTGTTTGTCCCTTTTTCTTCGAGCGACTTTCCGCGGCGCGAGTGCCTCAAAATATTGCGCGCGTGTGTATGTATGTGTGTATGTCCGACATGGTCGTGCGAATCAATACGATCGATTTGTTTCATCCTGAAATTGTTAACGAAAGTTCAATATCGGAATATTCGCGAGGATAAATGTTCGAGATTCGTTAATCCCGAATAGATTTAGTGGAACTTCGTTCGATATAAGTCACCAACGCGTTAAAAAAAAAGAAAGAGGGGAGGGGGTATTTTCAATCTTTATTTTTCTCCGTTTGATTAAAGGAAAATATGACGCGTTTGTCTTCTCAACACCGTTTCTCACCACCGACCTATTGAGCGTTTGAGTTGGAAGTGTGCGAAATATTTGTTACGATCAAACGATTTTGCAAACTGATCAATCTGTTGTTTGTAAGGAACTACTGTATGTATGAAGTTCGTTAAAAAAATCGAGGCAAGTAGACTGATCGATTAAGTCGAGGGTCGACGACTACGTCGAGCGCGTGTCTTATATCTTGTCAAGTTTTTCATGTTTGTTTTGTTAAGCGACGATCGTGTTGGATTGGTTCGAGACGGCCTTTCGCGGAGGGTTCTCAGCGACCGTCTCCGCTCTCGTCTGATAGTAACGCTAGTGATATCTCTGTGCAATGTAAATAATATTTTTCACAATTATTAATCCGGGAACCTCCGTGCGAGAACTGCGGCGCGAAATGTTTACATAGTCCTGAATATAATCTTGTAATCTTTCTGTAATAAATATCGCGTTTCTCGACTGTGTATTCTCCTTTTCTCCTGCTGTGTAATATTAATATATAATATAATCGTCAGCTTGGAACCTCCCACGTTGATACATAATTTATCTTATTTTTTCATCTCTCAAGCAGACTGTACAAAGTTCAAGTTCAACAAGATAACGCACGGTCCCAATAGTTCGAATCTTAATTTCGTGTTAAACTAAATGCAAAACGTATACACTATAATGAAAACAGAAAAAAATATTTTCTACGTTTTTTAGTCCTTTCTTGCAATTAATGTGTTGTCAAGTTACTTTTATTGTTAATATTTAGGAGAAAAATGTCGAGAGTTATTTTTATAGAAATTATAAAAATCTCAGTAGATTATATCAAGTACATGATAATGTATTATCAATTAACGGTAAAAGTAGGAGAGAGGAATGTAAAAAAAGAGGATTTGCTTGAAAATTGTTATCGATTAATATATCAAAGATAGTATATAGAACTTTTCTCCCATGAAACGATGAAATATGTCATTCGATGCTGTTGAAACATTTTGCACTTGTGAAATTCATCATCTTCGCTGCACCTATTTTCTTCGAAACTTTATTCCCTTCAAAAGTGAAACATCATTCTCACGATGATCGCGGTTTTTCCTGTTCAATTTTATTTCGTCATAATTGACCATTCAAATTTTATGCAACCCGCGCAAATTTACTGTTTCACTTATTATTATTTCGTGCATCAATTGTTACATCAATAAATGCTTTATCGAATATTTACTGCCCGATCCGCATACACGGCGTAGCTTGATGATTTCTTGACCTTCGAAAATTGCGGCGGAGAAAAAACATAAATCGATCATGTTGCACACAGATGGAAGGGGACATGTTTGTTAAACAAACGACATATTTTAACAAAATATAAAAAAAAATATAAACCTGCTCATGGTTTAAAGATCTCTCGCTTATTCCTACTTGCATTGTGTTACCTCAAACCCGTTTCACGGACACCTCGAATACATCAGTCACCAAACGGTCGCGAACTGTGACGGTCGCGTCTGACACACTCGCTCGATCGAAGCGTATCTTGTATGAGTCGATCGAAAGATTCGCGCGACGATAGCGGCCTGCTAATTCGTTCTTTCGAGACAGGTGAGTTGATTTTATTTCAAACGGACCTGGATAGAATATTAACTTGAAATTTGACTAAAAAGATATGTTGAAGACTGACAAATTGGCATAAATAATGAATTTCCTCGATATTTTTGGATGATAAAGAAACATTCATTCTATTCAGGGAATTTCTCGGTAAAACTTTAAAGTCACGAGAACACCCTGTATAAAATAATGGTAAATAATATTTCTAAATAACTATAATAAATATAACACTTGTAATACTTATAACTGAGCACAGGCCATCTGCTCGATTAATTGCCGTCGATTACTAATATCATATGATAAAGGTTGGTAAACAGTTATTCGCCCTGTATAACCGTCGAGTATAATCGATGCATTGTTTCTTGAAGTAAAATTTTCTGCGGGAATATTTTTTTATGTAAACTATTGTATCACAGTAATCTGTTAATCTTTGCAATTAAAGAGACATTACAAGTGTACTACTGATTTTATTAATGACTGAACATTCGATAAACATCCGAGTTAGAAACTGAGGAAAAATATCAAATTTGAGAAAAACATTTGGCGTACACCAAAGAATTTTCTTGCAACAGACTTGAAACAATCTACCTAATAATTGATTTTTATATTTGTTGAACTTTGTTTTAATAATTTTAATTTGATTCGCTATTTAAAATAAATTTTGCGATTATCATCTATGATACAGTCAAATTTGCTGAATAATATAAATAATAGGTAAAAAATAATAATTTTCTAGGCGACTCTCTCTCTCTCTCCCTCTCTCTCTCTCTCTCCCCCTCTCTCTCTCTCTCTCTCTCTCTCTCTCTCTCTTTGAATAGAGATCTTGATGTCGAAGCTTGAAATTCCTTCCAGTTTAAAGAGGGAAGAGAGACAACAATTTTAAGCATAAAGAACGATCTGGATACTATGGTAAGCCTATCTCATTTTTCTCATTAATAAATTTACTTTGATTGATAATATTTTCGATTGAATAAAATAACTGACATTTGAATACGAAAACTTTTCGGAAAATATTTAACCCTGGCTATAAAAACTACTGAGACTGAAATAAAGATATTCTTTCAGGAAATTATAACAACGGTGATGAAATTCGCATGCAAGGGTTTCTTCTTTCTGCTGTACTGTTTATTCAATCCGTTCTTCAAATTGCGAACTCTGAAGAAGAGACAACAGTGTCCGCCAATCGCCGATCAAATTTTGCTGCTATCAGCTACGGAAATTGCGCGAAGAATCCGCAGGAAAGAAGTTCGTATCGCGTGACATATTAATCGAAAGAGAGAGAGAGAGAGAGAGAGAAGAGGAGAGGGATTATTCCAATATAATATATATTATCGAATCGGTCGAAAAGTTTTGTTCAGTTTTCAACAGATTGCGCAAAAAAATGTGTGACAAAGATAACAATCTGCTGAAATTGTGCATCTCCTTAGTTGTTTCTTTCCTTTCTTCTTAGAGATGCCACATATCTGAGTGAAAAATCGAACTTACCGAAACTGACTCGATATCTCTGAATCTCGATATTAGAATGCCATTAAAACGCGATTCGTCTCTATATTCCTTCTATCATTCTCGGTGCTTTAGTCTTGATTGGCCACTTTCGCATATGACCCACATTCAAGTATAATCCTTGTACTTTTCGTACGAAAGTTGTTGCAACAATTACCGGAACGTCTTAAAATTTCATAGTTAATAACTTGTGCTGCTCTGTCCGGCATACTCTGCGGGTTAATTTTTCTTGTCGCTCAATAACGTTCGACTAACAAGGATCAACTTCGCTCACACAACTGTATCGATTGTAATGATGTGATACGCTTTTGATATCTAATAATCTAAATAAAGAAATAGGATACATCCGTATTTCTCGATATACTCTCAATCGAGAGATTCAGCGAATTCACCGCGTGTGTGGGTCTATCTATATATCACTCGACGCGATACAAAAACAATAATTTTGATCTTTATCCTGTGTTAGATTCGTTGCGAAGAGGTGATTATCGCTTACGTTGAGCGATGCAAGGAGGTGAATCCGGTGCTCAACGCGATCGTGGAGAATCGTTACGAGGCGGCTCTTCGAGAGGCACGCGAAATAGACGAGTTTTTAAAATCGACGACGACGGATGAAGCGAAAATCTCACGCGAAAAGCCGCTACTGGGAGTGCCAGTCACGATTAAGGAAAGTATCGCTGTCCAAGGTAGGCTAACAACTACATGATTTATTTATGAGGCAATTATTGGAAAAGGTATTCTTACAATTCATTCCGAGTCAGAGCAAATAACACGTAGTAGTACATCACTATATATGCCTTTCTTGTATTAAAACGGGATCTACAATAATGATTTAAGAGATTGATCAGTCAGACGAATGTGAGGAGAATAATCGATTGGTGAATTTCTTGAGGCTTTAATTGCAAACCCCGCTTAACGCGACTTGACGTTTTTTTTTGCGGTAACATATTTATTTTTTTCCCGGCTGTAAATATAATCGTCAGTTTTGCCGTTTTTTTACATATATGTTGATATATGTAAATACATGGAATGCGGAGCGAATCGAAGTAAATTTTATGAACCTGGTAGGTAACGACGACCTCTTAAGAGCAACGGTTACTTTTGTAAAATAACTTTATTCATGCGCTTAACTTCCGCGTATATATGAGATATCTATAGAATCAGACAGCGCGTTAAACATGCAAAAACGGACCGATAGAATATTCGTCCAAGTATTTTTTTCGCAAAAGACTGTCTTCCGAAGAATGTTGTAACACAGAGATGTGTGACTTTCTTTTTCTTTTGCTCGCATACTACGAGGGTTGCTACTTATATTTCTGGCCTAATAATGGAAAAACAAATATTTATGATCGAAATTGGTTTTATTGTTTTTCAAAATATTCTCCATGATAATCAATACACTTTTGTTTGAACCAATTTTTGAAGCACTTTTTCCACTCCGATTGAGGTAACTGCAAAACATGCGTTTTGAATGCATCAACCGCTTCTTCGGGTTGTCGAAAATCGTTGACCACGTAATTTATTTTTGATGTGCGGGAACAGAGAAAAGTCATTGGGTGCCAAATCAGGGCTGTACGGCGGATGACCCATCAATTCGATGTTTTGGCCGGTCAAAAATTCCTTTGTTTGACCCGATGTGTGAGAGCTCGCATTGTCAGAATGATTCGCCTCTTCTTCTGCTTTTCTCGAATTTCTCCGATGACTTCTGGTAAACAAATGGTCGTGTACCATTCAGAATTGACCGTCCTACGGAACGCCACTGTCGCCACGTGACCGGTAATGCCGAAGGAACGATTTGCTTCGATGTGCTTCTTCCGCGAACAACTTTTGTTGGATTTGACTCGTCTTGGAAGACCCATACAGTCGATTGTTGTTTTCTTTCGGGCTCATATACATAGATCCATGATTCGTCACCTGTGTAGATGTTATACACAGCCTTTGATGCACCTTGAGCGTATTTTTTCAACATTTTCTTGCACCAATCAACACGAGTCTTCTTTTGAGCGTTTGTCAGATTATGCGGGATCCAACGCGAACAAATTTTTTTTACGGACAAATGTTCATGCAATATCTTATTGATGCTTGTCATACTAATGCCCAAAGATGTCTCAATCTCATGGTATGTCACATGACGATTTGCTTTATCAGTTCACGCACAGCATCGATATTTTCTGGCACAACAACCGATTTTGGACGACCTTCACGTCCTGGAGCGAACGTCGGCCACGATTGAATTCGTTATACCAGTTTTTTACAGTGCTGTAGGATGTACTCCTTTCTCATTGTATAAAGAATTAAGTTCACCGATGCACTCTTGTCTTGATAATCCACGTCGAAAGTTATGAAAAATAATCGCACGAAAATGTTTACGAGTTAATTCCATTTTTTGCCCGACATGAATTTTTCAATTCACTGTAAACAACACAAACCGCACTCAAATGACAATGTGTTCTTATGTTCAACAATGTCAAATTTCCAATGACAACGTCAGATGGCGCCTGGCAACACTTACTGCTACCAAGGCCAGAAATATAAATAGCTACCTACGTATATACAAGGCCGTGGAATAACTTTCTCTCGAGAAGCGCATTCGTTGATAATTGTCCGTCAAAATTTTGTAATCTCTATCGGTTGTGTACAATCATCGAGTCATGTTAAGCGTGTTTTAAATGAACGGTATGAAACTCTTCTTTCTTCCGTCGACGTGAAAATGTATATTCGCAATGGAATCATTGATTCTCGCGGATTTTGTCATGATCGTGATTTTAATGTCGAAATTATTTGCGTTCAAATATATTGCCGAATTTTTTCCTCGGAAATAAACATCTTATCTTTCTCGTGACTTAAAAAAGCCATCGCGAAAACCTTACATTCAGAAGTTATAGGAAGCGGATTCATTCTCGCGCCGTTAAAAATTCATAATCTGATGTATAAAGTTCAAGTTGAGATTAATGTATGGACTAGACGCAGTATCAATACTATATCGAATTTAGAATAAATGCTGATGAGAGAAAAGAGTATATTATTTCTTTCTCCGGACGCACAACGTTTACATGACGGAAATGACAAAGGTTATTAACTCAAAGATACGCAACGATATTTGCATTCCTCCTTCGTGCGTATTGTATATCCCAAGAGAAAAACTGTGGAATATTCTTTTTTTTCTACCAATGTTATATTTTTGTCCGGATTTTTGTCTTTCTCTTTCGTGCATAATTTTCTCGTTGGGCGAGTATCCGCCAAGGTCGGCTACTTTTTAATTTACATCTGCACGCTTCGCATACATGTTTGCTCATTATTCTGGTAGTTCGCGCGTTTGACTGCTTCATCACTGTGCGATGACTTTTTGAGAGAAGAACAATTCTTAGAACTTACAACTTATTGTACATCATTTACAATTCAATGTCCTAATCATTATGCACACATCAACGTTATTCAACAAGCAAGCTCGTACATTATCTTTTTAACATTTTGAAAATAACACGGATAAATTCCGAAAGATTATTTTATAAACATACCAACACTCTTAACGCGATGTATATTTGTCATAATATCTTTTGAATATCTTCTATATTATAAGGAATATCAGAAATTTTAGCCGATGAACATTTAGCTCTGGAGCTTGTCAGAGATGCGCATTATACATTCTAAACACGGCTTTAAGCACATACATTCTAGACACGGCTTTAAGCACACGGAAAAATATTTCTCATTTTAAACATGTGCGTAGAATAATCTTCTCATATGAGCCGATGCTCATAAACAATCAGCGCATAGTTGCAAAAAAAAGACTCACCTGAACAAACACACGGAGCCACTTGGAGCCACTTGGCTGGTTTGAACAATAAACAAACAACTGTTCGCTAAATAAGTAACAAATTGAAAGAGATCAAATGCAACTATGAATATAACAGCGTGTCCATCTTTTATTCTGGTTTTTCAACTGCGCGCAACTTAATTGGATATTCCCACACAAGTTTCTTGGACTTACCAATTCGCTGTTCAGGAATGAGCCATTCAGTAGGGATGAAGGAGAGTGGAGATGCTCCGAGAGCGACGCGCGATGCTGACGTCGTAACGAGGATCCGCGAGGCCGGTGGCGTCCCTCTTCTCGTCAGCAATACGCCGGAGCTATGCCTGTGGTGGGACACGTTCAACAAAGTGACCGGCACCACTAGGAACCCTTACGACACACGGAGGACCCCCGGCGGCTCTTCCGGTGGCGAGGTATACGATTTCCTCCCATCAACTGTTTCATTGATCTCCATACAGCGGAAAACGAGTGTTTCGTGTCAGTCGGTAAAATTACAATCGGCCGCTATGAACAACGATATTATGGAATATTTTCTTCCGATGGGTTCTCTTAGATTGTCCCCTATGAAGGACTATACATTCAGATAGTATAGATCGACAGTATATATACTTTTTCTTTTTCGCCTCTCATTTATAAATAATTATCTTAAAACCGATAACTAGAGAGATTAAATCCGGCAGGCTGCCCTTCTGGGTGCTGGCGCTTCTCTTTTGAGCTTATGTTCAGACATTGCTGGATCAGCCAGGCTCCCGGCGATGTTTTGCGGTGTTTTCGGCCATAAACCTACGCCTAGTAAGTTTCATCGTAGAACCGCACACTTCCTTTCTTTTGGAACTTCAATCTTTTACTTTCATATGTATCAAGTTGAAATATTGATATTTTATTCTCAACAACTTTTCTTTTATACCCACAAAAAGAGCATAACATTCGTACGTTATATGTCGGTAAAGATACTGCAACCCCTCTCCCTCGTGTGATATCCGACACGTAGGAGGCAATAAGACATATTGTGTTTCAATTGCCAAGTTTGATTATATTAGATTGGGTGTCGGGAGAGGGTCACAAGCCTAATTCAACCGACGTAAATTGGCTCTACTTCTTCACCATCGGTGTGATGGTTAGGTACGCTGTCGATCTGCCTCTTCTGTTGACAACGATATCGCAGTCCGACGAAGCCAGAAACGGCTTCTGCAAGAAGGTGAGACGACATCGCTGATGAATCGATCATTTTCGCCGTCATATTTATCAACAGAGATATTACGTTATTCTATCTGCCGCGCATATTATTTGGAATAGTTGAAAAGAATATTTCTGAAGTCTTTGTATTTGCTCCAGGTATGTCTAAGGAATGTGAGATTTTTTTATATGAACAACAGCGGTTCAGTCATGACGAATTCGCCTGATGGCGACGTGGGAGATGCGATTCACAAGTTGATCAAATATCTGGAGACTACACACGGTGTTAAAGTGCAAAAAGTACGAGTATTTTTATTTTTCTAGGAATTTATTGCCACGACATAGAATGTGGCAAAACATGTAATAAACACGCGTGCATATGCGTGCTAAAAAAGAAACGTGATTTCGTTTGAGGGGTCAAACAAATTTCTTTCTTCACATATTTTTTCAAGTATGACGAGAATATTTTTGTTTATTTCTAGACAAAGTTCAAAAACATGAAGTCGGCTTTCGAAATGAGCATCACTCTTATGCTCAGGATCAAAAATGTTTACTCGATGTTCAACCGCTCGGACGATCCAAAGGTGAAAAATAGCGAGAAGACACAATAAAGATAGTAGTAGTTACAATATAACACAAATTTGTACCTGATTTTTAGAAATCAAGAAACGCATTTTTGGAGATAATCAAATATATCTTCTTCTTATCACCGTACACATATCCAGCTTTGTTTTATGGGCTAATGAAAAACGTCGGCGAACGATTTCCACTTTCGTACTATAATAAAATGATGGAGAAGAAGATGCGGTTGAGGACGCAATTTGAGGTACGGATATTATACATCGCCCCCTTCCTTTAAACACAGTGAAATTTGGTGGGACCATTGCAAGTATTTGGCTCATGCAAATATTGAAATATCATAATATCGCGCTATTTATACGATGTTGCGAACCGTTGAGATAAATATGAGAAAGATTCGCATCATTGAGATATCATTGTTGTATAATAAACGAATAATAAATGCCGTTATTATTCATCAGGAGATGCTGAGCGACAACGGTGTGCTGATTTATCCATCGTTTGTCTCGTCAGCGCCTTACCCTCATGAGATTTTGTACAATATATGTAATTTCACATATCTCATGATTTTCAACACGCTCGGACTTCCGGTCACACAATGCCCACTGGGTTTCGACAAGAACCAACTGCCGATTGGAATTCAGGTGAGAAAAATCCAACGCCTCCCCTTAAGGCGTCTCAATGTTTTGTGGAAGTGCGCTCTCATCTATTTTCTCGATCTTACAGATCGTTGCAAATCCAGGCTGTGACTATTTAACAGTTGCTGTTGCGCAAGAGATCGAAAGGGCATTTGGCGGTTGGCAGGAACCATCGATCATGGTCGAAGGGAAAGCGCATGACGTAGCGTAATTTCTCGGGCGAACAATTTTCCTTTACCCTCGTTCTTTCGTTCCCCCGAGTAAAATAAAAATTCGATCGAATGTAAAACGCGTTCTCTCGGAAAGATGATTTGGCTGAAATTTCTAGCGGGATTGTCTAACCAGAGGATACAGAAAAGAAAGATGATTTGATGACACAAGATGATTTGATATAGAAAAAGAAAGATGGCATGCCGACCCAGACAATATAACGTCTAAAATCAGGACATGAGACATCTGAAAGACATCTCGATTTTGAACGTTATGTTGTCTGGGGAGCAATTGAGAGCAGACATTCATTATATATTGACAACATTACGTAATTTATTAGAACAATTTCGAATATATTAGAACAATTCACGAGGCTAAATGGAGAAAGTAACTTTTTATACGCGCGGTAATATATAATAATGCATATTAATACTACAATATTCGCGCGAAATGTGCGACAATAAATCTCTCGGTATATTTTTTTATCTTTTTCTTTATCAATTCGCGTAATTATTATCTTATTCGTTAGAATATGTATTCCAAATGTGTTGCATCAACATACGATTCATTATGATAGGTTGCCTGCCCGCGCATCCAGTTGATAATTCCTTGTCGTTATCAACTTGTCGATATAGTCACTCGCATATCTTCCTCCCAATGAAGTTCTAGTGTTCCTAGTTATAATGATTAATATATGTCTCGCGGAGTAAGAGTTTTTTCAACGAATTGTTACATTCGCAATGCATTCTCATACAGATAGAATATGATTTTAGCGTGAACGATACTAGAACTTCGTTGGAAAGATATGTGAATAATTATATCGACAAGTCGATAACGACAAGGAATTATCATCTGGGTATGTGCGCCTTTGGGCAGGCAACCCGTCATAATGAGTCGTATGTTGATGCAACACCCTGTACTTCGCACACATTCTAATGAAATTGATTATCTCATTATCTCATTATTTAATTATCGAAATGTGAAACTTTTTGTATCAATATGAAAGACGCTAATATGCGTGCACGCCTTTAATATTGTGCTCATTAGATATAAACACACGGGTTGTTCATGCATTTCGTTACTTACTTTGTTATTGTTCGCTACTTGTTTGCGCAAAGTTACGCTGAAAAATTTTGATAAACGTATGATATACTTGCTCTGTAAATTGTATTAATATAAAAGAGGTACAAGAAAATATGATTAAAAAGTTTGTAATATATAATAAATATTCGCCATGTGCCGGCACATAGAGTACGAAGAGTTTTGCACAGAGGACACCTCTCTTACAAGCGTATAGAACGTGTTATCATAAAAGTGGTTTTCCGACGGTAGGTGCTCAAATATATATCCTATCGTTGGCATCTTACGTAAGATCTAATTAATAAGAGATAATCGGCTTCGGCTATATCACCGAACTGATAATAAACTTTGCGAAATTCCAGAGATTCCCCCGAGATAGCAGAAAAATTGATCTCTTGATGAAAATGAAACGTGAAAAAAACTGTCTCTCAATGCTAAAATAAACGAAGTGTTGGCCAATCTTTTTTTCTCAACTTTTTAAAGTTTAAAACGAGACAACGTTGCTAAAAATATCGTGGCGTTCCTTCCGTTTCTCGAGGAGAGTGTTTCACAGTCAAGTGAATAATGTACCGCCGCAGTTATGCGGCTGTCCTAGCAAATCATTATAATTCAAACGAAGCTTGTTAAGAAGAATAAATGGACACGTTTAATCGAGATGTGTCCGCCGGGTTACTTATTATGCAATCCGTTGTGACGGACGTTTTGCGTATCATTGCGTAATACTGCACGCGCGATTATTGCGCAAACTATTGTGTCCGTTGCACCAAATAGTGCACAATTACCAATTAAACTGTTACGTTCAATGAAGCAGCGGAAGATACCGCGCGTATCATTCGCGTCGTCGCACGATACATTTCGATTTCTGATCGATGAATGTAAAGAAACATTTAATATCCGAAATCACACAAAAATCAATATATAAGACGTCTTTAAGATATTTTCAAGACGTCTCTAAGATATCGTAAATATGCTTTAAAAACGTCTCATGTTCCGATTTGAGACATTGTGCTGTCTGGGATGAATCCACATCTACTTTGTATCTGTATTGCAAACGAGTAATTATATCTCATAAAGAATGAATAGATAACTCGCGCCTATCTCTGGTATTGAATATTGAGAGAAGGAGAAATAACATATTTTTTGTTCAAAAAATAATAACAGTGTCCCTGTGATCTTGCAAATCCTTTTTCCTCTCGTAGAAAATTTATAAAATTCTATCTAATTGAGTTATCTCCATTTTCTTAGTTGTCTAATTGAGTTAAATTTAGTTATCAGTCTCACGTTAATTACTTTCTGCAATTGCGGCAAGTAGGGGAAACGCAAGGGCGAACGATTCGTTTAGAATTTCAACAATAGAACTTTTCAAATAATCAATTGTTGCGATTAACTGTACAAAAATGATTTTTCTCTATTTTTACGCCAAGAACCATCCTGCAAACCCGGTATATTGTTTTTCACTCTGTTTCTCTCATAATAAACGTATAAATGAAACACTTGGCTAACCTGCGCGGTCTCTATAGTTTTCTAGTTATATATATATATATATATGTGTAAAAAATATGTTATATATATATATATTTCTCTCTCTTTTTATTCACGAACTCGATGAATGCACGCGATGTCGCTTTATAACGCAATTCTTCTTCTCGATATCTTAAGGTAAGATATAAAAGTTAAAATAAGGTTATCATTTCCCATGACTCACTATCTCTGACGATAATTTGAATGATGCGGTTTTTTGCCCACGTTTATCGCCATATGTTTGCGATTCGACGTTCGCAATTCGATCAGGCGCACTGTGCGAAGGAAGGTCAGATAGTTATCGATTAACATGGCCGCGCATTGTTAACATTACGCCTCTATGCCGTTATGTCATTCGCTATTACAGCGTTGCATAACGTATTATTTGCACATATAATAGGAAATGCGAGTAATATGCACACGACATCCTGTAGTTTTTCTCTCTATCTCTCTAAGGGTTCATTTTTCTTATATTTTATATCTATACACACACACATTATTTTATATATTTTTCTCATGTTATATTTAAATATATTTTTTGGACATTCGATGAACCAGATCGTCAATTTTTATAACGCTTAATGCGCAATTCTTACTGAATCAATATCATTTCATTACATCGCGGTGAAGCAGTTGCAACTAAACCGAGGATTTTGTTCTTGCATAAATTTCTAATTGCCCGTCTTCCGGAGAAATTTGATAAAATTAAAGAAAAAATATATGTGCTTCCTTCGCGTCCCTCGCGTTTCTCCGCTCGTCTTGCCGCTCTGTTTTCTTCGACGTGGAAAATCGCGTGCAAATGACTTTATCCTTTAGCAAAGAAATACGATTAAAATTTACGTGCCAACATAAACGATTTGATTGCGATTGGGCTTCTTTTAGAATGATTGAATACTCGAAACGTGAAGCGTGTAATGAGAAAATTCGCAAAGAAAATTAATAAATTTTTTACACGTTCGTTTGATTTTACCATGAGATTCCTTCGCTAGTTCGCATTTATTCTCATTATTACGTAACATGTTTTAACAAATATACTATAAAACAAGGGAATGAGCTTTGTAAGTTTTTTCGTAAACTGCTTCGATTATCAAGAAAATCGCTCTTTCTATTTATTTTTTTATTCATTTTTTTCAAGTAGTATCACGCGGCATTATCTTGTGTTTAATTTACTCTTTGCTCCTTATGTTACCGATTTGCTATCTTTTATTTGCTCTCGACAAAACATTTCCCCGTATATACCTTGATTGTAAAATATCAAATAGTCATCGGTGCGATTTTATGCTCTCTCTCTCTCTCTCTCTCTCCACTTACGATGATTAAGAGCGGTATCGGTCGCATCCACAAATTTGTTCAAAATTGAAATAACGAATCTTTTCATTACAAGTATATTGAGATATCCAAGAGTTCCCCGAGTCAATTTGATTCCACGTATTCGATTAACGTTACGCCCCCCCCCCCTCTCCCGTCATGCTCATTCATTCGCGCCTTGGCAATCGTCAGTTGTATGCCGCGTTGTCAACCGTCCGCAGTCGCCGCAAGTGACAGTGCGTGTGCGTGCGCGCGTCTAAGGAAGGGGTGTTCTCCGGGTGCAGCGATATATCGGTTCTCTATTCATCGGTGACTTCGCCTCGGTATCGCTCTATCGAGTGCTCTCTGGAATTACTTGCGCGTCACAGCGCAGCACAGCGTTTCTCTCGTCAGTTTGCGTCATCGTTGAGGCGATCGTGGCAGCAAATCGAATAGCCGCTCCGCTCGAGTAGCCATCGTCACCATATAACCAGCACCACCACCACCACGTCCTCCGGAAGTCCGCGTGATCGGTTGATGCGTCACGTCAGCGGCGGATCATCTCGTCGTCTTCGCGCTACACACCTTCGTCGCCTTCCGGATTAATTTCATCCATCGAGCTCCATCACAGGCGCATCCATTCAGCCTTGACTGTGGTGGATTCGAACAAAGGTCGGTGTTCTTACAATCGCCTTGAAGTCGAAATGCTGACGCATCAAGTATCGTTGCCTTGGGAATTTCACAAACGCGTGTCTCGGGAGAAATATCATTGATTAAATTAACGTGGAAGAAAGGTCTCCTTCCTTTTGACAGTGTTGTACGGTTAGGTTGTCAAATTTCCTGGAATTCTTCCAGGCGGGATCGTGACATTTCTTGAGCCACCTGCAAGGAGCTTGTTCGCGAGAATGCGAACGTAGAAAATTCAAAGTGAAGAGCGAACTGAGCAAAGTGGTTAACTCTACTTAACCTCTTCTGACCGAACCAAGAACAAAAAGTGAGGGAGAGAGAGAGAGATGTGTGTGTGTGTGTGTGTGCGTGCGTGCGTGCGTGCGTGCGTGCATAAAATAAGTACAAAGCTTTGTGAGTTGGAAATACTCGGATATAAAAGAGAAAAAACTAACTGTGAATTTATAGTACAGTTATAGTTAAAAATTGACAAAAAATAGTTAACCCTCTAACCACTAAGTTTTAGATTCGATTTATTTTGCAACGTGTACGTTTCTATTAGTAAGGAATGTTTCATGTTATTATTTACTTATTCTGTGCAGGGATTACGTGAACAAAACATAGGATCACTTTCCTGAATATGTTGAAAATTCACTTTATCGTTAGAGAGTTAATACTAAAATGTAGACAATTTAGTAAGTACAATCTTGCACCACACGTATATAATTAAACGATATGATTCGTTGCAGAACGCTAATATGTTCAGCTGGTTGAGTCGTGAGGAAAATGGCAAACAAGACCTCTTTGAAAATGTTACCGATGGACTCAAGAGGATATACAAGTCCAAATTGTTGCCATTGGAACAATACTATCAGTTCCATGATTTTCACTCGCCGCAATTGGACGACCCAGACTTTGATGCAAAGCCTATGATCCTCCTGGTGGGTCAATATTCCACCGGCAAAACCACATTTATCAAGTATCTATTAGAGAGGGAGTTTCCTGGCATCAGAATTGGACCGGAACCTACTACGGATCGATTTATAGCTGTTATGTACGATGAAAAAGAAGGCGTCATTCCCGGGAATGCCTTGGTCGTAGATCCGAACAAGCAGTTCAGGCCACTCTCGAAATTCGGCAATGCATTTTTGAATAGATTTCAATGTTCGACAGTGGCATCTCCTGTTTTAAAGGGCATATCTATAGTAGATACACCGGGTATATTATCGGGCGAGAAACAACGAGTAAGTCTATTTTCCTCTCGCGCGATTTCACGTATATGTGCACAGCACGATATATATATCTTGATATGTCCTTAGGTTGACAGAGGATACGATTTCACTGGTGTTCTAGAGTGGTTTGCCGAGCGCGTAGATAGAATTATATTGTTGTTTGATGCTCACAAACTCGATATATCGGACGAGTTTCGTAGATCTATCGAGGCCTTACGCGGACATGATGATAAAATTAGAATCGTTCTTAATAAAGCTGATATGATAGATCATCAGCAGCTCATGAGAGTATATGGTGCATTGATGTGGTCATTGGGAAAGGTGTTGCAAACTCCCGAGGTGGCCAGGGTTTACATCGGCTCATTTTGGGATCAGCCACTGAGATACGATGTTAATAGAAGGTAAACGCGTAGCAATAGTGCAATACAGTAATAATGATATATATATAATGGAAAATATTAATAGAAATTTGAACTTATATTAATTACATCCTGCACTTATATATATTGTCTTACACACATACTGTCTTTACTCATGCAAATCTCCTCTCAGATTGTTCGAGGATGAAGAACAGGATTTATTCAGAGACATGCAATCGCTACCAAAAAATGCAGCGCTAAGAAAACTCAACGACTTGATTAAACGAGCGCGTTTGGCGAAGGTACGTGTCGTACCTTCAAAACAGTTTGGAAATTGTTGAAAATTTTAGGCTCGGTGAGAATTTATGTAAAAGAGCCTGTGTTGCTTAATTTACAGGTGCACGCATACATAATAAGCGCGTTACGGAAAGACATGCCGAGTGTATTTGGCAAAGATACCAAGAAGAAAGAACTGATAAAAAATTTAGGCCAGATTTACGATCAAATCCAGAGAGAACAACAAATTTCACCGGGTGATTTCCCAGATCTGAAGAAAATGCAAGAGTGCTTGGCGCACCACGATTTTAGTAAATTTAATCCCCTAAAACCCAAATTATTGGAAGTGGTGGACAAGATGCTCGCCGAAGACATCGCAAGGCTCATGGCTATGATACCACACGAAGAAGTTACCAAAATTTCGGAACCGCTTATCAAAGGTATAATTTTTACTATATTTATATATTTGAACACACTTGTATCCTTCGGTCGTATTGCATCATAATTACTACACAAGATGTGTGTGTGAGAGAAATCAGTTTTAGTCCGCTTAAAAGAAATGAACAAATTTTCTTCTTTTTTTGGAAGACTTTCTAATGAAACATCAGCCCTCACTGATAAAGAACTGCCCAAAAGAAAAACTTGAAAATTAAAATTAAGTACAATATATACAATCTTCTGATATAATATATACTCTAAAAATATATAATCTCAAATCTTCCATAATCTCTTGCTGAAAGATAAATTGATAAAAAATCTAATACGGAACGAAAAAGCGATATGACTTCACTAGAAACTGGAGAGATGCATTTCGTTTCTCTCTAGGTGGTGCATTTGAAGGAGTAGAAGATCAAGTTAGTCCGTTCGGATACAAAAGAGGGGAAGGAATTGATGCAGGAGCTGGTGAACCAGAATGGATCGTCAATAAGGAGAGATACAAGTACGACAGCATCTTTGATTCACTTGGACCACAAGACGGGAAAATCACAGGAGCTGGTAAGCCTTATGAATTGTTTACACGCGCGATCTTCCTGAGATATATTATGTGCATTGATTTGTACAATCTTGTATTTTGACTGTGTAGCGGCCAAATCGGAAATGGTCAAATCCAAGTTGCCAAACAGCGTGCTCGGAAAGATTTGGAAACTTTCCGACATTAATAAAGATGGATTCTTAGACTCGGACGAATTCGCCTTAGCTATGCATCTGATTAATGTAAAGCTTGAAGGTTACGACCTTCCGGCCGAACTGCCAGACCATTTGATTCCACCATCGAAACGCGACATATAATATACAATTTTCGTATCGTAATTTATTATATGTTTCACAAAACTCTGGTTATAAGTGTCCCAAGATCCGCAAAGAGAGGAAAATTCACACAAATTGTACCCTTACAATTTCAGCTGTAATATATATGTACACTATTATTTCGACCAAGGCCGGGGGGCATATAACTTGCAATTTTTTTTTATAAACATCACACATACATACACACACTGTAGGATCGTTGGCCCTATACGAATAGAATGAATGTAATAGGATATATTATTCTATGATGTGACAAGAACAGGGGGATTATTCTCAAACAATATTTCTTCGAAATATTTGTGAGAATTACATACTATACGCATAATATGCGATGTTTAGTCGCACACTTATTTTTTAAAATATCAAGTAATTAAATCGGTATAATCGAAACTTTGGCCTTGATACCATATTTATGCTTTACTTGACTTCATAATATTGAATTATACGGAATGTCGCGTTGAACATTGAGTAAGAGACTGCATTAAGATATACTAAAACAAATAATCTTAAAGAACATTATACGGAATATTTCTAAGATGTTCGATCAAAGACTTGAAAAACGCGTAGGATCAAGTAGATTCGTGCAAATTTAAAATACCCGAAAAAAAAGTAAAAGTATATTTCACTGCTGAGGAATATATATACCAGTAAGAGCCTGTTACATGCTTAGAATAAATTAAAATATGTTTCTACGGTTGCGGAAATTTCCTCGCGGAACATTCTGTCTATAAAGATATAAAAGGATCGAAAAGTTTGAAATATGTAAAAAGGTAAAAGACTGGATCAAAAACAAGTAGATTTTATATATTCTAAAGGAAACGACAAATATAAACTCTAAAAAATTATTTTTTCATTAAGGAATTAATTAGAGAAATCAATCTAATTTTATATAACAACGAGAGAATCTTTTGTCTTTTTATACAGTTCTTGACCAACGCGATCAAAATATACTTGAAACATTTTTCAGTGACGGAAATTCTCTCTCTCTCTCTCTCTCTCTCTCTCTCGCTCACTCTCTTCTCGCTGTATTATTTATATCTGTAAAGAGAGCGATATATATTATTTTCAATAGAAATTTTAAAGCTATCCATTCGAACCAACTCGGTAACTAATGTTTGTTGCGTATACTTATATCGTGCAATCCTGCTAGATTTGTAACTATTAGATTCCTTTTTTGCGACACCGACCAAAGATAGATGAGGTTAGAATTATACGTGCAACATCATAAAACTTTTAAGAGGTCGTACTTGTATATTGTGTATTAATTGGTAAATCTCTACTTATAAAAATGTTGATATTAAAAAGTGGCTTTTCTTACTTTATCAATTATAATGTTTATGTGTGTATTCCTTAATCTTCAAGTACACGCACATTGTATAAAAATGATACTATTTTGCTCTCAATTGCATTTTTCCTATTTTTAGCACTGCCTTCGCATGCCGCGAGTTTATGTGATATAAGAAAGTACATTCATATTGAAAGCTCTATTTGTACACTATATATATATATATATATATACATCTCAAATTCGTATTGAAAAATAATGTAACGTGAAAATAGCTAGAGTAACGCTATTTTTGAAACAAATAACATGATATGGAGCATGAGATTTACACGCCAACAGTTTATAAAAATACGCATACACATTTATTACGTCTATAGAATGTTGTGTTATTTCCAGTCGAGACACATTCCAACTTTGAAAATGAACAAATTCGTTTCATTTAATTTCAGCGTTTTTCATTATATATTTTCAATACTGTTGGCAAAGTAAAAATATTATCTCCTTTATATATAATAAGAGGTTAACGCAATATCGTTATCAAGAAGCTTTGCAAAGCACGGCATAGCAAGATATCTTTGATATAAAGTATTTTCCTTTTATTCATTTATTTATACTTATATAAGTCATGGAATCACGAATTTCGAAAATCTATATGTAAGAAATGTAAAAATATTGTACACACACATATACATTGCATTTAAATGTGGCAACACATACGCGTAAATATAACGGTGCGGCAGTTTTTGTGTAGAATGTATATTTGTGTCTATGTACTCTTGAATATTATTTTTTAGATAGAATACACGACAAATTGCATTCATTTAGTTAAAATGTTAATACCGTGATAAACAGCACAGAAACTTATTTTAATAACGACATTAGGAATTAGTTTATTTTCAGTTTATCGTATGTTAATAAATGAAATTGAAGTTATCAGTGTTTTATTTTTACTATACAAATTACAATAGTAGAAATACAAGCTCCAGCAAATATTGCAAATAAGTTTTTCGTTGTATTTAAGGGTCCATATTCTGAACTCACTTTTATCGATAAAAGTGCCTTAAAAAATGTGGCTTCTCAGCCACAATCAAGCGAAGCCACTTTCAGAATACGAGCTTATCATAAGTCTCGTGATCGCTATGGTTTACCTGAGCTACATAAATAATAAGTTGACTGACCGTTGCCAACGTTTGGGCAACGTTGGTAAACGGTTAGCTAATCTGTGCTGCTCGGGTATGATCATTGTGCTGTATATTAAGTAATATAGTATACTGATGTAGTAATATATATCACAAAAGGAAAATGTTTGATGTATTCATTTCAAGTCTATGGAATGTAGCGATTTTCCTTGTCATGTTTCGCATGCGCAATTACTTTAACTATTGATCAAACTTCGTCCAACAAAACAGTGCTAATTATATTGAGATACTTGATCTTCAATCTTTCATTGATGTGTGATTTCATAGGTCTTTTACTAATATTTCATATACACAATGATTAATAATTTTATTCTTCATACGCATTAAAAAATATTGATAAATTTTGACATTTTCAAGAAACATTGCACATTTCATTAATATCTCATTAGCATGTATACTTTTATACACATATGTTTATATATGTTTGTGTGGATGTGCGTGTACACACACTCACAAAGCATATAAGAGAGATTCATAAAAGATACTATAAAACATATTATTACTTATGATAAACATTAAAATGTAATATAAAAGTATCACATAATAGGACTACAAATGCATCTCTTATCTAATTAGTTCACTTTCATGTCTGTTTGGAAGAAAAAATATCATACGATAATCACCGGCAACATCAGAATTTCACAAATAAGTACATCACTAAACTATATATTAATCTCAATTTAGGCACTTTGTCTATATATATATATATATATATATATATATATATATATATGCTGTGTATATATATTACAGTTCGTCGTGTTTTATGCGAGAATTTGTAATTGTCTCTAAAATTTCATCCCTTATCGTCTTAGCTGTCGTCCCAATTATTCTGACACCGTCATAGCTGTTGTTTCTCCTCAGCTTGTATAATATTAACGTAGGAAATATTTGAATGTTTGCCTGTTCGCAATCGTACATATAGAAATTGCAGTTGATTCTTCCAAATCGCACTTTTTCCACTAACTGGAATGCAAATTTACCAGATGTAGTTGACGTCATCAACTGTGCATATATCTCGCGAGAGATCAAACGGCTTGTAATAAAGTAAAACCTGAATGTTACCTGAGCAGCAATTGCAAACTGAGGCTCCATCCTCTGACAATGGCCACATCGTGGTACATAAAAGTCGACAATCCACATGTGTTTGCTATTAAATATTTCACGGTATTCCGAAGAATTCAAATCGCGGACTTTTTTTGGCAATAACGTCGTTATCCACGTTAATATGGATAACGAATCTCGCTTTCCATTGTACAGGCTAAATAACAACGAAAATCAAGTAAGATGTAAGACAAATCTGATTTGTAACAATGCTTTTTGTGCGATTTACTTACGCGACCGTATTCAGGCCCTCGCTTCCTATTGGATATAGCCTAATGTTGGGGTACGAACGCACTCCCTGAGAAGCGCATAGGGAAGCCTCAACCTCACAATTTACACTAGCCACATTTATGAACGACAAATCGCTCAACGACTTTGCAACGATTATCCATTCGGGTGCCAATCGCTGACACGGGCCGCACCACGGTGCGAAATAATCAACGATCCACATAACTTTACTCTTCTTCTTCGCCAGTTTGCGGTGAAAGTTTTCCGACGTTAATTCTATGACTGTATATACCAGACAATGTATGTGAAAGTAAACACTGTGGTGCGTAGACGTGCGTTTGTTATATGCATATTATTTACCTGACGGGTTTCTTCTCTCGTTGATAAATTGGATAACGTTCGTAGCTGTTTTTTGTACCGTAAATTGATGCGTGTTGCTGCCGTTGATGAGCATCGCGGTGGGATAAGAATGTATGTTATATTGACGGCATAGCATAGCATGGACGGTGCAATCGATGGTACCGAAACGGACTATCGACACATCGAATTCTAACGACGCCCTGCGAAGTTCTGACAAAAAATGTATACAAGGTGGACACCACGGAGCATACCAATCTAAAAACCACACTTCATTTCCTGCAACAATTGCCTTTAGGTTTATATCGGTCGTGCGATACTCTCGTTGAAAATGTTGATTATTTATTACCGCTGTTTCTTTGTAGTATCGATAATATTTCCACTGCGGTGAGAGCCCGGACGTTTGTAGCCTTCGCACTAATTTGCACAAACTTGATAATGTCGTTATTCGTATTCTTACCGTGGTGCAATTCAAATGCTCCACCTGGCTTAAGAACGCCCCAAATTGGATAACGATTCACACCCAATTTGCTACAAAGTTGCCCGTTTCTGCCACAATTTATTTTACCTGCGAAGAAGAATATGCATAAAAATAATGCACACCAATTGCAAAGACCTCACAAATGAATTGCAAATCTCTACCGAAATTGATATTAACGGTCGAGAGTTTCTTCATTTGCGTATCTGCAGCTGCTGAATCTCCGAGATAAAAGCAAATAAGCCAAGCGGTATCGGTCTCCTTGATATTCTGCGAATTACAGCATATTCAAATAAGAATATTCTCAATCAAGATCTTTGGATTTATTAAATTATTTCACCTCAAAATTGTTTTCGGTCAACTCCTGCGGTGTTGGCAATTGATCCAAGAGTTTTTCTATTAACGTATTAAGATCAGGAAAATCGTTCAGAAATATAGGTTCCCACGAGGATGCATTATATATCGGTAGATAAACCGCATGCGTATTGTAAGATATTTTCCGATGACCCCAATTGCCATCCTCGCAAACAAATATCTTGACATCAATCACTTTATCCTAAAGAAGAAAAGTGCGTGTTGTAACATTATTTCATTCGTATTATAGTAAATATAATTGTATACGCTGCGAGATATTTACAAATATAGCCGCTACTGTAAGCTTTTCTTCAGAGGTAAAACAGTTCTGTTGACCGCCACAAATAAACACTAACATTGGTCTTTCAGTTTCCATGCCACGCAAAATGAGCTTCCATTGGGATTTACTTATTTCAGGTAAATGAATATTTTGCCTGTCCAATGCAAATTGTACAATGGCTTCTTGAGTATGTCTCCCCGTATAGTGTGTTCCGTGCTGTGAGTTCTTTACGATAAAAATGCGCGTACACGTTAGTATCTTGTCTATCTACTATAATATGTAGGAAAATATTATACGCGGAAATATGTTTCCCTTCAAAGCTATATCCTTTTTTCTTGTTTCTTCGTATAAATGGTGAAATCAAGAATGTAATCGTTTTGAATAAATTATTTGACTGAGATTTCTTAAAATTGACTTGTAGAGATTAAAAAAAAAATGAAAATAAATTCAACACCTCCTCTTTGTAGATTCCGCATGTACCTTTTTGAAATGAAACAATGTAGGATATGCCCTGATTCCTACTTGATGGCACAAATGCCAATTGTCTTCACAGTTGACTGCTGCAATCTTCACAACACCATCGAGTAACTTTGCAACTTCCTTCCAAACAGGTGCTAAGTGATGACAGTGACTGCACATCGGGGAATAGAAATTCACGAACCAAGTTGAGTCAGAGTTGGTGACACTTTCAACTATACAGAAAAATAAATCACATGCACATATTAACATTTAATTGATTTTCATGGAACATGAATATTTATATACTCTTACAATAATCATGTTTCTCTAAAGTAACAACATATTGATCATCCTCATATATGTCAAAATTATCCTGGTAGTAACTCCATGAATGATAGGTTTGTTTCTTATCAGATATATCAAGACCATCTTTTCCATAGAGATCATATTTCCTTCTTGAGTCTGGTTCCTTCAGTACTTCGTAAGCCATTGTTAATTGAATAAACTTGTCATGAGCATTTGGGTCATCCTAAATTGTTCATATATTATTAACAATATATAGGTAGCAGTGTATTATAGTGTATGTATAAACATACACATGCTCACACATACGTACTGTTTGATGATAATCTACATACACTATTCTTGTCAGGATGATGAATAATAGCTAGCTTTTTGAAAGCCTTCCGTATTTCATCCTGGCCAGCTGTCTTGCTTATACCGAGAATTTCATAATAATCTTCTCCGTGTATCAAAGAAATTGTAACAAAGAAAGTAAGAATTACTTTATACCTGCAATCGATTTTAATAGATATTATAATGTAAAGAATGAGACACATCATAATGTGTATAAACACACAAAATATTATATCGTAATGTAAAAATATTTAACATTAACTTTGACATTAACGTAATAATACTTAACATTATCTTTGTATCTGTTTTTTATCTAAAAATTATATACTTTCTAAATAATAGTTAGGAGTAGGGACATATGAAATTGTGACTTTATATATAATATATAGCTTATGTGTATTTTTTATAAATCTTTTTATAAATAATAACGCAAAAATCATGTCTCTATAGATAGACTTCTAAATATTCCATAAGAACTACAATAGCCAGTGATAGAAACTCAATCCTGTCTTTCGTATACATAAACTTTTGAATTGACTATATATAACATATACTTACATTTTTTTTTAATTCCTTCGCAGCTCTGTTAAAAGAAAATGAGAATCCAGCACTCTACTAGATTTATGCAGTCGATCTCGACATCATAACGTAGCTGCATATATTTAAACACCCACGCTGTAACTTCACATGATATCATCACAGTATAATCTCACTGTGTCACCCAACAGACTCTCTCCCCCTTTCTCAGTGTATGATTTCAGACGATCAACTATTGGTCCGTTCTTTTTAGCTGCACTGCTGAACTTGTACAAGTTAAAGTAAGACAAGTATATGTTTTTACACATCAACTTATTACATCAGTTCAGTCGAAAGGCTATATTTTCGCTCAAACTGTGTTCTCTCTTCATGCGTTAAAAGGCCTCTATACATGTGGTCTGTTTTTTCTAGCTAAACTAGCTGCACTAATTCAAAAAATTTAGACCCGTATTGGCTTCTGCCGACAGGACATGGTACGCTTGCCGTGCGGCAAGAAGCGACACCAATCAACGTACTGTTTTTCGACGAGAACTGTAAATTTATTGGCTGTCGCTTCTTGCCGTGCAGCAAGCATTTCCGCGTCCTATGGACATATCACGCCAAGGATTGAGATTGAATTGAAATTTGACCAATCGGAGCAAGTTTAACTAAATTTGAGTTTAGTTAAACTTTCTCTGATTGGTGAAACTTCAATCCTGATTCATAATGTGATACTGGCCGTGTACTATGCGTTCTCTTTGGGCGCGTTATAAATAGGTCTGTTCATTTTCGCTGCACCGCTGAACTAGTACAATAAATTGAAGCGAGACAAGTATATATTTTCTCACTTCAACTTGTTGCACTAGTTCAGCGGTTCAGCGAAAACGAACATGACCTCTAATCATTTCAGCTTCTTTTGGCGTATAATAAAGATGGAATGACGCTTATAGTGCCCAAAGAGAACGCAGCCTATTTTGTGCAGATTTCATTTCAGAACGCGAAAAACATTACTGTCGGTACGTTTCAGAACGCCTGCCCATATTGCGTATGCGTAAATCTTTGGCAGTTTGAATATCGGAACACACCCATTGAAGGGAGGGAAGGACGCCATTTCGCATCAAACGATGTTTGAAAATTATACAATTAACGATCACTTGAAAGCTTTGACGTTCTCGACTAAAGTGTGTGTTCATAGTGTCCGCCAAATAGAGATTACAAACAAAAATCAGTATCATCGTAATATCATATGAATTTATGCAGGTAAGACGTGGATAAATTTCACCGGTCTTTAACGGAATCATAGTGGTTATAGTTTTTTTCAATTGTGCAATCACATCTTTTCACATTTTCGCATATTTTACGCGTTGTTGTCTCGAGAATCCATAAATATAACATTCAGAATTAATATCTGCCAAAATAAACCTCTAGTCTCATCACGAGATTGCTTTAGTAGCCGCAACCTGACAGTCGTACATCTGTTTTGTTTTACAAACTTTATCTTGTGAAGAATATGTTAAAGTAGCACGTTACTTTGTAGATACGATGAAGCAATCTTCAATTACCACTAGAGCCAGAGCACAGAAATTGAATAATTTAAATGAAAGTGTAAACAAGTCGAGGAAGAAAAGTAAGCAGTCACCGAGAGGAAGAAAGTCTACGAATGCAGAGGATGATTTGGAAGCTACTGTTAAACAAAATTTTAGAAAAAAATTGCTTAATGCAAAAGTAACGGTTGGTAAGTCTAAAAAAAGAAATACATCTAGCCGAAGACGTGACAAGATTGAAGAAGCAGAAAATGAAGCAGCTGTACACAAAGATGATAGTATAAATTCCAAATTGAAGAAAATATCAAAGGATAAGCATGCCGATAATGTTCCTATGGTCCGCAACAGTGATCGATGGATTGATTCGGGAGATTTGAGTAAAACGCCTGAAAAGGTGCAAGAGAAAACTAGTATGCCAAATATAAGAGGACTATCTTCTGGTATAGTCACTCCTAAAAGCACACCGATTAAACTTAGTCTTACGCCTCACAGATCCACAAAAACACCTAAAAAATCACCAATTTCTTCAAGCTCCCCAAAGACATGTTCGGCATCAGTTTCAAGACTATTGAAAATTCCAAGAAAGTTATCTCTCACACCTGGAGAAAACTTATCTGACAATAATGATTTTGGCGATAACAAGTTACGAAAGGCCGGGAAGGATACATCTGTAGCCAACAAGAGCTCACCAACATCATCAGCAGTAAAAAGCAAACATAGGGTATCCAGTGTTAAGCTCAAGGAAATTGTACATAGGTTCTCAAAATCTCCGAAAATAGTATTGAGGCGCCTGTCGAAAAAGTCGCCCAAATTGAATTTATTCGCATCTAGAAAACACTCATTGAAGAAATTCACTCTCGCTGGTACTCCCGCTCCCGACGCTTCGCTTGGTCACCGTAGTACAAAATCATCAAGTGCGAAAAAAAATCCTTCGCTCAAAAGTTTATTAGCGAACAAATGTCTGAAATCGAGATTAGTGAAACTATTGACGGCTTCGCAGATGAGAGATATACTGGCGGAACCGATAGTATTAGTGAAGAAGCTCGAAAATAAGCTGGATATACTTACGGCTATTGTAGACAACAATCGGTTAAATAATTCAATCAATATAGAAAACAGTGTTAAAATATCGCAAGCAACTGCAGAAAATACACCTGCATCGTCTACATTTTCTTTGAAAGGCAGCCCTCGTCGAAGCTCCGCTACAAATAGATCTTCCAGTAATAAATTATCACTAGCTACTGAACACAGTCCGCCGACGCAAAGACAGAACAAGTCATCCACACCTTTAATGTCGTCTACTCCAAGAGAGGAGCAGACAACGCGGATAAACTTGACGTCTAACGCGTCTATACTATCAAATGATGCATATCCTAACACCAGATCGAGATATACGGATCAATTCGGAGTGCATACTACAGCATCGTCTCCTAGCATAATGGACAAGAGCAGCGCAGCCATTGAAGACGTGTCGAAACCTTCTCTATTGGATATCAGTGATACTAATGATCCTTCCAATTCCGCGAAACGACAAGACACTACTTACAACGTCAAGGAAGCGAAGATTGAACTAAAAAAGGTCCAAAATAACAAGAGGGATATCACTTATGAACTGAAAGATCCGCAGACACCAGGTTTACGACAGATGATCAAAAAACGTACAATGACGGACGCAAATTTAAGCATCAAAGGGGACACTAAGAAATTCTGTAGAGTACGCTTTGCAAATATAACACCTGATGGGAACGGTGCTCACGGTTCAATTGGTAAATCAATTGGTCTGCAGTCAAGCGTTCCACGCAATGATACTACACAAAGAAATATTAGAATTAGAAATTTAACGTACAAAACATCGAGTAAGGCTCAAATTCCCAAATCCAACAAAAATTCATTAGTTTCTCAGCTGAAATTAAGCCCAAAGATATGTGGAGTCACACCGAAGGGAAGATTGCACGCTCTTAACGCTATGACCATAAACCTTGGTAAAATTCAAGCTACCCCAAAAGGACTCGAATCGGTCGAAAAGAAGTCGGGTAACGTACAAGTCAAAGTTTCTTCCCTTACCGTATTGTATTGTTTGTTCCGCCGTTACATTCGAGTAACACTTGTAATTATCCACAGAGAGAAAATCATCAATAAAAAAAGTACCAAATTTTAGAAGAATACACGAAAAAATGTTTGCCAACTCAGAATCGGTCGTGGATGCAAAAAAACGTTTGGAAACTAGACATCTGGAATTCGGTAATAGTAGTACTAGTAGTGTGTGTATACACACACGCGCGCTTATCATTCTTCAAACATTATTCTGATACCTGAAAACAGTACTTTTGTCTTGCTTAAATTATAGCAACGAAAAATATAGATGTGAAGAAAGGTGTGAAACCATTGCCGCCAAGTAATACAACCAACGGCACATACAATAGATTCGGATTCAAGTTAAGGAAGGCGGAAGCTACGCATGTTATACTGAAGAAACAAACGGTTTTTTCAAGGTACATGTTAGTAAATGTTTCTGCGTTGCATCATAGTTTGTTTTATTAAGATAATTTGGATTTTAACGTCACTGATGTATGTATAAATAAAGATGCATCTAATATTTTATGAAATTTACGAATATCTGCAGGCAGAAGCAACAACATGAAACGCGGACGGTGCTGAAGAGCGTACGGACAAATCGACGTTTCGAGCTGCAAATGAAGGCTCGTAATCTAAGCACGATATAAAGCGGCTCTTTCTCCTGATAATATATATAAATTATATACGAGCTCTATTTTCTTGACTCGTGTGAATCGTGAAGGTACTTTCTTCCTTTTTTGTATTAATTTAAAATCTATGAAAACTATTGTAATCAACATTTTCAGTTTACTTTACCTCGAATTTAAGGCCGAAGCCAAGTATCGATTGCATAAAAAAAATGCCTGTAGCTTACACTCCGTTATATCTGCGCTTTCCCATATTTTAACTCGAAGAAATCCATATTTGTTCATCGAACTATTTTTGGATTTTTTCGTACTAACGTACTCAGCCCTGTATTAAACTGGATTTTGCAATTGGATGCTTAAAGATTTATAATAGTTTTAATTCAGTCTTCGCTTCGTTGACGTCGTAAATAGCAACATGATTTCTCCAAGTTAAAATACAAAGAAGCGTAAATAGAACGGAAGATCCAGTAGTCTAGCGGCACTTTTATACCATCGATTTGATTAATATAGCATAGCATCTGATAAAACTTTATGTATTGCGTGCTATTTCTTTACTTCTGTCTCAAGAAGAAAACCATAATTTAATTTTTCTTTATACATAGAAGTAATTTATTGTAATGTTGGCTAGCAAATAGGATAGTTCGATAAGGCTTAAAAAGATTTATTCTCACGCGACACACATTTGTATAGATTTATATTGCGAATAATCCCAAACAGCACACAATATATCTCATGGACATTCTGTGGACATCCTGATGAGATCTGTGCTGTCTGAGAATTATACTTTTTTTAAGCTTCTTTTCGTTCCTTTCTTAATATGGACAATTCAGAAAAAAAAAAAACCAGGTTTAATTTGTAAGATTATGGTTGGGATACATTTGGAATTATTGATGTACTTTGGAATAAGGGATTTTACCTATTAGTTTGTAACTAATAATTTTTTTTACGAGCTCCCACGAAAATATTGATTTCTAAAGGCCAAATTTCACAACCTTCAATAAATTTAATTGATCGGTCAAGTGTCAACTGTGGATTGGTCGATTCTGTTTAACGATAAATACAATTGGTCAATTCCAATGGAAAATTCAAATGAAAATACAATTGGTCATTTCCAATGGAATCAGGCGGATTAAATTAACCGGAGTTTGTTGTTGAACCGGCCACAAATATCGAAGAGTGGTGTCGATTAATCATTTTAAAAGCATTGCAACAAGTTCATATAGTAGATAGGTCTCCTTCTCCTCTATTAAGTATTATATCAAACAAACCCCGTTTTATATAAAAATACGGCATAAATAATCTTGAAGAGAATAAATTTGTTTTTCTTTAACCCCTTCCCGTACTTTAGCGAGTCAGACTCGCGATGAAGATTTTTGCCCAAACATGAATATCGCGAGTCTGACTCGCGAACAGTTACTTGGGCCAAACATAAACTTCGCGAGTCTGACTCGCGAAGAGATACTTGGGCCAAACATAAATATCGCGAGTCAGACTCGCGAACACATACTTGGGCCAAACGTAAACATAACCAAGCCGAGCTCGCGGACTGATTTCTACATTTCGGATCGTATTGCGACTGTTTACAAGCATCAGTCTGGTCTGTTTAGCGCGCGTCAATACCTACCCGCTTGGGCCGAGTTTTCGTCGAGCTAAATGGCACGGGAAGGGGTTAATTGATATTTATATCAAAGTTCATCTTTGTATCGACTATAATGTCAAATAAATCCGTAGCAGGAATTCTCAATAATTGATGAGCCATATATCGTAACATAATTAATGATTAAAACAACGGATACGGGCGGATACTTTATAGTTTGAATGCAGGTAGGGTGGGGGAGAGAGAGGAGCAGCGAGCGCCGATTCAGTTGTCTAAATTCGGTGGAGAGTTGGCGCGCGAGAAGGGCTGGAATCCCCCTTCTCCCACGATTGCAGCGACTGTGCAAAAAGATCGATGCGTGACACACCAAGGAGGAAGGTTTTGAAGAACATCACCAAGCCTGTCGTATAAATACCTACAAACACACACTCGAAAAAGGCACACTAAGGCGCTTGCTCACCGTTCTGTCGAGCTGAACGCTATGACAGACGAGAACGGTCTCTCCGAACGGTCATACGAAGCGCTCTTATATATCCGCCAATGAACGAACTCGCGCGCGAGCTGATCAGCCGGGCGGCGCGCCGCCTCGCGGCGTGCGCTCCTGGCTACGGCGGCGAGGGTCCAGCGCGCGCGAAACTATCTCGCCTGTTGCGCTGCAACCCGGGCTTCGCTCGATCCACAACAGTTCTGTAACCGTCAACTGTCGGATCGGTCGTTGCGTACTTTTTTTGCCATATGTTACATTTGCGCAACGGCATATTCCCTAGCCGACAGTTGTCGGTTACAGAATCCCGCTAGAGGATACAGACCATTCGGTAGCCGGTATTCATAGTCGGATCTTATACTTAAGATGTTGTAAGGCTCATGTCATTGGCTACGAAGCATCTACAGATAACCTTGGGACGATCTTATATATAAGATTTCCGGCTATGAATACCGGCCTGTGTCTAATCTAACGTCATTCTAACCTAACGTAATATTATATGTACTTTCTCGTAGAGGATGTATCGAAAAACTGTCCCCTGAAAAACGCCGGAATGATTGCCCTCTCTCTTCTTTACAGCCTTTGATAACACTAGGTTAACAAGAGACATTTAGTCTGTTCTTTTTAGCTGCACTAGTTTAGCAGTGTAACTAAAAAGTCTTCTTAGAGCAGCTAAAAAGAACAGACTAAATGTAAATAAAAGAGACCGCTTGTCGTTAAGAAGTTACAGATCGCGTCACATGATGTTCACTTTCTTAACAGCAAGATCCAGTAATATACTAGAAATTCGCCAAACAGAACGCCACGTTTCCTATTTGCTAGATCTATCAAGAAAGTAAGCATCGTATGAAGCGGGCTTTGGTTCTTTTTAGAGTGCGCTCAAGAAGCACGCTATTTGGGCTGATCATTCTATTCTTGTCCTAATGAGGGACAAAGATAAAATGACGTGTTGGTAGCTTTCCGAACACAGCCTCCGTTAATTAAATGTCAGCTACATCCGGAACTGAAAAAACTAGATGAGCGATATCCTCTAGCATTTTATGCCTGATAGTTTACCCGACTGCGCTCGATCGTCAGCGTTTAAAATTCAAAGCCCTTAACGTAAAGCCAACGGCTGCGGGGCGTGCTTCGTGGTTTCATCGGTATTGCTAGTCTCGTAGCATCAGTTTCGTTCCGCTCGTAGCTCACGTTCGTTCGGATCGAGTGTCGTAAAACCGGCATCGTTGGAAACGACGAAGAATTTTCGAGACAACAACGAGGCAGCATGTTATGAAGACGACGTAAGCAACTTTATTTTGCTCATTCGTTGCCTGTATAAGCTTACTAAACTGATGAAAATTTTCAGCATCTCCCAGAGCGCCACGATGGTCTTCGGCAGGAAGGATACGACGAAGACGAGTTCACCTAACAGAGCCAAGAGAACGCAGATATCAGGCAGCGAGCCAAACATGGGCAGCGACGCGCAAACGGACGTATCTGAAATATCGATCAAAGTGATCGTCAGGGTTCGGCCGCACAATGAGCGCGAGCTCCAGGACAATAGCAGAACAATCATCGAGACTGTGGATGACAAAATGTTGATTTTTGATCCGAATGAGAAAGAGACGCCCTTCTTCTTTCACAATGTGGCTCAGCGTGGCCGAGATATGCTGAAGAAGCAAAACAAGCACCTGCAGTTCATCTTTGATAGGATTTTCAACGAGACATCAAGAAATAAAGACGTGTTCGAAAGCAGCACCAAGAGCTTGATCAGCAATCTCCTGGACGGCTACAACTGTTCTGTGTTCGCTTATGGAGCCACCGGTGCTGGTAAGACTCACACAATGCTGGGCAACAAGGATGATCCCGGCATCACTTACCTCACTGTGGCGGAACTCTTCTCCGAGATTGAGAGGCAGAGCAATTATCGCGAGTTCAATCTGAATGTGACATACCTGGAGATATACAATGAGAATGTGCAGGATCTGTTGCACAAATCAGGCCCGTTACATCTGAGAGAAGACGGCAGACGCGGCGTTGTAGTCGCCAGGCTGAAACCAATCGCCATTAAAAGCGCCCAGGAATTATTGTCGCTTCTAGCCGAAGGCAATAAGAATCGTACGCAGCATCCCACAGACGCGAATAAGGAGAGCAGCAGGAGTCACGCGGTGTTTCAGGTATACATAGAGATCGTCAACAAGTTGGACAGTCAGGTGCAGCGAGTGAAATTGTCGATGATCGACTTGGCAGGATCCGAGAGGGCTTCGGCCACCGGATGCAAAGGCGTGAGGTTCAAGGAAGGCGCCAATATCAACAAGTCCTTGCTGGCCCTCGGCAATTGTATAAATAATCTGGCGGATGGCATCAAGCACATTCCGTACAGAGATTCCAAGCTTACGAGACTGCTGAAGGACTCGCTCGGCGGGAATTGTCACACCGTAATGATAGCCAATATCGGCCCTTCCAGCTTCACTTACGAGGACACGTACAACACTTTGAGATACGCGAATCGGACGAAGAAGATCAAATCGTACGCGAAGAAGAATGTGTCGTGCGAGACGCATATCGCTGGCTACATCAAGATAGTGGAGGAGCAGAAGAAGGAGATAGCTGCGTTGAAGTCACGGCTGGCCGCTCTGGAGAGCGTGCCAGCCGCACCGTCGCCGCAACCGGACAAATTCATGCTGGAGGTGTACCGCAAACTGTCCAAGTCATACGACAAGAAAAAGGAGCTGATTGAGAAGATGCTGGCCCTGGAGAGCTCCGACAAAATACTGGCCTGTAGGATGCTCTACAAGAGAGACGCGGACGAGAGGTTGCACTATTTGACGGCGGCGGACGACGCATTGCCGTCGGAGGAGCTGAACGCGAGCGGTAAATCGCGCGTCAACAAATCCCTGCATTATTTCCAGCGGCAGAGGGATTCGCTCAAGACGCAAACGGAAGCGGCATGGCAGGAATTGTGCTCCGTCGAGGCGGAGATACAGAGGTTGAGAGACGCGCCACTCAGCGAGGATTTGCGGAACAAACTGTCCCTGCAGATGTGCGAGATTGAGAGATGCTGGATCTCCGGTATGCGGCAACATATGAGGAAACTCTGCAGCCTCCAGCAGTGTGAGAGGCAGTCGGTCAATACTATCTCGAGAATGATGAGTATGAATCTGCAGAATTACTACAACATGGTGAAGGGCTACGGGACGATGACCGAAAAGATGCAGGCGGAGTTCAAGGAATTGGTCAAGTTGCTCGAAGGTTTTCGCAGTATCAAATGGTCCGATGCAGCGATGGACACCGACGCCGGAGATTTCGGCATATTCGCCTGCCTGAGCACTATCGGAACGTTTGATAACGCGGCGGGTCTCCTCAAGGAAGAGGAGCAGCGCGACGTTCGCAGCGCGTCTAATATCTTGAATGCCACCTTCAATGCTGAGAATTCGAGCGACGAGTCCAGTGAAAGCGGTGCGATGGGGGACAAACGACTCGTTGCCACGTCGAACTTACGCGAGAGGAAGGGAAGCGCGATCAGAAAGCGCGCGCTCTCCGACAAGAATCAGGAAAGCACACCCGCCAAGCAGACGAAAAAATTGTACAACGGTAAGACTATTGTTGGCGGTCGCGCGGACAAGGAGAATGTGCAGCGCAGGCTACCTGTTCATATGAGCGCCAAGAGTATCGCTATTTTGAATAAGCTGAAAAATACTACCGCTCAATCCGATAACGAGGCGCTCAAGACGGTACGTAATAAGGAGAGGCGCGCCCTCATAACCACACATCCGTACCAGAAGCCGGCCTCCGGAAGGAAGTAAGTGAATTTGATAATATCGTTGATACGTTGATTGTGGCAACTTGACTGATGATTCCGAAGGTAAGATTCGGCCCCCTCTGTTGACCGTGAAAGCGATTTTTCAATTAATTGTGTAACCTCGATCGTAGTGCTGTAAGTAGCCACGTTCAGCGTGTTAACTCGCGCGAATATCCGCCACTCGTTTAATCCAAATGTTGTGTTACAGACACAATCCAGCTCCACCCTCCACCAGAGTCCCGTGGTGATCCAAAACTAAGACCTGACGTTTGAATCTTTTGGATATCTTTTGCACTTGAGCTCTCAGAGAGAGTCAGGTTTTCTCTCTATTAACGAGACTTGTTGGGAATCTCCCCCTAGGTAGATAGTCTAGCTTTACATCCCGAGTAAAAGTCGTTCTTAATAATATAACGACATTTTAATCATATGTTTTCTATAGGTTATTATATATACAAACGCGAGACATTTACGTATTTGTGTTTGCAAACTGTTAGGAAAAAGAGAGCGACAAATTTTGCGGTGTTGTTGCACTTTATTTGTACATGATGTAATTATATCTTTAGAAACAATCCGAAACTGACCTGAAATGGTCACTGTTAGACGAAACGGCGCTTTGTAATTTTTAAACACTTAGATTAGTCAACCGTGACGTGTCTAACGTACGGTTTGTTCGAAGCTACATCGTTCGATGTTTAAAAGCTTTGTATAATCTCTCGAGCAAAGCACGATGCAATAATTACTACCAAAATGCTACACGCGTATCAACTTCGCATTACGGAGATTGATTTATCGAACAAACTTAACAAAAACGAAGAAAGTATGTTGGGCTTTTTTTTATGTACGTACTGATTGCAGAATTCTTATCGATTAATGTCACCAAGTATTTTTAAGAGAATAAATAAATTATTTGCAGGAACCTTAAAACCCCTGTTACGATGAAAAAGTCTTGTTCATTCGATCGTGTCCAAATTCTGATCGAGACTTTCCTAAAAAAAAAAAAAAAACGGTGCAGGTATCATTTCGGATGATATCCGAGGACGTAGGACATACTCACGTAGTCGCGCAGGGCACGTCTCGAGATCTCGTCGGGAATCGTCAGATCCGACGACTGTCGCCGGCCGCTGACTATCGTCGGCAGCATCGATCTCGAACGATCGTAGAGCGAGGCGAACGACTGCAATAAGAACGCCAAAAATGCCAATGATGCTAGCACGCTGATAGGATCGAAGGTGCTAAAAAATTCATGCCAATTCTCGCTATTGACGCCACAACTGAAATTTTACTGATCTCGATACACTTACTGATAATGAGCCGGCGACGAGCCGAATCCGCTGTAATAACTGCGTCGGAGATGATTCGCCGGCGCGGCGTAATATCGCGAGTAAAACGGGAACGCGTTTCTCGACTCGTCCGATAAATCACACAGAGGCGGATTCCTACAAGACGATATTTGATTCTCTGATAACTCCGTGTCACATAGAATAACGTCGAGCCAAGCACCGAGCAGAAACGTCATAATTCGCAACATTTTCGTCGATCCGTTTATTACGCGAAGCAAAAGATACGAGATGGTGGAAACGTTTGTTATAAATGCTTCGAGGTACAAACGTTACTACCACTTTCGCGCGATACCTTACACGATACGTCGAAATCTTGCATCTCGAAGACGAGACGACTTGGGCCTCCGAGGTATTTGCTCGAATATATAAACGCCAGAAAATGGAGGAGGAGGAGGAGGTTACCGTTTCCGGTCGATTCTTCGTACGCCCTAGTTGTTTTTCCTTTTTTTACCTGAATCCGCACAGAATTACGGAAAGCGTAATTCACTGGTACGTTCGACGTTGTTTAACGAGCATAAAATTATGCAAATTGAGTGGGACATTACTCGTGAAAACTATCGGGAACAACGGACATTGCGAACGAGAGAGATTGATTCATCTCTCTCTCCTCTGTAAGCAAATTTCTTGAAGAAGAAACGCGGATGGTCCGACACACAAGAACGATCCATTCGCGTAACGATTTTATTATCGCTTTTACATATCGCCCTTTAGAACAGATTTCTCTCCGTAGATAAACATTTCGATGAAAAAGAGAAAAATGACAGAATCAATTTGTTTCTACCTATTGATTCAACTTTTATCGTCGCTCTTGAGGTTCAACAAATTTTTCACGGCTTCCTTGTACTTGTTGACTGAGTACTGATCCTCCCCGTTGTTTATGAGATCCGAAACTGCAATCTTGTATTCCGTCGCGTGCGGGATGGTCTCGTAATCGTAATCGGTCGGCGGCTCGGGCCATTTGTACAGCGTCACCAGACTCGTGCGACTCACACTCGAGTCCCAGTCGAAGTATTCCATGTCCGCTTCGGATTTCTCAGCTTCCCACGGCTCCACCCTCTGGAATTCAAGATTTTGCGAATACAGGTGAGAACAAAGGAGCGCTGTATCAAGCAGCTTTACTCTTGCCTCAATAAGAGCTCTTATATACGATCTCACGCATAGGCAGGGTAAAGATAAAAAGAAAGAACGACGGGGAAACCCCGTCGCGAAATCAAACTACTATCATTATTACAATTGTGAGAATAAGTGCCGGGAGCATTATTTACCCAGGACTCGTGATACACCGCAGTGAGGAGATACCGCGCGTATTCCAAGTTTTGCTTCCTGCTCGGGCATCTGTCGGTCGTGATGGTTATTACGCCTGTTTCCGCATTGTATCTGTCAGCCAGTAGTCTCAACAACTTGTCCTTGGCGTGAGTATCCAGGTAAAGAGATGACAGTTTAATTTGCAGGCTGACGATCCTAGCGAGTGGATCTCTGATGGTGGGCGAGGAATAGCAATAATCGGACGTGGTGATCGCGACGGGGAAATGTTCGGTGCACTTTTCGTCGGTGTCGAGCGCCACGGGCCACTCGGTACAGAACTGCTTCAAGGCCTCGCAGTGTCTGCGAATCGCTGGCGGTGTGAGATGCAGGAAATTCGGTATTTTCATGAGCTCGGCGTTAACGTACTTGTCGGGCGGCACGCCCTTCTCCACATAGCCCTGCCGCAACGGTAAGGGCACCGAAGCGGGATGAAAGGTTCGCGCACCCGGCCAAACCGACGGCCAGTCCTGGTCGGTCGGCATTTCCATCGTTCTCGGCGGTGCTACCTTCGGCTTTTGCACTTGTCGTTTCTGCACGACATCCTTCTGCGGATAAAGCTCCAGCACGCGGAATTCTGAAAACGAAAGACCGCTCGCTCGATCTTGAGACACGCAAGGTGGACTAACTCTCACCAAATTTCGAATTAAACTAATGATTTGCCAGGATAAGAGAATTCTCTCCCTTCGTAAGCTATATTTGAAATCGCATCCAAGCACTACCTCGTTGATTTTGCTGACGATGCAGATATATTTTCGATCATTATTTCGGACGGCAGATTATACACAGCTGAAAATTGTTATTGGCAACTTCGATTAATTGGAATTCGGTGAGAGTGTAGTAGTTCGATGCGAAAGGTAACTAACGTTCCACTTGCTCGCCGTTCGAAACGTTCGCATACGTCGCGATAAGCTTCAACGTTTTCGGCAAACCCCGCGTCAGCTTTGCGTTGAACCTGCGAGTTATTAACAACATCTTTCTATACTTGCGACACGACCGAGTACAGTTTTACAATAACATAACCTCCTATCTCGTACGAAATTCTGGCAACCAAATGTAATCCAACTTAACCTTACGATCTTACGTCGCATCTGAATTGGACAAGTTGGATCTCTATTTTACTCAATCGGTATAACATTATTAATGTATGGTAATACACCTTCGAAGCATTGCGCGCTCAATCGGTAATAACGTTATTAACACGTTTCTCGGGCATAGTTTGTTCTTCTAAGACGAGCTCTCCGTTTTATTTACAAGCCAAGGATCCAAATTAACGTACTTATACTACGGATTAACTCGTGCTTGGCACGGGAGGTCGATATACGAATATGCTCGTAGTTGGTAACGAACGTGTTAACACAGTTATATTTAACTCACATGGCAGTTAATGTGGCCATATTAAATCTATTTAATCGGGGATCAGATTAGCAAAATGCTATTGTTTAACTTTGCGCAACTCGAAATGTGTATAGCGGAATAAAATGTTAAATAACAAAGAAAATACTCAAGTGTACATATATTCTGGACTATTTCGTCTTGACTGTTTATTTCAAATTTCACGAGCACGTTGGAAATTAGCGTGAAGTATGTAAAATTGTATCTTAGTTAACCACTCTTGCTTTAATCGATAGCATTCCCCTTATTATTGTCACGCCCTCCGAATCTCTTTGTAACACATATTTCAACTTAATACCTGTAACCTTGATACACGATCTTTAATTTCATTGGTTAAAGAGTTTGATCTCACAAAGGCCGACAACCGCGTCCGGGGATGAAAGGAAGATATTTCATTGGTCACGACATCATATATAAGATTCTAAGAGCGTACGTGTCATTTTGTACAAATAGTGTTTTCCTCAAGCTCACGTCAGTATCGGTGTGCTTGCATTCAAGGCATTCTCTTGAAAGTGTAGTCGTCACATTAGAATAATGAACAGGCAAATCGTAATCGCTCTTTTGAGCTTAGGTATCGTAGCTTTCTGCGAGGGCAAGGAGTTTTCGGAACTCTTGGAAGAAGAAAAATTCGTTGAATCCGTAAAGAATTGTATACTGGATAAAGATTCGTGCGACGAGATGGGATTTAAAGTGCGAAGTAAGATATTTTACATCTCTCTCTCTCTTTCTATATATATATATATATATGTAATATTCGCCCATATATTTTTTCTCTCTATATAAAATATATCTATACGTGATCTCTCATCGTAAATTGCAAATGGCGCGCTTACGAAATTACGCTAGTGAAATATGGCGTTCGCGACGAAGGCGCGTCAAGAGGAAGCCTCCGATTTCGTCTTCTCGCTGAAAATTAAGATTCCCGTTTCGCACGTATGTACAGATGTTCTACTACCTGAACTGATCAGCAGAGATTGCGAAAGTTGCAGTCCTTCTTTGAAAAAAGACGGACAAACATTGCTGGCGCACCTGAAGGAACGATATCCTACCGAATGGATAATCATCTCTCACATGTACGATCAGGAGATCTACGATATTCCTGGCTATTACACGACTCCGCTGATACCACCGCTATGAAAACCGACTCGCAGTTATTTTTATTTTTATTATCTGTTTTCTCTAGCATACTTGCAAAACGTAATTTAAATGTTAAAAATTTTAATATATACATGTAAAATAATAAAATACCGTAGTTCTTTTTCAATATACACATATATATATGTATATATCAATGCGCTACCATTTACCGTCAAATTACGATCGAATGATTCTAACGGCTGTGTGAGGCTCCGATAAAACAGAAAGATATTTGGCGATATTTCAATCGTCGTGAACATCTTTCCAAGGTGATATTTTTGTTAAAGATATTCAAAACGTAAATACGACTTGCTGGCAACAAATCGCTCCGCTCTCACCACTGTATTCCTGCATATTTTTCTAGTTTCCGAATGTTTACATATCGCGGTAAATGAGATGTTTGTTTGAAAAAGTGATCGCGAAAAGTCGGAAGAAGTTGACTTGTTCCACGATATAATAACATGTAGCCGTGAATCTTTATTATTCGTACAGATATAGCGGGATCATTGGAACGACTTTCTCCTTCGTGTGTTCTATTTCTCCTCGGTACCCGTTGGCGGTAATCATGACAAGTTCTTGAACTTAAGGAATTACAACGTGTGGAATCGACCGCAGCAAGATGATACGACGCCTATCTATCGCCCAGAAAGTGTGGCGATTATATAATTCTCTTCTGATGCAACACGATAATAATGCGGGTCAAAGACTCGATGTGTCATGAATATCGATAAGACGGAGATTGTCGTCGCAACGATAAAGCAGACCGTATATATTCTAAGAAAAGAAAAAATTTGAAAATTCGAATTATACTGTGTTTATACATCATTATTTATATACACGCGTGTATATATATTCCTCTTGCTCGAGATCATGGAACCTGTTGTTGTTTTCCGATTGCAAGGTCGATCACTCGGCCGTGAGAAGGGAAAGAAAGAGCAGAGGCTACGCCGAGAGAATCTCGGTGAAATCAAATGTAAATACGAATATAAATGATCGTTACATGCAAGATGATGGATTGACGGCGGAATAAATAAAGAAAGTAAGGAAAAATGTTGCTTCCTGAGACAACGAAATGCATCGGTGAGCATTATACTCCGTCTTCTCCGTTCACGCGCCACCCTGTCCTCCACTCGGCTATATAAAAGCTAGAACCGTCGCTGTGACACGCAGTCGCGGATTACCTTTCAACTCTCGTCCGAAGCGTCGTCGGCCAAGATTTATCGTACTCGCGTACACGTCCATCGAATACGTTGATGATCCCTCCAGGATGAAGAAGTTTCTCTTGATCTCGCTAACCTCACTGATCGCCTTGTCCATCGCCGCCGAAAAGTATCCTGAGAAATACGACAACGTGGACGTGGATAGAATTCTGCAAAACAATCGTGTTCTCACCAATTACATTCGTTGCTTGATGGACGAGGGACCCTGTACCGCCGAAGGTCGCGAGCTGAGAAGTAAGCAAATAATTGAAAATAATTTAGTTATGTGTAAAACGCGCTATTCCTTAGCGAAGAACCGACTTCAATTCGAAACCTCGTTTTCCCCTCCTCAGGAAGAACTACACGCGGATGTCGAAACTCTAAATTCCTCGACTGATTTCAGCTTGTTTTAACGGCACTCCAATTTATCACGTTGACTGCCGCGTTGATTTCCAAACCGTTGAATTATCAAAGAAAAATGCGATGAATAAATGTGATTCAGGACATGTATCTTTTACCGCAATCTTATAGATGCGATTAATTAAATGTAACTTATTAAAATATCGTCGTAAAGAGCAATCGCCACACGGCATTCAACGAAATCGGGCAAGAGATGGATCGCGGGAGTTTACTGTTAGGAAAGAATAATATTGATTTAAAATAATTTGTTGCGCCCATTATATGGGGATACCAAAGACGATGGTGAACTTGCGTTGATAACTATCCATATGTTACACACACCGACGCACAATTACTTTTCTTACCTAAATGTAAGGGCGATATAAATGCGATGAATGTGCGCTCTGTTTTATCAACGGACAATCTAACCAAGATTACATATAAAAATGTTTCTTTCCGCATCTTCTCAGATCTCCTAACTTTCGTTGAAAAAATATAAAAGTGTTCCTTTTGGAATTTTCTTAATTTGAGCACACTCGGCACATAATCTGTAGTATCTCTGTGTCGCGTAACTATTTATACCAACCGATAGCTAGAGAAATGTGCATCGTTTTCGTCTCATACGATGCTCCAAATTATTTCCGCGCATACTTTCACCGTGTACAAATATTTATATATAATTCTACGCAACCAATAAAACGTAAATTTTGCAAAAAAAATTCATCAATAAAGTTTTCAAAAGTATAATATTCCCTTAATTCCCGATCATATATATCTCTTCCTTGAGATATTCAACTCTCGTTCAATTGCGGGGAAGAACTAGTTCTCATTAATGTGTGAGTTCGTTCAAGAATGACAAGGATACTTTACACACACACACACACACACTCTGGTTCTCTTTCCGCTCGGATTAAAATTATCCCGTCCGTTCGCTGCTACCTTCCTCAATTTCCCAGTTGGGAAATACACGGTGACTGACTGCAATTACGGCAGAGTACTCGACACGTACTCTCTCTTCATTACATAATGCCCACCGTGAACTTTCTCATGCAAGATTGCATTCAGTCTACTTAAGTGACCGTCTACATTACATCCTTAAGATCAAAATTATTTCAAGAGGAAAGTGTGGGTACAGTATGTCGAATATATTCGGTACTATGAGACTTTTATGAATAGTCAGTCGTCGTGCGCGCGTCAACCAAAGCATTTGTGTCCTCTCTCTTTTATCCACTATAAATAAATAAATTATATATATATATATATATACATACCTATAGCTCAAATTTTATTACATTTATACATAATTATAATAATGCTGTTATGCAATTGCACCGGAATAATAACGAAAATATATATTTTCTCCTTTCCTCTTTTTTATTTCTAGAGACATTACCGGATGCTCTATCAAATGGTTGCAGCAAATGCAACGATAAACAAAAGGCTACAGCGGAGAAAGTGATAAATCATCTTAAAATGAAACGATCCAGAGACTGGGATCGACTCATCTCTAAATACGACCCAAACGGCGAATACAGAAAGCGCTTTGAACAATCTTAATGTAGTCGACATATTTTGTTTCACGCACATTACAACACACAATCGTCGCGTGAACTAGAATTTATTGAAATATACTTCACTGCGAAATGTCGATATTTATTCGAGTGAAATCCGATCCGTTATACGAATGGAACCCTAACGAGTGTTTCGCCTTAATCAATTTTTGCCGAGTCAACATTCCTCATGAGTGTGACCCTATTTCGTTCGCACTGCAAAATATGCTCAAGTATAATTCAATACATTACTTTGTGTTTAAATATATAAAAGAGATATTTTTAAGATATTCTTTAATAAAAAGGAAATAACTGCTAAAAAGATGTACCATTAGCATCAATACTGCGCTATACATCATTACCATCGAAATAGTTTCACGTAAAAAGTATATTTATAGCGATTAGTCTACACGTTGATGTATGTGCTATATGGGACATAAAAAGATTACACTTTTATGCATGATTAATTTTTCATTCGGCACGTCTCTTTTTGACCAACGATCCAAGCTGAAACAAACAAATATACAGGATAATTTGTACAATTTTGCGGTAAGTTTGCGACAGGAAAGAAGCCAAAAGTTGAAAGATTTGAAGGAATATGTGGAAGAAATCTCGTGATGAGAACAACATGCTCTCTGTTGTTATTATCCCTTTGCTGCTATTGATTATAAAAAATGAAATTGCTTATCATGATTGCTTATCATATAATATTAAAAATGCTTATTCAAATCTTCCCAAGGCTTAAATTTTTTTTCAATTTTCGAATTTTGGTGCTTTCCCTTTGTAAATACGCACGCGCGCATGCACGCACGCACAGAGGATTGTTATGCGTGAACATACTAGATCCGAAATTGCCGGTAGATTATTCGTTTGATCGGTAACCGTATTTTCCTGCTCACGAGTCTCCTTCTGTGTGGCCGCTTTTTTCATATTTCTATGTTGCGGAAAAGTAGGCATAAGTTTTGGGTCGCAGGCTGTAACATGACGAATCAGTTGATTGATAATAACAAAAATTCTTCATTATATCAAAAGAAGAAATATCAAATGTTATTTGTACGAACGTAACGGAGCTTCCTTAAAGTAACTGCTCTGCAAACATTCTTCGGCAGTCGCTCGTTTCTTTGGGTCGTACATAAATAAGAAATTTAACAATCTGAGACCAGCAGCACTCAACCACGGAAATCTTTGTTTCAAGTTGTTGTACGGTTGCTGCTTAAGTGTAAAATTCTGCAGCGCCGGTAATGAATTAAATTCAGGCCAAATAGCTTCACTGGGTGTGCCCAATAAGTCGACGATTAACTCTAGCTGTGCAATTTCTGATCTACCAGGTAATAAGGGTTTATGGCCCAATAACTCTCCTGATAACAAAATGCATTATATATATATCGCGTGTGTATGACACATGTGTCTAGGAAAGCTATAAAACCTTTCAAAAACTGGTATAAAAGAAACTTTCCTCGACTTTCCTTCTCACCTAAAATACATCCAGCTGCCCACATATCCACAGATGTCGTTTGTGTTTTGGCTTGCAACAGCAATTCTGGTGCTCGGTACCACAGTGTCACGACTCTAGGTGTCATTGGTTTCAAAGGCAAACCAAACCACCTGGCTAGTCCAAAGTCGGCAATTTTTACACAGCCCTTATCAGTCATTAAAAGATTAGAGACTTTTAAATCTCTATGAACGATAAAGTTATGATGCAAGTAACGAAGGCCTTTTAGTACTTGCAATACTATACATTTGACCTGGCTCTCAGAAAACGGTGCTTGCATATTGTCCAATAAGCTTGCCAAATCTTGTTCGCAATATTCCATTGCAAGGAATATGCTTTCTAGACTTCTGCCCACTACTACCTCCCTCAAATGAACAATGTTTTCATGACGACAGGACAGCAGAACTGAAATCTCCCTGAGGCCACTTACCGGCAGTCCATCCTTCTCATGCTCCATTCTTACCTTCTTCAATGCAACAACTTTATCATTTTTTGTATCTCTGGCTCTGTATACAATTCCATAAGTGCCTTCTCCGATACGATTCAACTTCTCAAATTCGGAAACAAATCTACATTTGCCAAGCTGCAACAAATAATTAAGAATTAACTTGTATAAGTAAAAACAAGCATGTGAAGATAAGTGAAAATTTTATTACAATATCATGCTCTGGTATTTCCATAGGTTTGCCAGTTAGGAAGGATGTTAATACTCCTTTCCTAGTGATCGGAGCAGAAGGATCCGGTCCTGAATCAGATATAGTCTTCTTATCACTATCATTAAGCTCCACGGACTTTTTCTCCAAACTTTCCTCTAGAATAGCAAAATTATTCTCATTACATTCTCAAGAATGCTACATTTTATAATGTTTCAACATCATTATATATACATTTTAGTAATTGTATGCTAATCGATAGAACGCATAGTGTAATTAGGTTAGGTTTACTAGTCTAACCATGCACATTCGTTTCTTCTGGACATTAACGCAAAAGTTATCACGGTAATTGACAAATTCTGTTTCTTTGAATAATCAAATAAATTAATAATAGGCACGACTGAAAAATTCCAACAACTCTGTTACACCGAGGCTAGTCTGCCATGTAGTATATCAATATTTATCTCACTTATATTTAATTCGTTTTTGCAGATATTTGCAGATTATTTACAGATATTTGTTATACCTTTTGTCATTTTCAACTACAAATAGACTGATGTGCAAGGAAAACAATCAAATGGCCTTCACCGCTCAAGCACCATAAAACACCATTGAAAACAATGTTTGACAATTTCTGTTTCCTAGTTTTGGCTACGGATCTCCTTAAGGCACATCTCCATCATTTTCTACTCTTGGAGGTATACCAGCGACATATCTCTCTGGGTGCGTTCGCGGAGCACGCTGTTAACGTCGTTGATCATCTTTAACTAGTTATTCTATCGCACGTGAGACAAACGTGACGTCTTAGCGCCAACAGCGTTTCCCCGAACGCACCTTCTCACACGTTAATGACGGCTCCGCATTGCATCCAATATCTAAAGTCAGCGGCACTTGTTTTCGTGCTTGCTGGATACAAATACTGCGTTCTGATTGGTGTATTTCCAAAAATGGATGACAATACACCAATCAAAACGCAATATTTCCATCCAGCAAGCAATCCAGCACAAATGCCGCTGGCTTTATATCAATTTGGTGAAGAAATATTATAAAAGAAGAAATTTGAAATTTAATGCTTAATACGTTCACTGTCAACACAAGAAAGCCGTTTGGCCGCAGTCATCATTGGCCCCGCCGTGAATGTGTTAAGGCTTGGTGGAAAACTAGTAGTTTGGATATGATAACATTGGTTCCAATCGGCTCAAGAAGGAAATGGGGAGGGAAATACGGATGACAAATTTGGCGCGAAAGATCATCGGGTACGTCAGTTCGTTACGACGAAGACTACTGAGGTGAGTCTGGTGGAAGATTGTGCGGAATTGCGCGTGTCAACTGACTAAAACGATAATTAAAGCGAGACAAGCGTATTGTTTTGATGTCTGTGCGTTTATAAGAAGACACCCGCTGTTCTTTTACCATCAAAATTGTCTTTAAACTTCACTGAAAAAGGAATCCCGCATTGATTTCTGACAATGGCAATAATTCATCCAGTGATTACTGGTTTAGCGGAAGTTTCTTCAAATAACGATACAGATTTCAATGAAAATGAACATCACATTGGAAATGATGAGTCCAACATCTCCAAAGATACTTCGATATGCAATAATGAATCAACACGTAATGACCAAAAGGGAAACGCTGAAAAGAACTCGAGAGAGATCGTTTGTAATAACATATCATCTAAGGGAGATGATATTTGCTGCAATCTTGAAAATTTACAAATTCCTATCACTTCAGCTAAGAATGGTTATCTGGATGATGAGACCGATCTCAGCAAAAACACTGAAGTTAGAGCTGATGATAAACACTTTAGTGTTAGTAGTGAGAATGGTGAAAAAATACCATCAAAGAAATTCATGACCCTTGTGGATAGTGATTCCGAGGATGAGATTAATACATATAAAACATCAAATGAAGAATTGTTTATTGATGATGAAGATAATCATTCTGGATCATCTGGATATGCACAAATTACAAAATATAAGGGAAGACCCAAGATTAAAAGTATAAGGAGAATAGTAGACAGTAAATCTGAGGATGATGAAGAAACAAGTAATATTTATCATTCTCCTCAAATGTCTGATAGAACTATGGGTGTTATTGTAAGCATAAAAATATTTGATAATTCCAAGGTAAAATGTTTAATATAAACTATACAACCATATCACACACACATGTATATTATGTTTCATAGACTGATCTAATCGATCCCGAATCTGAGGAAGAAAAAGAAGCATTTGGCAGTTCTGTCACATTTGATGACCTTGGTACTTTAGAAACCAAAGATGCTAAAGGAAAATCTGTCAAAAAAATAAAGGTAATGCATACGATGTTTTTAAACATATTTATTCTTTAATGTTAAATTGAAAACAAGAAAAAAATATATATATATATATTTATGTTTGAATTTTATGAAATATAGGGTTCCATAAGAGCTGCTAAAAATGAGGCAATGCACAAAATATACAGCGAAAGTCAGCGTTTATTGAGGGAAACAGGAGTTTCTTTACCATATCACAGACCTAAGCAACGTACATTACAAGAATTTTTAAGTAGAACAAAATTATCAGTATCTTTCCCAAAAGCACCTTCTACAGCTGTAAAATTAAAAATATCATCTGCTATAGTGAGGTAAGTCTATGCACGTGTGTCCATGTGTGTTATAAAACAGATCAAAGAATGCAAAACACTTATAATCTTCATATATGATTTTAAACAGCCAAATCCTTGCGAAAAAGGAAAAAGAAGCAGAACTATTTTACAAATCCTCAGATTCGGAAGATGATACACATGAAGCTATGTCATCAACTTACGAGAATATAAAAAAATCTTCCAGTGCAAATGAAGAGAAATCCTCCGCAGATATCGTACGTGCTGAAGACACACAAAATATTGGAACAAATGATCCGGATTCTCATGATAAAAGAGAGACTGTACAACAAAATGACACAGATCTCATTGCTCACGAGATATTGGTCGAAAATGATGGGGCAGATTGCCAAGATAATGGTCATGTACTTGGTTTGCCGCTTCCAAAGTTTACAGATGATATAGATAAAAAAAAGCTGCTATCCAAGTTAGCGCCAAATTCGAAGGTTACATTAAAAGGTTCACCGGGTATGATTATTGATCTAACGGACGACGTAAAATCAAGTTTAAAGGGTCCAAATAGCTTACTGGACAGATTTTTTGGTAAACACGTTGTTAATACAAATAAGCAGGTCGATGATAAATCCGAATTAACTGTAATACACTTGCAAGATACTGAGAATGGTCCGATTCCGGTTAGGGAAGTACTCCCGTATAAATTACCCGCTGATACCGATAATCCCGAATTAAACAAGCCCGGCGCTAAATTAACGCGTTTGAAAGAACATTTGAAGTTGCAAATGTCTCTGAAACGGAATGAAGAGTGGAAACAGAAGGAAATAGAATTGCAAACGCAAGAAAAAGAGATATGGAATGAGGAAGAAGAAATTGACTGTGATTTAGTAGACGAGCAGGAGAAAGCCGATATTTTAGAATTAAGTGATAGCGGAGAGAGTGAGCCCGAGGAAAATGATGTCCGTATCGAGGATAAGAAAAGGAAGAAGTGCTTGTTTGCAGACGACGAAGCAGAAGTTACAGATAGTGAAAATTTCGACGAGACGGATGAAGCAGGACTTGGCAAACAATCTACAAATCTCAAGCGTGGAAACAAGAAAAAATATACGGACGATGATGAAAGTGGCATGGAAGAAGAAGAAGAAGAAGAGGAGGAGGAGGAGGAGGAGGACAAAGGCACAGATGAAGATGAAAATAAAGTTGAAAGTGAAGCTGAATTTGCATACAAGTGTAACGATAATACTGGTCCAAGTATTAACATTGTCAGAAATGAAAAGAAAAGAAAGCGGATAATACAGAAATATCAAGACGACTCGGAAGATAAGGATAACCAATCAAAACGCACAGTGGTTATACGTGCGGTACGTTCCAAAGAGAATAGTTGGACAGATGAGAATGAGAACAAAAATATGCAACAGCAAGGACAAGTTACTGCAAAGAGTCAAATATGCAAGACGCCTATGAGAAAGTCACGCATGCTTGATTTTGTTTCTCCTATAACACAGTTGAGTGTATTAAATACCTCCTTCGATTCTAGCAAAAAAGAAGAACATCCGATTGATAAGCAGGAATTCACAGGGGATTCACAGAGTGATCAGTCTCCCCAACATGAGGTTAGAAATAAAACCATTTCACGGAAGAAGCTGTTTTATGACATTGAAGAAAGTATAGATGACGAATATCTTATGCAATTGTGCTCAACTAAATTTGAATCTACACAGAGGAGCGATCTAGATTTAAAAAGTTCAACATCGCAATCTACCGAGTTACACGAATTGGATACAGTAAGTTCCAACGCGATCGATGTGAAAAAACTGAAAAGTTCGGGAGTGGAGAATAAAAGAGAGAAGAATCTCTTCGATGGTTCTGTATATGGCACGGAAGAAGCAGAGGAAGTTGGCACGACGAGTTCGGAATTAAAATTGAGTGTTGTTTCTTCAGACGAACAATCGGACGAAGAAGATACGTTTTTAAAATTCAGAAAACGTTCCAAGAGATTGGATTTATCTGATTCAGAAGAGGAAGACGCTATCGATGAAGAGAACGACGATGCGAGTAATGAAGAGGAGGAAGAAAAGTATGTAGACTATGATTCTGAGGAGAACGAAGTGACGGTTGTACCGAAGAAGGATATACAAAGAGTCGCGGCTGATTTCTTGGAGGAGGAAGCCGAGTTGAGCGAAAGTGATTGGGACTCCGCTGATGAGGATGAGAAGGACTTGGATAAATTGGATTTTGAAGAGGCCGATGAAGAACAGATAGACGAGGATGAAGTAAAAGACGATCTGGGGAAGATTCATATGAAACAAGTGCTGGATGAAGATAAAAGAGAAGTTCGACTGCTTCAGGAATTATTGTTTGAGGATGGCGATTTACATACGGATGGAGCGGGTCGTGAACGAAAATTCAAATGGAAGAATATAGGTATGAGATATTTCATATACGTATATGTATATCTTTTCCTTTCTTTTTTCTTTCGGAATAAGAAATGTACATGATGTAATATGTAATGTGCATACATGTGTATGGCCATTGATACTACTTGCACGCATTCTATCAGATAAATTGGGAAACGATATCGAGATGTCTCAAGTGCTTGACGAAAATGATGGCTGGGTAGATGTGCAAGAAGATGAAGAGGAAGCGAAGTGGAATAAACTCAGACACGAAAGGGACAAATTTCTTGAAGAAAGAATGGTATAAAAATATTGTGCGATAATGTCGTCATATTTTTCTCACGATAGCACTGTTAATATTTGCACACGTGTATTTTCTTTTCTTCCACATGCATTCGTAGAAAACTTTAAGCAACGAAATCGAGGATGATTTAGGCGATAGTCAAATTTTTAAATTCGGACTGAAAACACTCAAGAAAGTCAAGAGCAATGAGTCTCAAAAACAAGATGTTTCTCCTGGCAAAGTGGATTTATCCGATGATACGGAACCGATCATGCCACGGAATATAACGGATCTTTTGTATGCTCCGAGCATTGGGAAGAAATCTCAGACAATATATGTAAGACTGTGCTGTTAATTGATTGATAATTACAGAGATACGATATCGTGGATTTTTTATATGTGATTCAACAAAAAAACTTCGTTGCTTTCTCTCGTAATCTAAAATGCATTTAGAAATATCTCTGAGAAAGATTCATTGCCACTTTGTACCTTTTACTTATGTGATTTCTATGTGCTCTTCCACATTGATCAGATATTTAATATCCGACACATGTATATACCTTTTTCTTACAGAATGTTATGAAAAAGCGTTCGCTTTTAACTCGAGGAGAAGAATCGTTGGCGAGAATAGCCACGTTGGTAAAGCAAAGTGATCCTGCTTCTCATACGGTGAACACAAGAAATTTTGTCTTCCAGTATATCGATCCATGTATAAATAGTATATCTAAAAAAGCAAGAGAAGAAAAAGGCCGGAATTTGCAAAACCAGGTAATTGTATCTGTTTAGATAATTTGAAGAAAGATTCATTGCTATTTTCTGCTTTTCGCTCATTTCCACACGTTCTTTCATACCGATCAATTATTTAATAGTATTTCTCAATATAGTAATAGGTAACGAATACTTGCTTCTTACAGCCTCGAAAAAGAAAGGTGACGTCGGAGTTTTCCTCGACAACGAAAAAAAGGACGAGGAAATAGAGATTAACCTTAAAGAAGAATACTTCTTATTTGCTACGAGACTGTGAGAGAGGTGTGCGCGTGTATGTGTTTAGAGAAGTGACGCTTTTGATACAACTTTTTTAAATGTACAGAATGAATAAATTTATATTTGTTGACGTCATAATAGAATGTACAAGAACGTTGACAGAAACAAACAAGGGACTTATTTTTGTATATAGATATAAATAGTAAATATATATACAAGAGCACAAAAATCACATAGCATGATCGAGAAGGAATGGTTTCTTTTTATATAAGTTTTTTCCTTCGTAATATCATTTTTAGGGGGGGCAGTCACTTAGCTGCTTTAATTATATTTTTAGGTCTGTTGCAATCATATTTATCACTAAATGTGATTGATTGAAAATAGGCTTAAGAATATAATGAAACAGTATTTGCTCGTATTTACCTGTAAGTTACATAAAACCTGAGTCAAAGGAAGGAAAATTAAATTCTTATTTTCCTTCATATTACATATTTATAGTTTTGTTACAACATGTTTCATCATGTCGTGTTGTATCAAGTCATTTGACCAAGAAAATATTTTAGCCACACTTGACTCGAAGTACAATCGCACAAAAGATCTTGAGAAATGTTTTTTTTTTTCAATGCAAAAGAAAGCAGAATGTACTGAACTTTACACCCCAGCTCTATTCCATACTCAGTCATCGTGGACTTTTTCTTTTGTACTCGATAAAGTCGCTTTAGTGCCGGAAATTCGGGTTGTCCGTTTGCCATCCCTTCGCATTCGGACCAAATTGGTACACCAATCTTCGACCGAGCACCGGTAGAAATATTTTGCTTTTGTAATAATACCTAAAAAAAAAAGGGCGTCCGGATAAATGACTTCGAAGTTTCGCAGCTGTTGAAAATGATGTTATTTATTACCTCATAGCTCTACTAAGCTTCTCGTAAGTCATTTTTGTATTTCCTTTTCGCGAACCCCATCGTTTCGCCACTTCGTCGCTTTTCACAAAGCGAAACTTAGCTTGCGAATAGTCCTCCCAGCAAATTAAGCTGGGGCATGTTTCTCTATTACGTAACAAATCTCTGATGAACTCCCATAGTTTACCTTGACTGGCAGCTGTAAGTGCAATTTGATAAATGCACTGTTATTCTCGTACACACAATATTCCCAAATTAAGTGGGAAGGTACTCACGATTCTTTTTTGTTTTTAATACTCTCGGTCTACCAGGTAGTCTTTTGGTTGCAATGTCCACGCTGTTGTCTGACTCTGCGTCTGAGAAAGTGTGAAAAACGTCAAAACGTTGATGTAAATCAATCGAGTGGGTAGTGTTTAGATCATTTAACTTACCGGATATGTTGCTGGAACTGATTCGCGCGTACTCGTCTTCCGATTGTGACTGAATAGTACCAAAGGACGGCACTGCGCAAACGACATGACGCTTGAAAAATTCATAGGTTTCGATGCTCGTTTCTCTAAATTTCTCAGAGTGAAATTTCACTCGGATGAAAATTCGAATCGATGGGGAAAATAGCGCCATTCGGAATCACGAGAGAGAGCGTATGTATGTGCGTGCATAATTCATAAACTTGGAGTGAACGAGTCAACCGATCGATTTGTAAAATGGTAGAGCGCATCAGATTCGCAATTTTTAATTTCGAATGTAACACTCGACGATTCGAGAAGAATTTACCGTATGTGAGCGAAAAAATTCACTCGAGTCTGACTTCTCGAATTTGGCCGTCACTTTGCTTTCCGAGTGGAACTTCGACTCGAAAAAATTTAGAGAGTATATATTTGTTACGTATGTATTAGGGGGATTTGGATTACTTTCGCGTCGGGGATTTCAGGATGTTTACATGGAGATTAGCAGCGATTAGTGAAATATTTAACATGGAATATGATTTGCAAGAAAACGCTTCTCCTCCTGACTTGTTTATGAAAGAACCCGTCTCTCGAATTACAAGGTCGGAATTCTGTAACATCACTGCTGTCGCTAAGGGTTCGCGTGTACATACACAGATTCGAAACGCGTTGTGAGTGAAGAAGATCGTACAATCGATCGCCGTATACAGGATCGTGATTGATAAAATCTTGTCGCGTAAAAGCGACGATTTCTTTCCCGGGAACGGCGAGACTGTGCTGAATAGAGCTGTAAGGCTGGCCCATGTACGACGCGGCTGACATAAGCCAGTTTATTGTTTCCTCCTGACACCAGTTTCTGATAGGTTTGTCCGACCACCCGGTGCCGTCAATCTCCTCGCTCTCGTCACCTATTTAAATGGAAATCACGTTAAAAAGTCGTATTTGTCGTCGGCATTTCGCGATGTTTGCGTGCGAATCCGCATAAATACATTTCGAAAACGTCGTTTTAGATCGATCAAACGATTAAATGCTAAAGTTAGCGCGGTTTCCTATAAATCGATGCAACACGTCACGCTAAACAGTCCCGAGAAACCCCCCCTCCAGAGCAACTGTCGCCGCATTAGTAATCGCACAGACCCATAGCGAGCGGGTGAAGAAAAAGAAAAAAAAAAATTAGAGGTCGCTTTGGAAGATATGACCGCGGTAGTTTGCATCGCGACGTGAAGTCGCGTTTGTTCGCGCTCACATGTCTCTATGTTTAATATTGAAAATTCCGCGCTTCACAACACGCGGGTAATAAAATGCTCTTACTACAGTTGATAAATATACAAGTCATTACTGCAAAGCAGAGGAAAAACGGCAGAATGATCGAATTTTCGACAGCTTGTTTCATCGACGATAAAAAGAGTTCGTCTGAACATTTCCTTCCCGAAATCGTCAAGGTTAATGGAAAAAGCTCCTGCTGAAGCTCGGCGTATATAATTTCTGTGATGATTGTGTGTCGAGATGAATTTATATCATTACCGAAGGAACATTTCTTCCTGGCCGGTTCGCGACTCGCTAAGAAATTGCTCCGTCTGGGCACCAGAGAATCCATATCCAAGAGCAAATGATCGTTCTCGTCCTCGTGCAAATTAATGAACGACGGATACATCTGCAATCACGCGCGCATATAGAGAGTGAGCACGGCCCTTCGCACTAGTTAACGACGTTATCGCACCTCTTCTATAGCGGGACTCACCTCCGACAAGTCGTTCTTGCCGTAATTGTTAAAAGAATCCATCTCTTATCGTCGTCACTTTCACCTTAATCTTATCATATAACAATATCCACGCGTAAATAATAATGGGTGTATTCTGCAAAGGGGCCGCGAGTGTGTGCGGCCGACCGACAATTGTATATACAAGAATCAGGCGGGAGCGCGTGCGGCGGTAATTGATAAAGAATGTATCGTCGCGCGATAACAATTCATCGTCGTCCTCGAAACGAGAAAGGTACGGCGCGTCGTCGTCCCGCCGTTGGAGCGACGCTATCGGTAACCGACCGTTTTGAACCACGAGGTTGCTCCACTCAACGGAGAATGACGGATATGAGACGACTGCGACCGCTGAGAGATCGCGGTGGGACGCAACCGCGGTCTGAGCAGGTTTCAACGGGGATTTCCCGCTCTGCGGTCGTGGCCAATCACCGCCACTGTACACGTAGAGCCGCGATAGCTGACGCAGTAATTGCCTGCGCTTCATTGGCGTCGCTCTCTTGAAAAAAAAAAAAATATCATTATTGCCGCCACTGCTGATACACGTGCGCGGATCAATTAATTTCAGATCGCTGAGAGCGGGTTCATTCGAATTTCGATTAATATCCGATCGCGCAACCGAGGGCTTGTTCGACTTCAAGTTTTGTTTTCCTTACGTACAACGTTGCCTTCAGTTTGAAAAAGGTTTTCAGAAAGATGCGTATTTGACGTTCGCCACGCGTACAGAATGTGATTGAGCGCAAGTACATCGATATTTACTTATAAGATGGAACGAGTTTGAAATTTCTCAGAACGCATGCATTTATATTTCATAGTAGGGGCGCCTATGCCAGAGTTTATTTATAGTACAGCATGATGTATCTCGTGGATGTATGTCGTACACGTCGGTACAGCCGTGATCTTCCTTACGCCGTTATATATTGTTTGTTCTACGCATTATCATTTTATATGATTTTCGTGCACAAACGCACGCTTTACAATAAATTTCTTCGCAAAAGCACGTAACAACAAGACATCGCGTTATATTATGCCTGTTTTCTCCGACTATACATCAGAATGCAACAATTATCGTACGAAACATTACAACTGTTGCATTGTGCGATACAAAAACATGATCGATAAATTATTCCATAGTAGTTCCCTTTTATACAGTAGAGCGCTGCAACTATCGTGCATCCAACGAGATAGAGGAAATTCCTAAGCAAATCCAGTTGTAGTGTGATTACGTACAACCAATTGCAAATATTCAACTTGGCCGAATAATCGATCGGTTCAAAGGAAAATTACTCAAGAAAGAACGTATCGCTTACGTCTGTACGGATAATTGCACCTGTGCAGCCAACGCGGATTCTAGATAAACGTATACACGTCGGTGGTCACGCGCACGTAAGCACTATGAATCATTTCGATGTGCATTTCGCAACTCTCCAGGGAAAAGACTGTGGGCTTCGTTTCCGAGAACGCAGGCATCCGCGCTGGGATGTTCCACTCATTAGCGGCTCGTTAGGTAGCTCATTATCGCTCTAAATAAAATATTAGAAAAATATAAAACGTTTTTTACTTACAAACACAACAAAATGTGACCTTTACCACCAATGAATTGCGTAAAATGTCGACTTGTAATCATATCGCGTCAAACACACATACATATATATATATATATATATGTATGTATGTATGTATATATATATATATATATATATATATATATATATATATATGCGGTGAGAATGCACGACTTGAATTCCCGGCGTACTCGTCGCTCACGTGTTCGTCACCGTAATGTTCGACACACTGTAATTCCTCCGTACATGCGACAACAACGGTATCAATATAATCTGAGTAACATAAAGTTGGTATCTAAAACAGCGGAGCATGATTTTCTTATCGCTCCATGATAATATGGCGGTTTCTTCCCAGGAAAAGGAACGCGCGATGGAGTGGAAGTAGCGGTTCATTGTTTCGGATATTTACAACACTGCGCTATAATATACTTCCATTTTAGAATCGTGACCACTCGATTTTGCACCTACAGAACCTGTACAGAAATTAATTAGATGCGGATAGATATGTGTACAATTGCTTTCACCGAATTTTGGCGAATTAAAATAGAGAGGGGGGAGAGAAAGGAAAGAAAAGAAGAAAGTTATTGGCTGTGCTTTCGTGTGTATCAATATGGAAATTATTCTGTTCATGCGAAGGTTCCAAGTACCAACCTATTTCTTATTCTCGTCAGACGCTATCTGTGAAGCCAGGTTTGCAAATTTTGCCATGTAGTCCACGCTGTTTTCTCCCATAAGGCATTGCATGTGCGATACAACCTGAAACGTTTATGAACGTATTGAGATTTAAATATATAAATACGATTATGGAGGAGGGGGGGGGCAGTAAAATTATACTATTAATATATAAAACACAAAAGTAAAATTATAAACAGTCAGTTTCATGTTTCAACCAAACGTGTAAAGATGCAAAAGAGTTTCGGCGCGGAACAATATGTAAGCCTGCCGCGTTTGAAGCGATTTGAAGCATCAGAGAGCCCCAATACTTACATCGGATGAAGGACGAGCGTCTTCCATGATTTGTTCGCCCGCTTGGCTTCTCTGTGAACTTTTTATGGGCGATTCAAGTTGTCCCAAGAAGCTGCTCAATGAAAAATCCGCAACCTGCAGTCCGATCGTTCGGTTAATATTATAACTTATCACGAGAAAAAGAAACTATAGCGTTAGTGGATTAATTCGCGGACCTCGCTGTTCAGCCACTGGTGTTCGCCTTCTTTGAGGATTTGAGTAGCACTGGTGATAATAGAATTGGAATTCTTCGCATCTCCGCTTGTCTCCAGGGCATCGAGAAAATTCTTGTCCTGGGTCACCGCATTCACCGCTACCATTTTATCGGTCTGACACAACGAAGAATCGTCGATTTTACTCGTATGGTCGCTCGTCAAACTTTCCGATGACATATTCGGTGAGGAGGATACGATGGGCAGTACCCTCTGTATCACGAGACTCTTCTGTCTCACGGTTCTACCTCGTTTACAAAAGCGCGTTTTGAATTTCTGCAATGCATATAAAATGTCGGAGGCGTAAAGGACATTGTTCTTTTTTTTTTTTCGAGTAAACCCCACATTCAATGTAATTACACTTACGTCAAGTTGCGTCTTAAACGCGTCAGCTGTGCCACTTTTATGATACGCTTGTGGTATGAGAGGTCTCCTGAATGTAGATTCCTTAACAGATTCTTTAATGGACGGGACGCGTGACGAGATTACCGTCTCGTTGCTTCCCGATGTATTATCGTACACCTAAGAATAAAAATATTTTTGTAACGACAATCATTCTAGCAATCATTCTCGGGGAGCTTACCTTGTTTGTGCCGTAATTGTGTTTCGCCAGTGACAATAATTTTTGCAATGCTAAACATAAACTATCGTCACGCATGATGCTCGATGACGCTGAATCGCTTGTACGTTGCTCACTTGGTAGCCAATCCCACCAATATTCCAGCGTGATTTTCGATTCGCGGCCAAACTGTTGAAAGAAATGGAATATATAGTTTTTAAGAATAAAAAAAAAGAACCGTACACGTGTATATACTCGAAAATAATTAGACACACAGACACAGCTGTAATTTACAGCTCTTTCATCAATTCTGACAAATATATTCAGAGGTGAATTTAATTACAAATGCATGTGTGGACAATTCAACAATGTGTGTATGTGTGTGTGCGGATTAACGTAATATCGCGCACCATTAAGAAGAGATCGCCCATGGTAATCGTGTTCGCTTCCTCGACATTCCAGCCCTTTCGAATTCTATCAACAGTCTCTCTACCCGGGAATCTGCTCTCTGAGTGCTGTTCAGGCGACGGTTTCTCCGTGTTATTTATAATCGCTTGTTTCTCGGACACACTACTCCCCGTCTCCAAGAGGTCCATGTCGCTACTGGTATCTGGCAGCGCGCAATTCTCATCGGTGCGGCTCAAGATCTTCTTATCCAATTTATATCGTTTGATCCCTTTCTTCCCTATCCCTTTCAAATGTTGGACGGACCCCAATAAATCTATTCTCGAGCTCTTCAAGCCGAGACGTTTCTCGTATGAATTCAAGCTTAGACTGTTGCTAGTGAGATATTCTCCAAGATTGACCATCGGTAAAGCAATCTTACATCCTTCTGATGGAGCAACTCGTAATAAACGAGTATCTTTTACATCATTGGCGATGAGATTTTCTACAGTGGTACACTATGGTAATTTAAGGATACCTATCTCTGCGAATATATCGAAATTTCACACATCTTTGCAACAACGAACGTGCAAGCGTGTGTAAACATGCTCCGATTGTAAAAATATAGCGTCTGTTTCTCTTTATGTAAGAAGATAAGGATACTGTGGCATATTTCGTGAGCCGCCATCGTTGTTGCAAAAATACCAACAAACTCGAGAGGCGTCTTTGTATCGGTAGAAGAGTTCGCACTCGGGGATTCATGGATGCCGCTTGTACTTGCCACCAAGCCATGTTATTACGTGGCCTCAGTTCTATTGTTATTCTGGATGGTAATTTAATCTCTTCTTGCCAATCTGCGCAGTGAAACATGTTCTATATAGAAATATTAATCATTACTTAGAACAATCAAGGAAAACTGCTGATACTTCCTGTGTGTAAACTGTTTCACCTAGTGTTGAATGTTACTTATAGCTTGTTGCCACGTGAAATATACACATGCATTGAAAATATCCAAAGAATATATATACCTTCTAACTGATTTAACTTTCTAAGCGCTCTGCATATAGGTGTTTTGATCCTCATAGTTTTTCCTCTGAGCCTGACCTGAGTAGATCCCCAATATACCAGTTCATTCAACCTCAAGTGGACCTTTTCATGAATACGAGGCAGTTTCCTTCTAAGTTCCCCATAATTTATCAACCCGTACAATTCCTGAGCAGTTTTCTTGACATCTGTATGCAAGACATTATAAGCTAAGAAGAAAAGAAAAGAAAGACACATATCGTATGTATAATTTACAAATGTTTCGATTACCTTCTGAAAACTTGAGATGCTTTGATATTTTCAGCCAAGTTCTGTAATAAAAATGTCGGATTTGCTCCTTATTTTTTATAACAGCGTCAGACAGACCCCTCTTTTTGCCTTGACTTAAGAAATAGCTTTGCAGAGCATCAAAATCTTTTCCATATTCATTGAGTGCCTTGAAAAAGGTATTTTTATCCTCCATAGACCATAATTCGCAGGAACGTTTAAGAGGCCTGACTTTAGCTTCTGTTGCTTCCTCATCTTTCACATCTATATGCCAAAAAAGAAAAAGAAATATTTATAACTTATTACTACAATATCACGTATCATGTCTCTGTATTAGTCTCTGTATTACTTCACATACCCTTTTTTTCACTATTGGGAGGATCACTATTGTCAAGTTTCAGCTTTTTAGTACCTCGGACGACGCGAACCTGTGTATTCTTATTGTCTACTAAAGGTCTTGTGTCGAAAAACGTTTGGCCCACTTGAGAACTACCAGGAACTACGTTATTTGGCTCGACATCCTCTGATTTTACAGAGTCTTCCATCATTCGATGTTTTTGTTATATAAAAGATATTACAGATAAAACGTTTTCTCCCATAAAATTTGAATACTATTCAACTGCAGCGTCACTTTCAAGCATAAATTACTCGTAGCAATTAATGCACCGAGCGACAGAAAGGGAATATAATAAAAATGAGAAAAAGTAGAACAATAATTAGTACTTGGTTCCTTCCCCGTTTTTTTAATTTAATACTCCTGATTCTTGATTTCCAACTGAGGTTACTTTCTGGACCTCAGTGTGACAAGCGGCGATCTTCTTTCTTTCTTTGTTAAATGATTAATTGTTTAATCTTCTCGGTAATTTCAAATTCGATAAATCCCTATATGTGTTTTTTATAATTTGACAAGCTTTAAGCTGGAATTTCATGCAGCGAAATAAAGCTAACGTTTTACCTATTCTCCATCTAAGGATAAGGCTGGTGTTACGTCGAGTTTATCGGATTGGCTATTTGAATTCCTAGGATGTCTAGAAAAAATGTTAGGGACCCTGGAAATTTTCTATTCAACAGCCAATTGGTACATCCGACAAACTCGTACGGCACGTGAAATAGCATCCCTAAATTACTCGACTAGTGCAGCCAATTCAACCAAAAGGTACGGACCAATGGCCTGTTCTTTTTAGCCACACCGCTGAACTAGTGCGATAAGTTGATGCGAGACAAATATATATTTTCTCACTTCAACTTATTCCATCAGTTCAGCAGTTCAGCTAAAAGTAACAGGCTACATATGTATTGTAGCAGTAGTGTTTTTTTAACTCCTCTGCTATTTCGTGGTACAGATATTATATTTTTAAACATATATTTTTTCTAATCCAGGAGTTGTTGCTCGTACAAGTACATAGTATCATTGCATACACATGAATTTGTATCGGAGTACACGCGTTAGTAGTTTAGTACACACGAATCTCTGATCTGAATTTAGAATTGTGATTAAATTATGTGAGTGCATTGATGTGCATATAAACAAACGTGCAACAATGGAAGTTACTATTTTGAGTGAGTATATCAAGTGATACTATTTATAAATAATCAACTGATATAATAATTCACAATGTTCTCCCTTTCCTTCCTCGATTATTTTATTAATTCGACATAATTGTCATAGATTTCCGAGATGTGCTGTCCGAGTTGGATAATGACTTGAAGCGTGCTACTTTTATCTGTATCGATACTGAATTCACAGGTCTTAATTCAGGCCCAGAAACTGGTCCCTTTGATACACCGGCTGAATATTATACCAAGCTCAGGATGGGATCCATGAATTTTCTTCTTGTGCAGTTTGGCTTATCTTTGTTTACGTACAACTCAGAAACAAAGAAGTAAGATACAGTTTATCAGTTGTATGAAATTTTATATATATATATATATGTATGTATGCGCATGTATGCTCATACTCACTTATGCCTGTGTGCACTGTGGAATTTAATTATAAAGCTCAGCAAGTACTCTCGAAATTGCTGTAAACAAGAACAACAAGTTGAACAAAGAAGACAATGATTTTTGTGTGCTTCAGATATTCTCAGCGATCTTATACTTTCTATGTATTTCCTAAGCCAATGAATTGCCAGGCACCAGATTGCAGGTTTATGTGCCAAGCATCTTCAATGGTCTTTCTGGCGAATCAAAACTTTGATTTTAATAAACTGTTTAAGTATGGCATACCGTATCTTAATATAAATGAAGAAAAAAAACTTATCAAACTTATGGAGGAGAAACAAAAACAAAGAGAGGCTATGAGAAGTTACCATGATGCGGTAACTTCAATAACTTCAGACAATGACAAACTTCAAATTGAAGAGATATGGTAACTTTACCCCCTTTGATTTTTATTTGATCTTTTGAACAAATTAATTAGTTTGAAGAAACTTGCACAAAGATATTGAAGTTAAAATTCAATTTTCTCGCACACAAGGTCGGTAAATATACATAACGTGTATTGATTTTAGTTCGAAAATAAAGGATTTCCTTGCTTCGGACAAAGAAGAGCTCACAATAGAGAGATGCAATAGTTTTATAAGAAGACTTGTACACCAAGAAGCAAAGACGAGGTGGCCTGACAAAGTGAGAGTGGAAAGTAAAATTGAAGATACTTTTTACAGGAATTGTCTTTTGGTACAAAAAGTAGGTACTAAGGAACAAGAAGAGGAGAAAGAAAATCAAAGACGTGAAAAGGAGAAATTGGAATTTGAACAGGCTGTAGGAATCAGCAACCTTCTGAAGAAAATTATAAGTTCTGTAAGTATTGCTATAGATATTACAGTGTTTGGAAAATGTTGTTAGATGTGAACTAATTATGAAAAAGATGAAAACTAGATTTATTTTAGTTAAAAAATATCAGTAGCGTAAAATGTCGAAGATCGGTAAGCAGCAATTTATCATAATTTGTTGAGTAAAAGTTCAACATGATCAGAATAAGCTTTAAAAGGAACGCAATCACGTAAAATATTTGTGAATACTGTTAGTTAACAAAAAAGAAAGAATAGGTTGCTAAGGTAAATGAAATTACAAGGGGATAAATAGTAGGATGCTGCTTCAGTCGGTCTGTTATTAAAACGCATTCTGTCTAATATTACTGATTCCAAACTTTGTTTTAGTGATTTCTGGTAAAGTTTCAGATCGAAAAAAGAATTTCTAAACTATTCTCATAACGTGAAGATTTTGGTAATATAATTATATTCCTCTTTTCTATTATGCAAGCCGTTGTGCTTATTAGATAGTCCATGTACGACTGCTCGAACTTTTGTGTTCAATAGATGAACCTTTTTACGATCATTCGAGCCTTTGTGCTCGAAAAAGATGGTCCTCGATCGACCGCTCGAGCCTTTAAAGTCTCTTCGAATATTTAAGAATCATTTCCCGTGATTATAAAATTCTTACATACATTTTATTCACTGATTTCCATCATATTTTCAGATAATGAATTGTTTGCTAAAACCTGAAGAATTTAAAAGACGAATATAAACCCAAAACCTCCTAAGATCCTGCAGCGGTTTTCCGCTGCCTTTCCTGTCAGCGCCTCCTGCGATCCTGCAGCGACTCTCTGCCACTTCCCTATCGAAACCACTTAAAATCCTGCAGAGGCTTTTCGCCGCTTCTCCATCGAGGCCTCAAGATCCAGCAGTAACATCCCACTGATTTTCAAGTTTCCATTTAACAAAAACTGTTATTCGCGAGTGTGTCATACAGAACATTTTAACTTTATGATTGAGTGCATACAGAGATATATCTTTAAAGTTCAGAATAGCATATTACCAAGTTTATCTATTTTTCCAATAGAACCACATATCTAGTATTGTGAATAAACTCTCTAGGACAAATCAACTTGCTGATCAACTTTTCCAACACATTGTTTTCATAATTTTAAGTAATTGTCTGTGTAAGAACACTTTTAATAATAAGCTCAGAGTGAGACTCAATCTGTATACTATTATTTGTATGATAATTTTGTTTAAATGAGTAGGTATATTTGGGAATAGGGAAAAAAGAGGAGGAGAGGGAGAAAGACAAATTATTTTAATACCTTTATTTTAATACCTTTATTTCAGGGAAAACCAATAGTCGGTCATAACATGTTGTTAGATCTGTGTCATATCATACATCAATTTGTTACACCTTTGCCAGTGGACTATTTGGAATTTAAAGATTTGGTTCATAACTTATTTCCTAGGTAAGATGATAAATTTTTTATATACTTGTGTGTTACTAAATTTAAATTTTGGAGCATTTAAATTTTGAACGTTGTTTGCCACTAACTGTACTTAATCCTCGGAACAACAAATACTTTTGTGAAGTTAAGGAAACTATTTATAAACTTATTGTATGACAAAAGGAAAGGATACACATTCTTTCTGATATGATATGATGAATGATCTTATATATATATCGCATTTTAAAGAAAGTATATATCAATGATACATATGAGACACACATATGAAGAATTAAAATTTGGTATAAAATTCTTTAGGAAATGTGGAATAAATGTCTTATTGCGTTTCGAAAATATTGCCAAATAAATTCTGACTGCGAAGATTGAGGTCTAGCGAAACGAAGTTTATTTCATACTTTTCTTGTTTTTCTCTTTCAAGATTATTGGATACAAAAGTCATCTGTCAATCGCAGCCATTTAAAGACCATGTATCATCATCGAATCTGAACATGTTGTTGGAGATTGTGAGCAAGCCACCTTTTTCTATTCCTGACGTGGAATCTGTAGAAGGACGCAGTTATTCGATCACAACCGAAAAATTACACGAAGCAGGATATGACGCATACATCACCGGGTTATGTTTCATTGCATTATCTAATTATCTCGGTTAGTAATGGTGTGTTGAACACATCTGAAATGGATAGAATTTATTTGTTGATGTATTGTTATATATATAAATTTTACTTTGTTTTTATAAAAACTTATATATATATATATATATATATATATATTGCTTGTTTTAGGAACAATAACAGAACCTGAGAATGCCGTAACATTACCAGATTTTTCTTCGCTAAATCCCTTTCTAAACAAGTGAGTATTATGTATTGAAAATATCAAGAATCTCATCATTTTTTAAATTCATAATAATAATAATAATATATATATATATATTTATTTATCGACAATTTTATAATTATTTATAATTTATATATTATAATTTATTTCTTTTTTCTTTTTACAGACTTCCTATAGGGAGACTGAAGGATGTTCCTTATGTGAATTTAGTAGGAAAAGATCGTAAGGAACAATTTAAGTCGTTATAATTGTTACGTCTCAACAATTTAAGTGTGTTTACGTATGCGTGTTTACGTGTGTCTTTTTTCTCTTGTTTAGCAAATCCCAGTCGAGATCATGTATTCCACATAACATTTCCCAAGGAGTGGAAAAAGACGGATATAAATAAACTTTTTAGTCCATATGGTGTGTTGTATTACGTATAGCTAAGTACGCAACGTTCTGTCTTAAATGTCTCGCAAATTGTAACGTTAAGCGGTAGTCTCTATTTTATGAAGTTTTCAAAATTTGACCTTTACTTTCATTGTTACAGAAATAGGGCTCATATTAAAGCGCGTAGTACATGCTATACACACATTTTCAAGGATATAATCGCTTTTTTATTTTTGTTATACAGGTGGTGTACATATTTCGTGGTTAACGGATACAACCGCGTATGTTGCTTTATTCCGGAGAGAAAATGTCGGCGCCGTAATGAGTGCTCTGTCTAAAGAGACTGTTTGTACGATAAAAAAATATTTGGATCATAAAGCTAGTTTAAACGCCAGCGGTGTTTGTTCTGAGGATCGTAAGCGGAAGTTATCAGTTGGGTAAGTTACTGATATATTTCAATACGCAATATTTTGTACACACAAAGAAGTTAATTCAACTTGAATCTCCCGTATTTTACAAGCATTAACTTAATCTAAGTTTATTTTTAATTTCATTAAATACTTATGGCAGATCATGTCATTAAGATAACAGGTCTGTTTTCAGTCGTAGAATTACGGCTGGAACTTTGTTGCCAAGTTATATACTCACACTCTAACGGTAAAAGGTGCAATTCAGAAACAAAGAACAGATCTAAGGAGATTGTCATTATTTCATCATTCATTACATATTAATTTTTTCTCGCGAAAAGCACTCGCGATTTTTTTGATCAGTTGTCTTACATTTTAATGGACATCCCGGTTATAAGTTGCAATTGTGAAAATCGCACGCACTTTGCCACTGAAAGTATTCGTTTATTTTGCGCCGCAAGCTATCACGTTTGTGCAAGATATATTAAAGAAGGATGAAATAATACGCGCGTTATAGATCCGGTATGATCTCAAGGTGAAATAAGAAGAGAAAGAGGGGGAGCACAAGTATCAGACCCTAGGCGGTCTCCTAGGATTTCCTGTACATGAGAAATTTGCATGAGGGGCCCTTAGACCTCGTTCTGAATTAATGCACGCGACGCTCGGCCACTGCAGGCTGTACCGTCTTCTTCTTCTCCTCGCTTCCTCATACGCTGGTCATTACTTCGTAACGCATCATCGTCCCGTGTGTGTGACTCTATCTTCCATCGAAATTTCATTTCATACCATGCTCATACAGATTGCTGTTGTATCTCTTCTATTTTCATTCATTTTCTTTGGTCCGTATACTGTTTCGTAAGAGCGGTACGTTATCGAAAGTGCGCAGTCGCTTGTTCTTGGTAGGTATATATGAGAATGGAAGAGAGAGAACCTTCGTTAACATTATTGACGTTATCGTATATTACTTCGAGGGATCTATTTGCGAGCACGAAAATATTGCTGCTGCGCTGATTTATGAATATACAGCATTACAACGGAAAACCTCGTGTGAATAAGTCTCCTTATCGGATTGCCCCCGGCTACAAATCTCGTCGACACAATTATACAATTTATGTTGAATCTGTTAATCGAATCTTTTTTCCACCTTACTGAAAGGCAATTTTCGTGCTTAGGAACGCGGACAAGCCCGGCAATGGTGCGATATCAATCCTGTCATCATTACCGACCTCAGCAGCGCATTGCTCCCTCTCGACATCCACAGAGATATCCGATGAGGGATGGGAAGTCGCTACAGGTGGGTATCCATTGATGTGCGTTTTTTCATACTTATTATTTAATCGTACATATTGTGCAGGGAAGCGGCGTAAGAAACGCAAGGAGCAAAACGTAACCAACGCCGAAGTGATCAACAAGAGGGCTTTCACGGAAAACGATGTATGGGATTAATTTTCAGCGTGCAGTCATACGAACGTGTATACACAAAATTTTCTCACGTGGAAAATACAAGGATATGAGTGTGTATCAGTAAGATTTGCAACAAATCAAACACAAAATTGAAATACATACATATGTATCTGAATTTTATTTTGCCAGATTTTCATGCGATTATTAAATATATGACTATGTATAAGAGCATTCAAATGTTATTTTCATGTGAAATAAATTGTTTATGATAAAACCGAGCGTATTTTTGATGATACATTTCTTATCGCGTGCGTTTTGGCATCCCTAAACACCGATTTGAAGGTAAATTTTACACAAAAACATAAAAAAGATTCGATGCGCTCAATAATAATATTTGTAGTAACTACTGTCTCGTCCGCAGAAGATGAGGTATTTTGATTCGATAACAAGAAAAGAGGAGAAGTATCGGTGACATTTCTGTTCGATTACAACGTTACGCGAAACTTTCGTATATAACACCTTGGAAGAACGATTTCGTAAGTAAAGTCTTTACAATGTTGTTGTTATCCTCGTATATATCGATTTTAACCGACGCATATTGACACTGTCGAAAGTTTTTCGAACAGTTGTCGTTAGTTTGGATCAAGGTGTCTCGGAAGACAGGTGGTGTCGATGTGATTAGCGCCAAATGTGAAACACTCAGTCAAATTCTGTACCAAGGTATATCCCTGATAAAGAGAAATGAAACGCGCGATTAACAGATAAAAGCATGCAAAATCATATAATTAACGTCGTGCAAATTTTACGAACAAAAGCTTTGCAACGTGTTTTCGTGTTACATCTTTTCACATTATTCATGTTTTTGTTACTTTCATGGAAATGTTATTTTCATATCGGTGACGTATTTCGTAACGTTTTGACAAAATTGCGGAGAAAAATGCGAACTTTTTAATATTCGTCTATGAGTTACAATCTAAGATTTATCCAGACGCGATTGATTCACGCCATAAATGACGTAAAAGTTATTCGGTTTACATCACGCAGGAATCTTCTTGAAGGATGGACGCGCTGCGGCCAGGCTTGGACTATGAACAGCAGGACTGGCACCTAGACTACACACCTTTGCGCGGAGATCATCCGAGATACCGCAGGACCAATTCCGAGCTGCTGATCGGCGAAAATTCGGTAAGTTCAACATTTTTCCTTTTCCTTTCGAGAGCTTTTGTCAAATGCGTTGGACTCTTTTGGGATTTCCAAGGGCATTGCGTTCATTTTGTATCGAGGCACATGCCGCATAGAAACCCCAAAGCTGCCTCAACAAATTCGTTTTGGAAATTTACGTCTATCAATTTCGTCGTGTTGCTCGACTATATCGAGCTAAGGAAAAGCAACGGTCAGAAACGACTGCTTGATCTTCGGCGCTCGGAGCCAAAATTTCGGCTCAGATAGAAGCTTTGCGTTCGCGAAAAGAAATTTGAAATTATAAGTTTTCGAATTTTTATGCATTGTTTGAGAAAAAACTGGTTACATCGACAGTTCAACGAAATTTATAGCACCTAATGAAGCTTGTAATCCGAAAGTTTTCTCTCTCCTTCGTTATGTTTTTTTGTTTGTTGAAATATGTGAAAGAAGTCGTATAAATCGCAATTAGGAAAGTAAAATTTTTCCGAAAGGAAATTTTTCAGGAGAATCGTTCGTGGCTTCGTTATTTATTATCGGGAAAGAATGTTCTATTTAAAGATATACCATCTCACGGCATGAGGTGCCTCCTTTACACGCAAATTAATCCGAGCGTTATCAATTATCGGAATAATTTTCTCGACAAAGAAATCCATAATGCGAGGAAAGACGAAACGAACGATCGAGGAAAGATAATGGCTGACGATAATTACTCAGGATCGGCGCACAGGTTTTATCCATGATTGCTCGATCGTCTCGCTTAAATGCATACCTATCAAATACGTACACCATCCTTCGCGTGTTAAATCCATCGATGATCCATTTTATCGCGCCAACATCGGATATAACTTGGGACTTAGCAGGCCAGTAGGATTCAAACGCAGCCACCACAGGACCACTAAGGCCCAAATCATCCCCGACATTTTCTGATCTCGTCCGTCGCGTGCGAGCCGTCGCGAACGCCTGAAAGAAAGGGATCCAACAGTGATTATTTATTCTCTTTGCAACTTCATCGTTTGCCAAGTTTCTCGTTATGTACCACCATCTGCTTTTGTGCCATTTTTATTCTTTCAAGTATGAAAAAGCAATTGACACAAATTATAATCCGAGGTATATCGTGCGATTTTCCAAATGTGACAATTGGATATAAATGAAAGAAATATAAAATAATGAAGTAATTTGATAGAAAATTTAATCCGGAATAAATTACACGAATCACACGTATAATGATGTAGTTTTGGTGCAATCTTAAGAGTATTTTCGAGTACCTTTTTTCTTAAGCATTTTCGGCGAGTGGGTTAGAATTTCGACTCGCGGGCTTTTAACGACTATTGAGATAATCCCCGTCTCTCATTTATTACGTTAGATATATCACAAGTGCACCTACTCATCCGCAGCGAGTTTAAGCACGCCACGGCGTAACGGGTGTGCCGGAAGTGTTTGCGAGAGAACAAGATAAAAGGTGACTGCCGGGGTGCACGCGAGATACTCATGTTGCGATCGTTGTTCACGTAATACGAAACATCCGGTTCTATTTGACGCCGTTGCGAAATGTAGTAGAAAATAATTCCGAAGTAAACGTTGGTTAGCCACCGGCTGATTTGAATTTAGACTAATTATGCGATTATATTAATCATTGGAGTGGTTCGTCGAAAAGAAAAAATTTCAAGAGTTTGGTCGAAAATGTGAGAGAGAGAGACGACGCATATAATTGAAGAATTAGGATTCGTAGCAGAAATCCTAGTAATTAAACCGTTAAGAAGTATTCTGTACAACGCAAATATATAATGTACCGCGAGTGAAAGTATTTTTCGATCGAAATATATATATACAGAATGTCTCAGATCAATATGAACAAATTTCGTAAAAGAACGGATTGAGGTAAAACCCTCTGACATTTTGCAAGCCAACTTTCGAAAAATATATAGAGGCCTCTTTAATTATTAATACACAAATTTACGTGTTATTTGCAAAACAGTAAAGGACTTTTTTGTTTAGCGCGGCCTAATCTGTATGGCGGCTGTTGTACTTTGCGAGGTTCAATGTGTAGCTGTCGCTAGATACAACAGCCGTCATATATTTGTAGATATCAGCAGATCACTCTGAACGAAACTTTACCGAATAACATGGCAATTTATCGGTACAAGACATTTTTGTTCATCTATCGATCTCAAACACCTCGTATATATAGTCAAAAAGTTTGCAAGGTCTTTTTTACAATGAGTTTTGTCGCGTATATCCAATAAGAGAATTTGCTTCTCTTATTTAGCAGATACTTTCTCAGCACCAGATGCCTTCTGAAATTTATCGGAGCAAAAGTGTCGTAAGTTTTCTTTCACCGGATATGTGTGTAAAGCTATGTCGGAAAAGCATTTTCGACTCCAATCCGAATAAAATGAGAGAGAATTTCGATATATAGAGAGAGAAAACACAAAAAGAAAATGTACTTTCTGCTAGTTAATATCTGAAATCGCAAGCAAGTAAATGAGACGAGCAAATCGATGTAGAGCGGCGCGTCGGTCCTCATGGATAATGTCGGCGAGCCCTTGCGGGGAGAGTGTGCAAAGGGTTGCGCTCACAAGGCCGCGCAGTCTTTTTCGTACAATTAGATTAATGCGAAATATCACACAGATATCCCGACGGGAAGAAGCAAAAGAAGAATGAAGCATGAAACGTTATCGCGGCCTCTTTTCGATACGATAACGACACAACAGCACTGTGAGACATCCTCCCCGCAATCTCGCCGGTTGTTTCTGTTTGTTCGATGTCACTCTCTTCTTGGCTGCGCCGTCGTGCTGGCACGTGCACGTGCGGTGCGATGCATCGATGTGCTCTCGCGTCTTGTACGCAGGTGCGAACCGCGCATCACTACGTGCCCTCACACATTTCGTCGTCGTGCCGCATGACGCACTACGTTCCGAACGTTTCGCGTATCGCGAGAAAGCAAAACGGAAGGAAGCGAAGAAAGAAGAGGAGGAGGAAGAACGACGGGCGGGACGATAACAACGAGCCAGTTTCTTCTGCGCGGAGAGAACGCACACCACTGAGGCAGCCCGGGACTTTTTCGATAGCGTGCGTCGCGCCACGCACGCAATATTTTTGCGCTACACGCATTGCGTGCGTGTGTATGTTTGTACACGCGTTCGTACGTGTGTTTGTGCGTGAGTGAAGGCGTGCGCGCGTGAATGAATGAGCGTGCGTGCGTGAGTACGTCCATCTTTTTTTCGACCCCCCTGGCCGCCCTACCGCTATAACGTTGGAGGGAGAGAGCGGAAAATCGATCGAGCTGGACGACCCTTCTTCTTTTATGAGCCTCGATAGCGGAAAAGCGACGGGACCACACCCTACGACCTATCGCGCGGCTTTGCTGATCGACCGACCAGTCAGCTTCATCTTCCCGAACTCTAAGGGTTGGGCCCTTCGCTCTTTTGTGAGAGAGCGCGTTGCATGGGTTGGACGGGGGTCGAGAGACCAGGGGTGAGATTAACCCTCTCCCGCGTAATCTTCCTCTCTAATCGAAAAAGCATCGTGTGTTTGCTTTGCTGCTGGAAGGAAGGATTTCACGAGGCGTATCGAAGGAGAACGTTGTTGGTACCCTCCGCACACAACGAAGCTTTAACATTTATTAAGCCAAACTTTCGAAGCCAGTCTTTCGAATTGCGTCATAAAGGAGAGTTGGAGATATTCTTTCACACAATTGCCCGTTGATTATTCGGCTATTATATCTAAACGTGATGGAAATGTATTTGGAAAGACCGGAGAGTTTTGACCTGGTAAATGTTAAAGCTCTATTGAAGCTTAGTGCACAATGTTCTCGTCCTGTTTGCCGTATTTACTTCCCCATACGATTCTTTTGGCGTATTCGGCGAAAACAATGGCAGCGCGCGGGACGATCGTTAAGCGTCAAGCTGTACTCCGCATATTATCCGGCATGCCGAGCCGAGTATGGGCGAGTCGACGAATTATCATGGTAATCACAGAACAGTAGCCGCTGGTACCGAGAGGTCAGACCGATGCCACGAGATTGCGGCGCGGGAAAGTACCTGGGACACTGTCCAGTGGTGTCTCTTTCCGATCTTTTTTCAGGAAAGGCATCGAACATTTTCGCGATAGAATCAATGAAGATTAAGAAACCTTTTCTTTTCACATTTTCACTCTTTGGGGAACACACACTAACGTGTGTTTCCACCGTGGAAGGCGCGATTAAATACCAACGTGCAAACCAATCAGCGGCGTGAGATTTTTCACCTCAACCGTATCGCGAGAAGAATAGAATCGAGAACCACTGTATGCTTCTGTAGATAAGAGTCGTGCGGCACGAGAGATACGCATGCCCTGTATTAATAAATAATAATGCAATATTGCTGCTTTGACCCAACCGTTTACCACTGATCGTTCAGATGGTGTGTACTTCCGACGTGTTAGATTACGTGTGAAAGATTTCCTTTTTTCGCGATACATTTTCGCACATCAAGCGGTCGAATATTAATCTCGTTCAGAGAATCGATGCACAGGATTTAGCATTTACGTCACACAAACTGTGTTAGTAAATTTTTAATCTTATAATAATTATCTTCCGCCTCATATTTCAGAAAATTGCATTTAATGTTTGCATTGAATCGAACTTGAGGTCGAACATCTTCTCAATTTTAAAAAACATAAAGAATACAGGCGAGATCGTTTAGAACATAGTTACTTCTTTTTCCAAATTTCACTGAAAATTGGAAAAATTTTACAATTAGAAAAGAGAAAAGGCTGTTTTAAGAGCGGCAGGAGTAAAGGACGATAGGTAAAAGTGAACCGCCTAAAAGATATAAATTATATATGTAACCTTGGCACTTCTTTTTGTTCCAGTATGCCATATTCAAGTAATATTTATTTAAAAAACATAAAGAATACAGGCGAGATCGTTTAGAACATAGTTACTTCTTTTTCCAAATTTCACTGAAAATTGGAAAAATTTTACAATTAGAAAAGAGAAAAGGCTGTTTTAAGAGCGGCAGGAGTAAAGGACGATAGGTAAAAGTGAACCGCCTAAAAGATATAAATTATATATGTAACCTTGGCACTTCTTTTTGTTCCAGTATGCCATATTCAAGTAATATTTACTCAAATAAAATAAACTATTCCAATATTCCTTAGCAAATATTAACTTGAACGTAGCATTTTTTTCTTCAATATATGATCTTGATCTGAATAATATCATAGTGGTATAACAATTACTATAATATATTGTTGCATTAGCTAATAATTTGCATAGTTGAAGAAGCTATAAAAAGATATTTGGCACAAAAAATGACTAATTAAACTAGAATAGAATAGAATATAGAATAGAATAATATAGAATAGAATTAAATTATAATAGAATAATATAACAGAGAGAGAGCAATTATTCTTTTCCTTCAGCCTTAGTGCATATGTTCGTATTTTTCGGTTATCACAGAAGAAATATCCTGGTATAAAAACAGAGGAAAATTATCTCTATTCTCTTTGCGCGGTCGATTGTAAAAATTAATCGTCTAAAAAATGTCAACACCGTTCAAAGGTCCGGAAAAGTTGTATCCTAACGAAACTTTTATCGATTATCGATCTTCGATTAATCGCATCGAATGTTAGACGGAGCCACTTGTATCATTGACGCGACGTTCCGATAGACGCGCGCGATCTATCCAATCGATGTCGCGTGGAAATATTCGCGTTTCCTAGGTGATGTCAGTACGTGTATGACCGAAGTAATAATACGCGCGTTCTCCATCTAACATTCGTGCGAGACGGCCATTTCCCGGGATATCGCGAACTGTCGTGGCTATTTCGCTCTCCAGACTCCATCGCGGAGACTCCCATCGGGTGAGACTCATCGGACGCTTGCACTTTTCCAGGCTTTGCCGTGAGAGGTTATATTGTTTATACTTGCGCTAACTTCGGTTATCCCGCGCTTGTATCTCCGAAACAGAGAGAGAGAGAGAGAGAGCATTGGTTGTTTAGATCAGGTTAGATTGTTTTATATCCTTGAAACAAGAGAAGCCAGTTTTTTTCTTCGAAATGAACAAGTAATTATATTGACAATACATTATGATATCAATGTTTATTAAATTTTTTTACACTTTATGAAATATCTCTTGTGATATAAGACGACGTTTTATAAATTGATGAAAGTCTGTTTTCTCTTTAAAACATACGCGTCCCTCCCGGAGAAAAAATATTATCGAGCTTTGATCGGCGGATTAGGAAAGACTAATCGGAAAGTTGAGTGTACGAATAAAAGCACTCCGCCGCAGCTTCCAACACGTGTAATAAAATATCGGACTTCTCTAATGGATTCTAAGGTTAAACAATGGCAAGCGTGCAGCTTCTGCGTTACAAGCGCGGGAGAGCGTGCTAAGTATGCACGTATAATAGACACGCGCATGAAAAACAAATGCATTTGTATACGCACTCACACACGTATATCGCAACCAGCTACCTACGAGAGAACCAAGAAAAACACGGTCTTTCCATCCTTGGATGTACCCGCGAAGATATCGCATTCATTACGCCTTATCTCAAGCTGCTACCAGAAGTATATTCGCGTGTTTCCCCGCGACGCGATATTTCCACGGTCGAAATATTTAACAACCAGTGTTGATGCACGACGAGATAACCGACACACGCGCGGAAAAGATGAACTCTAAGATTTAACTCTGTGTTTCTTTGTTCTTTTTTTTCCAAATCTATTCGTACTTATTACTCTCGCGAGAAATACCTCTCTTTTCGATTGAAGAAAGAAATAAGTTCTCCGACTATACTCTTCGAGTGAAATACTTCGAAAAGCAGAGTGACAGCCGAATTTTTCTCTCATATAGAGTGAATTTTCTGAATAATCGAGTGAATATTTCCACTCGAAATTAATGAATGATTCTGATGGCAGAAACACTTTAATTGATTGAAACGTTTATTCGTATGGATTAAGAATTCACTCCAGATTTTAGTTGAATAATAATAATATAATAATAACAGAATGATGGTGAAATAATGATAGATGTAATATAGCGTGAGGATAGAAAGTAGGAAAATGAGAGAGACTTTTAAATTAATAAAACCACTTTTGCGATTCCGAACGATGAATTTTCACTCCTTCTCACTGAAATGGGATGAGAGTGAAAGAAGTCTCGAGATGCAGATTTATTCAGAATTATTGTCATTGTTATTATCATGGTCTCATTATATTATTACATATGCGAAACGTTTTATCGAGGAGCGGGGAGCATCGGTCGGTGGTGCATCGAGAGCAATAAATAGGAAAGAAGCTCCGCCCATGCTCGACTGTCTACCGTGGAAGCCGTGTCGTGAGTTATGACTGCTCCAGGTGAATTATAACACGTATAGCGCATACCAAAACCCACACGTGTACCGTTCCACGGGCTATTAAGGCGCGCTCACTGCCCTTCGTAAGAAGCATCCTTCTTATCCCCTTTAGCAGAATCCTTTTCAATTTAATTCAGTCGTCTAGAATCACAGATCCATAATGTTGCGAATCATTGCGAGCAAGACACCGATATCTATCATTGATTGCTTTTCTTTCTCATTTAAACTCCAGAGATCAGAATGGGAAGTTGATCTGAGAATCGGTGAAAAGGTGATACAGCGCGATCTCGGACGGAGGAGAGAAACGACAGTCGTGCATTTGAAAATCCGCGACGCAACGCACATTGCGAGGCGTTGTAACGCGACTGGCCGAAAGGTCACAAGTCGACCGGCTGGAGGCCGTTGGGACACGTCTTGGTGTTTAATCCGGTTAAACGTGGAGGACCTATGGGCCCCTGTGACAGACAAGCGGGACGGAGTTTGTCATAATTATTGAACGCGCGCTCGCTCTCTCTCTCTTTCACTCTCGGCGAGCATTGGCGGCGCTTCAGCGAAAACACCGCGAATCGCATTAGTAAAATCGAAATATTTCAACGAAAGACGCTAAATGAAAGTTGCATCTTCGCATAATACTAACATGAAAACAAGGCTTTGTTACGTTCTCAATGTATCGCAAAAATGGACTAAACGAATGAGAAAACGAGATAATCAGTCAGAGTGTCTAAGAAATTTACATGTATTTAATATAATTCACATTTTTTATCATATTTAATTGTAAATTTATAAACATATTCCCAATTTTTTTCCAACAACTCTACAAACATTTTGCAGTGTTTTTCAAGAGAAACGCGTCGAAAAAATAATCGGTTCTTTTCCATATTTTACAACTTTTCATCGTTTTTCGCTATAAAAGAATTTTATTAATATTTGACATATATACAATATAATACGTTGCACTGCAGTTTTGTTTAAAGAGAGAAACGTCGAATAAAATTTCGCGATAGTCATTTACTTTAACATAGCGTTCGCGCACAACAGCTGATTTCGAAAAATTTCGCGAAACGCTCGTTGCCCTATGACACTCGAATGGTTGGATGTTATCGTGTAATCGGTTAAAGAAAATAGTTGTATGATCGTACGTTCGAAGGGCAGCCTAGGGTGCTTTCGCACAGGCACGCCTGACAAGATGGCGTTCGCTGTTCCAACAACAACTCCCACCGGAGGGAAGACGCGCGAGACGTGTAATCTGGCTGAAACTACGTTAGACGGATTCCTGACATTGACCACTCGTAAATTCAATCTCCGCCAAGTCCCCGTCTCGAGAGATCCCCGTCTAATAGAAAGAGCCTGCTAAAGAAAGTCGCGTTGTTAGAGACGTTCCCATCAGTGGCGGTACGAACATTCTTCTTTTCCGATTGAGCGAAAGACGAACATGGATAGAAGGAAAAGAAATGTTAATTTCAACGGACGCGCATTTTCTCGGCATTCCAAAGAAGAATGACTGCCGAATCAGTCGAATTCGAGTGATTATTTTCAGTTCGATGTATTCTTTACTCCCCGCAAAATCACTCGATTGAAACGAATGAATGAATTTTCTCTCGAGTGAGATGCAAAATATTTGGAGAGTAAATTTGACGCGTCGATCAGCCGGTCGATTCTGTGAGAATACTGGAATGCGCACGGCATGATATTTCCCATTAAGATATAAGCTGCGTGCACGACACTTATGCACTCGATGCTGGAAATCAGCAGTTCGATCGTATCGCTCGACCAGGTAACGCAATGTGCGCGTCGTTAATTAATTATCACCTAATTACTCCTCTCTGTGATCGCGATTACGACACGTCTTGCCTTTTTCGTGACAAACAAACCTTTGTTTGGGCGTCACGGTAACAATATTTCGCGAACCAACTGTAGAAGACATGGTTAAGAGAGAAAAATAGGAAGATTTTTTCTCACTCGAGTGTATTTGAGGAAATATAACTTTGCGATGAATATGCTTCATAAGCAATTCGAAAGATCCGAATTAAAGTCCTTACCAGTGCAAATTATTTGACTACTTGCAAACTCGAAGGCATTACATCGCCCGATAAATGAAAGCCATGTTTTGGTACGTAATGTCGGCGCGATCGCCACTCGGAAACTTATCTGGCCATCATCCGATATAAAGTGCCACGTTGGCGCGAGTAATGCGAGCCTATTTACTCGTCATGCAGATGACCGGTAGCCGCTTCGTCTTTCTTTTTCTCGCGGACAGAGTTTCATTACGGCAATAAATTACGGCGGGGACCTTCCAATGGCTGAGCGCGTGTCTGTGCGAACTCGTGTGTGATACACCACTAAATCAAATTAAGCGAGTTGTATTAGAGATTTGCGAAAATTCGTTAACGATTTCATTCAGGCAAGACACTTGCAAGTTTCCCCCCGCAGATATCTCTCAAGAAGAAAAGTTTTACTGAGAATTATATTTATTTCGATAGTGAATTATCTTTGATGCGCCGACAAATTTACATAATGTACATTGAGACTCAATTACGGAAAAAAGAATTTGGTTGAATTAAGCAGAAACCCAAATGCGTTTTCATTGATAGAAACAGATTTTCTAATTATAAGAATCAGAAAATCTGATTCTTATAAGCTCTTTCATCGCATTTGGTTGCCCACTCTTTCTGGTTAATTCAACAAAACTTTTTCTTTCCGTGCATGCGGAAAACTGGCCCGGTGTCGTGCACGTAGATTTGCTAAGCCAGCGGGAGGTTTCGTAACGGCAAATATATTTTCTTATTCTTTTCTTCGCGCGAGCTATTCGTGTCTCTTTCGCGTGTCGTCCTCATTTCGAACGACTTGGGAAGGGGGAAATGAACGGAATTCAAATATAATTTAATCCCTGTAACAATATCATCGACAGGGTTGATAAAAATGAAACGTCGGACGGTCAACGTCGGAGATGAAAGTTTTGCAGCGAGACGTATAGTCGATTGTTACGCAGGGTTAATTGTGACGAAGCTCGCGATCGTCCGTCGATTCAGCCGCTTTGGACAATGTCACATGAGTCTCGTTCTACACGAAACTCACGTTCAAACAGAAAATCGACAAGGAACCTCGAATATATATGTATTTCACATTGAAATTTCGTTAAAGTTTTTTACGCGAAAGAGCGCGCGGTGAGCCTCGTCTGAACGGTTATTAATCGAGGCAATTAGCAGCACCGCGCACCGGCTAAATGTCAGAACGTCGGCTCTGCTCTGCTCGCCGCGATATCGCGGAATGCAGCCCGCGCATTAGACCCCGGCAACGTTACTCTGATTTTTCAGAGCAACGTTAGCAGCAGCGCTACATTCCCCGACACATCGACGCGTTCCTCGAATCTACGAATGCAACCGAGAGAATTGCACGAGACTTTGTTGCCGCAAGTTGTTACATACACTGTGCGCCACTGTACGTAGTTTTGTCAATTTCGAAGGTAGTCCGCGTAGAAATATTGGCGAAATTTCTCAAAGTAATATTTCACTAAAGAAAGAATTCGAAAAGTAGAGCAACATCGCTCGAC